GTTATATCTAAACCAGGGCTGAGAAGGAGAAGAATGAGTACTACGGCCAGCTGAACGATCTGCGTGCCGGTGTCGACCACATTACCAACGAGAAGGTATACAATATGAATTTTAATCGACTGCGAGTCGCCTGCTGTAAATTATATGCTGAACGTTTGTTTTTGCTCCGAAACTTGTATATTTTCTTCTGGTAGAAGTCACAAAAAAACAAAAAAAAAAAAAACAAAGAAAGAAAAGAAAAATGTAGCCCAAAACTAAAACGACCCGTTAATGAAACAAAAGAAAATAAATATTTATTTGCCTGCTTTTAATAAACCCCTAATTACTAATGCTGTACATTGCTTACACAAAAAAGAAAGAAATAAAAAAACAAAATGCCACAAAACAATCCGCAACAGATTTAGCGAGAACCATTGACTAATCCTCGTATATATTTGTTTGCGTACAATAGGCTGCCCAGGAGAAGATTGCCAAGCAGCTGCAGCACACCCTCAACGAGGTCCAGTCCAAATTGGATGAGACCAACAGGACTCTGAACGACTTCGATGCCAGCAAGAAGAAGCTGTCCATTGAGAACTCCGATCTGCTCCGCCAGTTGGAGGAGGCCGAGTCTCAGGTGTCTCAGCTGTCCAAGATCAAGATCTCCTTGACCACCCAGCTGGAGGATACCAAGCGTCTGGCCGATGAGGAGTCTCGCGAACGCGCCACCCTTTTGGGCAAGTTCCGCAACTTGGAGCACGACCTGGACAACCTGCGCGAACAGGTTGAGGAGGAGGCTGAGGGCAAGGCTGATCTGCAGCGTCAACTCAGCAAGGCTAACGCTGAGGCTCAGGTCTGGCGCAGCAAGTACGAATCCGATGGCGTTGCCCGCTCCGAGGAGCTAGAGGAGGCCAAGAGGAAGCTGCAGGCCCGCCTTGCCGAGGCTGAGGAGACCATCGAGTCGCTCAACCAGAAGTGCATTGGCCTGGAGAAGACCAAGCAGCGTCTGTCCACCGAAGTCGAGGACTTGCAGCTGGAGGTCGACCGTGCCAACGCCATTGCCAGCGCCGCCGAGAAGAAGCAGAAGGCCTTCGACAAGATCATTGGCGAATGGAAGCTCAAGGTTGATGATTTGGCCGCTGAACTCGATGCCTCGCAGAAGGAGTGCCGCAACTACTCGACCGAGTTGTTCCGTCTTAAGGGCGCCTACGAGGAGGGACAGGAGCAGCTGGAGGCTGTGCGTCGTGAGAACAAGAACTTGGCTGATGAGGTCAAGGATCTGCTCGACCAGATCGGTGAGGGTGGCCGCAACATCCATGAGATCGAGAAGGCACGCAAGCGTCTCGAAGCCGAAAAGGATGAGCTCCAGGCCGCTCTTGAGGAGGCCGAGGCTGCTCTCGAACAGGAGGAGAACAAGGTGTTGCGCGCTCAGTTGGAGTTGTCGCAGGTGCGCCAGGAAATCGATCGCCGCATCCAGGAGAAGGAAGAGGAATTCGAGAACACACGCAAGAATCACCAGCGCGCTCTCGACTCCATGCAGGCCTCCCTCGAAGCCGAAGCCAAGGGCAAGGCTGAGGCCCTGCGCATGAAGAAGAAGTTGGAAGCCGACATCAACGAGTTGGAGATTGCTCTGGATCATGCCAACAAGGTGGGTTCACCATCAGCAGCAGCAATTCCTAAGCAAATATTAATCTTTGATTTCATTTTTTCGTTTCTATAGGCTAACGCCGAGGCCCAGAAGAACATCAAGCGCTACCAACAACAGCTCAAGGACATCCAGACCGCCCTTGAGGAAGAACAGAGAGCCCGCGATGATGCCCGTGAACAGTTGGGCATCTCGGAGCGTCGCGCCAACGCTCTGCAGAACGAACTGGAAGAGTCCCGCACTCTGCTGGAGCAGGCCGATCGCGGTCGTCGCCAGGCCGAACAGGAACTGGCCGATGCCCACGAACAGTTGAACGAAGTTTCCGCCCAGAACGCTTCGATCTCTGCTGCCAAGAGGAAATTGGAGTCGGAGCTGCAGACCCTGCACTCCGATCTGGATGAGCTGCTCAACGAGGCCAAGAACTCCGAGGAGAAGGCCAAGAAGGCAATGGTTGATGCCGCCCGTTTGGCCGATGAGCTGCGCGCTGAGCAGGATCATGCCCAGACCCAGGAGAAATTGAGGAAGGCCCTCGAACAGCAGATCAAGGAGTTGCAGGTGCGTCTGGATGAGGCCGAGGCCAATGCCCTCAAGGGCGGCAAGAAGGCCATCCAGAAGTTGGAGCAGCGCGTCCGCGAGCTCGAGAACGAGCTGGATGGTGAGCAGAGGCGACATGCCGATGCCCAGAAGAACTTGCGCAAGTCCGAGCGTCGCGTCAAGGAGTTGAGCTTCCAGTCTGAGGAGGATCGCAAGAATCACGAACGCATGCAGGATCTGGTCGACAAGCTGCAACAGAAGATCAAGACATACAAGAGGCAGATCGAGGAGGCCGAGGAAATCGCCGCCCTCAACTTGGCCAAATTCCGCAAGGCCCAGCAGGAGCTCGAGGAAGCCGAGGAGCGTGCCGATCTGGCTGAGCAGGCCATTAGCAAATTCCGCGCCAAGGGACGTGCCGGTTCTGTCGGTCGTGGTGGCAGCCCAGCGGTAAGTACCCAATCCCCACCACCATCCACCTACCCCTTCACCTTTACCCAATCTCACAAATAGCCTAAACACGACTCTCTCCACTGATTCATTTAGCAGCTAAAACTACATTTGCTACCATTTGGCTTACTATTTACTATAGTACTCCGATATATCAAATCTCTCTTCAGTATAGTGTGTTCAAATATTTTACCTATATATATGTATGCATATATATATTATATATATATTCTTCCCTTTCATATTATGCGGGTCGCGTTCTGCTTCTTCACAACTCACCTCTGCAACCAATTTAAAATCGACAACAGATTTAAGAAAGATCAATTTGAGGCACCACAACCAAAAATAAAAAATCAATTTAAAAGAAGAAAAAAAAGAAGAAAAGAAATGATGATTCAATTATATATATATAAATATATATGTAATGAGAGAACAAAAACATGCAAAGAGAATTATAGCTTATAAGAATTAATATATATACAATAATAATAATAATAATATATAGATGCATCATACGACATTCGGTAGAACAGAGAATTGTAATTAGAGGCAACCACCAGAAACTACTTACGCACCTGAGCGAAGAAAATACCAACCAACCAAACAACCAACCAAAAAAATATTCAAAGAAAATACAATTTATATATATAAATGTATGTATATATATACAAAGATCGAGAAAGATAAATGAAAGATGAATTGAAGCAATTGTACCAACCAATAATGCGTTCATTTTGACTATTTTTTAAAAGATAAAAGAAAATCAACTGTGAGGAACATCAGCAGCAGCAAGTAAATCAATCAAGCAATCAATCAATCGACTTTGCTTTTTCTACAACCATTACTGCATATACAAAATATATATATATATATACAAAACTATATTCTTCCACTATATTATTAAAATCACAAAACAAACAAAAAAAAAACCAAACAAAAAAAATATGTATTTGTACATGTGTACTGCAGCCCACAGCGACAAGGGGTGGCCGCTAGAGCTGCTGAGCTACAGCTGGAGCAGTAGATACTTTATTGATAACATTTGTAAGTGGCGTCTTCCACACGAAAAATAATGCTCATATTTTGAGTTATCAGCGTTCTCGTTCTCTTTTGCTCGTTCTCTTTTACTCGTTCTTGTTGCGTCTTGTCTTGTGTGTCAGTGTATGTTGGACACACACACACATACACACACGCACATGCATACACTCAAACCGATACTCTACCAAAAAATGCATACTTCGTATTTCATATTTCTCTCTCATTCTACGCGACGAGCGCGCGTTTGCACGCGTTCATTGTGTTCATTTCGTGCGTTATCTCTCTCTCTGTTATACATTCCCCGCACTCAAAAACGTTTCGAGCATTTACGTCACGCTCAATTCGTACATTGTTTTTACATAGTTATCTCGTTCTCTATATCGTTCTCTCTCTCTCTCTCCCCCGTTGTCAATGTGTGTGGACTACAAAAAGGCTCTTAGTGAGTTAGTCAAATGTCTCAACGAACTTTAGTGACTCGTCTACCCCCTCTCCCAACCCACCACCCAGGCATGCCTTGCTTACCATTTAAGATCATTAAATAATTAATATATCACGTGTTCGTTATTTATTTATGTATTCTTTTATTTCTGCAGCCCCGTGCGACATCCGTTAGGCCACAATTCGACGGATTGGCTTTCCCACCAAGATTCGACCTTGCTCCTGAAAACGAATTCTAAATGCCATTTCATTTTTTAATTTATTTTAAATGATATTTCATAATGATTATGTTTATGATTTAAAGCTTAATTTCTTAATTTAAACAAAATAATAAAACTATAACAAAATATATATCGAAACGACGGGAGGCACAAAATGCACATAGGCAAAAAAAACAACAACAACTACTATGAAAAAAAAAGAACAGCTCAAAAACCGGGCCCCAACATTGATGGTCAATCAAACCCGGTATAAAAAAAATAAACAAACAACATCTGTTAAAAGAACAACAACAACAAACAACAACGATCGACATACATAAGTTCCTTGTGAGGGGAGTTGGTAGCAGCTTTGTAAGCGCGACATTTGCTTTCGGACATTTCCCGAGACCTGTAATTGTATTTATATTTTTATACAACTTTCAAAACGCATTCAAAAACCAACAAAACAAATAAACAAACATTAAACTATGCATTACAAACCAACAACAAAATGAGCCCCGTCAAATGTGAGTTACAAAAGTAAAAAAAAAAAAAACAAGGCCCAACAGGAAGTGTCCATCCAGGAAATGTCGCAGTTGCATTATCTAGTTATCGAATTGTGTATATGTATTTTGATTAATTGTATACCCAGATCTACTTACCAGACATATAGACAGACAGACAGACAGCATACACACTCGCCGCACTTGGCGCTTATGTTTATGTTCAATTTTTTAATCTTATCAACACATTATAAGAAAAGATCAAAACTACACTTAAAAAAGTATACAAAAAAGGAACAAAATAAATGTAAATCAATTTTAAAAAAATTTGTTCCTTCACTTGTTTTAATTGAAAGCGGGCCAACTGAACAGATCTAAGGATATTGATCTAACCAATAAAATGATCACATTTCGATTTGATTATTTGGCTTTTGTCATGTTTAGGTGAGAATTTTGGATAGTCAAGGAATTTAAAATTTATATACATATATCCTATTTGGCTGCTCCAGGTGCTCTAGTATTGGATACGGTGCGCAACAGTTGCTTGTGCTGGCCAATGATGTGTTCGATGTGATTGCATTCCCTCAACTGGCCCTTGAACTGGTTGAGGGTCTCGTAGAGAACGGGATAGAGGGCGGGCAGAAGTCCATGATCGAGTGTGGGGAACAGATGATGCAGTACATGATCACCAAAATGTGTGAGCACCAGAAACTGTGACCACTTCAGATCCCCGCGATCGATGATGGTATCCACCTGGAAGAGGCCCCAGTCGCGATCCTCACGATTTGCGTCGCCCTCGTGATAGATTTCTGGGTCGTGGTGTGCCGCATTCAGACCGATAACGCAAAAGGCAAAGCTGGCGATTGACGTCATCGATAGCCACCGGAGTATGCAGGCTAACACATCAGCTTCACCACCCGATCCACAGTACATGGCCAGCGGTATGGAGAGCGGCAGCAGATCGTGCCAATACATTATATTTGTGTGGCGCAGCGAGTAGAATATACTGTGAAATGTTTATTGATTGGGATTAATTGTGATTATAACCCTACATTCATTTATTTTCATTTAATTAGTATTATCAGCCACTTACCGCGTGCCCATTTGGATGAAGAAGGCAATTGCATAAGCGATTGGTTCCGTTATCCAGGAGACATAGCGCAGTGCTTTGCTCTTGATGTGCGGATTGGGCACCCAGCAGAGCAGAGGCTCAAACATGCTCAGCTCGAGATCCATGTAGGAGTTGGGATAGATATGATGAGACAGGGCATGTGAGATGCGCCACGAGCAGAAGTTCATCATGCCCAGATTGAAGGTGTACATCTGCCAATTGTCGCGACGATGGAAATAGTTGTGCGACACAATCACCGTCCAACAGAGAGCGACGCCAGCAAGTATCAACGCCAGCAGACTGTCGAAGCGAACACTGGCCACGGCAAACAGATAGGTGGACAGCAAAATGCCCAGATGAATCAGCTGGAAAGGAACAGGTATCGGCCAAGGATCAACCGTAAAATCGCTTCGGGATTACTCACATCACTTTTGCGCTTTGGTCGCTTGTCAACGGTTTTCAGTTGCTCACGGACTCGCTCCTTGAGCGTCTTGTAGAAGCCATCCTCGTGCAGAGTCAGCGTGTAGGTGCGTGGCCTTTTCGCATCCCTCAATTTGTACTTGGCAATCATCTTCTCAGGCGCCGTCGTCAGATGGTGTGCTTCGAAGGCTTCGGTTATGTCGGTGCCTTTGGTTTCGCGTAGCCAGAATGGGCCGCCCGGATGCTTATCGATGAACTCCGTAAAATCGTAGATGCCATCGTGGATGCGCCACAGGCCCTCGGCCTCATCGTCCGCCCTTTTACCCTTCTGCCAGGTGTCGACAGTGACCAAAGCCGAATTGCGATAAGTGGGAAATTTAGTGGCAATCCCACTCTGCTTCCACTTCTCAACCACCATTTTTTCGATTTGAATCGTTATTTCTATGTATATACACACAAATAGAACCTATCACGAGCTACTTAAGCCGCACAATGAGCATCAGTCGGCGCTTATTTTGATTTTAAAGTAACATTGTATAGAAATATTTCCATTGACTGACTCGCATCTCGTTATCAGCCGTGCCCATGTAGATGTTGACGTCGATGTCGATGATTATGACAGCTTTATGATCGAAGCAGTAATCGCAACAACTTTCAGGAAGCTAGTCTTGTCAGCTTTTGCAGGGGAGATGAAACGAAAGTCGAATATATTAAGTTATCGAAAGATTAAACCCATTTTTAATAACCTCTGCAAATGACCGTAATATATAAATAAGTTAATAAATACTTAAAAATAAATACTAATTTTAAAAATATTAATATCCACTGATGATTAAGCGGGACACAATTATATCTTTAGTTGTCTGATCAATTCAAAATTGACTTATAAAGTTGAAAACTTTAGTTTAAATATATAAATTGATTGATTTTAAAAACACACACTTTCTAATTAAGTTAGCTAGTTGGGAAAAATACAAAGTCAGCCCGTTAAATTGAAACCCATTCCCGTCGTTCCATACATTATCAGCTGCCCTGTGGTCGGCTGCGGGGCTTAGGCTTAGACCAATACCTGATACCACTACTAATCGTGCCTTTTGCATAGCTAACCGTGACTCAGCAGGCAATCAACTAGACGGACCAAATAACGTAAAACTTTCCATGAGGGAGCTTGAATTTGTTTTCAGTTTGATTTGAATTAATTAGTTAGGGTACTTGAACTGTAACACAGATTGAAATAAAACATTATCGGACAGTATGAGCATAATATATACATACATTATACATAATATTATATCAGAGTCGACCGGTGCCATGTGTGCCCAACATGACTATTTGTTATCATCACTATTGATAACAGAGTCTGTCTGGCTATGCAAAAACACGTCTTCTTATCACAAAACGGTGTTCTTGGCATTTTGACAAAGGAGGAAAAACTACTGAAAATTAGCGTCACAAAAGCTATAACCGAACATCTCGACCAAGTAAGGTCAGATATTGGAGTCGCATAATTTTACTCGCAAGGATCAGCTATGTACATTGATCGGCATACAGAAATAGCAATGTTAATTTCTTGATAGAAAACACAGGGGTTAATTACTTTACTAATTTTTTGAGTAAAAGAATTATATTTATATTTATTTAAAATTTTAAAGCTTCATATCATAGCTCAAGCTTTAATTTAATGTGCACTCATTTCCACTGCGTCTCCATGTGATTTGGCAGTGGTTTATTTCCATTTTGGGTCGAAGACGAACTGCTCACTGATAAGGGGCGATCTACAAGCAAAACAAACGTTTAATAAGCTCAAAGCTTTTGAGTGGTTTTGTTTTTTGATATGCTCGCCGAGCTTTTAATAATTATTCGAGCAGAGCGAGACACAAACAGAGCGTCAAGTTCAGTAGGCGATTCATAAACAAAGCGATCAAGTGGAGACTCCGCGGTCAAATAGACCGGTTTAAATATTTAGCTTTTGGACTTGTATGAAAAGTATGTGATTAGGTGATAGAGTATCAGCCTTAAACGATTATCAGGGCACAAAATGCCACCGAATGTTGAATTGGAAGATTGGCGAGTTTCGGGCATATCTCGAACATATCCCAGCTATCGAAAACAGTGGCCCGTCAGCGATGAAAGGTGCGTTTGATGAGAGAGATATGAAAGGTACAGTGATCTCTCGGAGCTAAGTGACCTCTAACAGTTAGCACTGCATTTCAGTTGGCTGGAAGGCAAACACAAAGACGACGAAGCCGAGGGCTTATGGCGTATCAGAGATAAACTTTACGACTTGACGGACTTTGCCCAGCGGCATCCGGGCGGCGCCTTCTGGATCGAGTGCACCAAGGGCACCGATATAACCGAACCGTTCGAGTCCCATCACATCGAGGAGCATGCAGCTCGTTTACTCGGCAAATTCGAGGTGCGAGATGCGAAAAAGCCAAGAAATTACAAGTTTGCTCTCGAGGAGAATGGCTTCTACTTGACCCTTAAAAGACGCGTGAGGGAGAAGTTGCGAAAAATTAAATATCAACCCACGCGAAAGACGGATGTGAGTAAGCGAGATAAATTCCTTTCTTTGACTGAGTAAAGTGATTTGTTTCTCATATTTATAGTTTATTTCTAAAAATAATAAAGGGTTTTATGCTATTTTTCTGAGTGTAGAAACTCTATCTGCAAAACACAATATAAGCGATTATCAAAGCATGAAGGTTGAAGATTTGTATATATTTTTGTGTGTAACACATAAACATATAAAATAGTGATATTGATTGATCGTTTTCAGGTCTCCGTTTTGTGCCAACACTAAAATAATTAAGTTTTCTCTTATATTCGCCCAGCTTCTCCACACGGGCATACTGATCTCAGTGCTGCTCTTCAGCTGGACAAGCACCGTTGCCGACTCTTTGATATTGAGGGCATTTGCGGGCCTGGCCCTTAGTTGGCTGGTGATCTCTGCCCACAATTATTTCCATCAGCGCGATAATTGGCGCATGTATAGCTTCAATTTATTGCTATTGAACTTTGCCAATTGGCGCATATCGCATGCTCTATCCCATCATGTTTATCCGAATTCGTTGCACGATCTCGAGATGACGATGTTTGAGCCCTTTGTCTGCTGGGTGCCAAGCAAACACTACGCAAGCAAACCACAGCGAGTGATTTCCTTACTGACGTCACCGATCATCTACACGGTCTTGAGTGTGGTGCAGTTTACGCAACGGTAAGTTCTTTAAGTTATCCTATCGAAAGAAGATTAAAATTATAAAACGTTTCCTTTGTTCTAGCCTCGTCTACTCGCTAGTCAAACGGAATGTTATGTACTGGCACGATATTTTGGGCTTCAGTTTACCCCTTTTCCTATATCTGTCTACAAATGTGGGTTTCTCGGCTGCAATCACAAGCTGGATAATCATATTGGGTATAGCTAGTTTTATTTTTGGTTTCATTGGTGTGACGGCAGCTCATCATGATCCACGGATTTATCATGATGGCGATGCGCCGCGAGCTGATCGAGATTGGGGCCTCTTCCAGTTGGATACGATCATCGATCGTGGCGATCTTAAGTGGTCCGATCTGTTGGTGCTTACTCACTTTGGTGAGCATGCACTGCATCATATGTTTCCCACACTGGATCATGGTGTGCTCAAGCAGCTATACCCAGAGTTGCAACAGACTCTGGCCGAGTTCAAGTGTGAACTCCGTGAGATTAATCATTGGGGTCACATCAAGGGGCAAAATCAGCAATTGCTGCGTACGAAACCAAATCCAATTCCACAAGGCAGCAAGAAGTTTGAGTAGTTTATTTGGTGATCTTATTGTTTGTAGGGGTTAATAATGTACGACATATACACTATATGGTGGTGTGTAAGCAATAAATAAAATTCAAAACAATAAATGGCTTTTAATGTTATTCTCTTAATTTGTTTGTGCTCTTTATTCTAAGCTGATAAATGAATAAATTGCATGACAAATTTAGTATACACTCTTTGATGATTATCTCTGTGCCTAAAGGGAGAACAAATCACGTTTAAGAGCATGAAAGCTTCCTAAATCAATTAAAAGCTTTCTGTAGTAGTTGATGCGACCGTTTATGGAATGTATACTTAAATCAGCGGAGTCACCGTTAAAATTTAATTATATAAAACAATATACAATGATTTAGTCGAGTGAGCTCGACTACGATACACACTGCACGCAGTTGTTAAATATATTTTAGTTTTCTTTATTGCCAAATTTACCAAGTAAAGTTTTGCACACCCAAATGTAAACATGAGAATACATTGCGGCTTTCTTATCCTATCTTTATAAAATTGGTATATTTGATCAATAATATGTCAAGGTATATTATATATTAAGAATATATTAAGAATCCTTTGACTTTCAAATTATGACCTAGATTGCAATCGTATATCAACTTGATCTGATATTCGAAATTTGACATTTTCAATGGTTTTAGGGTATACAAATGTAAATGCCGACACTAATAAATTAGAAAGTATTAGAATACGCTCAAAAGGGAGAGTACAGATTCGATTAAAAGCTTTGGGTCACAGAATGCTGACACAACAGAAAAGCTATTGAATAGAATAGAGTGTCGTTGAAATGGAAGATAATCTCAAACCAAACAAGTCACCGTTTAAATCCAATTAAATAAGAAGAGTATCAAAATAGCTTATCGAACCTTCAATACCTTGTAAAACATTTTATTACTATAGTCAATTTTTACACGTACTTTTGAATCATTTTGGTGAAATAGGCCAAAAGTAGCTACTTGCCGATTGGAACTTCCGATAAGCAAACTAAGAGACTGGCTAGCGATAAGTGGCGTTGGGTATATAATGGACTGGTTTTCGACCACTCTCACTTAGTTAGAGAGAGACCAGGCGTCAAACAACATGGTTGGCATTCGGTTGAGTATCGCGGCACTGTGCCTGCTTTTGGTGGCGCCACCCGCTTGGGGCGCAAACATATTGGGTTTGTTCACAAGTCACAGTCAATCGCATTTGATATTGCACATGTCGATGATAAAGACGCTCGCGGAGAGCGGTCACAATGTGACTGTGGTGAGCATGGTGCAACCCACTGTGATGCATAAGGATATCCATCTGATTGTGATACCTATGCCAGAGGAACAGGAGAAAGCGCTGGACAACCAAATGAAAGAGATGGCTGGACAGAAGAACTCGGTTTTCAATACGATGACACGCCTGCTGAGCGGAATGGGTATTATGATTGAGTCCCAATTGGATTTGTTGTCGCATCCACGTTTCCAGCGCATCTATGAGACCAAGTTCGATTTGATGTTCATCGGCTACTTTATCAATGACTTCCAGTTGGGTGTTGCTGCCAAGCTGAAGGTGCCGGTAATATTTGCTTGGATGCAGGCGCCAATGACTGTCATTGATGACCTGATCGGCAATCCCAAAGAGATAAGCTATGTACCCATTATGGGAACGGCGCTGGGACCTGGCGAAAGAATGGGTTTCTTCAAACGCGCTCAGAATTTCGGCATGGATCTGATGATTAGATCCTTATTCTTGGTCTTCAAGGCACGTTCGACTAGCTATTATGAACGACAATTTGGTAACGAACCCAAGGATTTTCCCACGCTGGAGGAGATGCAACGGAACATCTCGTTGGTGTTCACCCATAGTCATTTAGTCAGTGAGGGTTTCATCCGGCCACTTGTGCCAGGCTGTGTGGAAATCGGTGGCATACAAATCAAGGAACAGCCGGATTCTTTGCCCGAAGATATCGCCCAATTCCTGGAGGGGGCGAAGCATGGTGGAATTTTACTATCTCTAGGCTCGAATATCAAGAGTACGGCTGTTAAACCTGAGCTGGTGCAGTCAATGTTTAAGGTGCTATCTGGACTCAAGCAACGTGTCATCTGGAAGTGGGAGGACTTGGATAATACACCCGGCAAATCTGCAAATATACTCTATAAGAAGTGGCTGCCCCAGGATGATATACTGGCGCATCCCAATATCAAATTGTTTATTACGCATGCGGGCAAAGGTGGCATCACTGAAGCGAGATACCATGCGGTGCCAATGGTGGCCCTACCCATCTTTGGTGATCAGCCCACCAATGCGGCTACCATGCAAAAGTCCGGCTATGGCCTTACACTGGATCTGCTGCAGCTCAATGAGGAGAACTTCAAGGCCCACATTGAGGAGGTGCTCGGCAATGAAAAGTACGCCTTGGCAATAAGTCGCTTCTCGCAGCTGTACCGGGACAGGCCCGTCACTGCCAAGCAGAGTGTGGTCTACTGGACGGAATATGTGCTCAGGCACAAGGGTGCCCCTCACCTGCAGAGTCCGGCTGTGCACATGACCACCGTTGCCTATAACAATCTAGATGTTTACGCTGCCCTTTCAGCAGTTTTAATCACTGCCTTGTTTTTGACTTGGCTAGTTGTTAAATGGATTTGTCGCAAACTGTGCGGCAAGTCCAAGAAGGAGAAGAAAGTGAAAAAGCACTAATCTAAATTAATTTAATTGTATTTCTGTTTTTCGAATTATCATAATAAAGATCGGATTTTAAGCAAATACAATACTCAAATTCTGTCTTTCAACCTGTCTACACTTAGAAAAAATGATGTATATTATAGAATGTCATATTTAGCGCCCAGATTCGAAGCTTTCATGTCTTTGTCAAAACTGAACCTATTTTGATTTGTCATTATTTATATTATTATATTATTAAATTTCTTCACTTATTTTTATAAGATATTCTGTAAAAACGTAGAATCGTGACAAGGTAAACTTTTTTAATTTTAAATAGATTTGTAGTAGATAATACCTGCTTACAGGCACGTATTTTTGTAGTAGAATGTTTTTACAGATTATCAAAGGTATTTTCAAAGATAGGCACTTATTGATGGTGGCAACACCTGTAAACTGGGACAGTTTGGTAATTTGCTATCAGCTGAAACTCTTTAAAGACCTTTAAGAAACCTGTGGATAGCGATAGCAACCGCAAGCATTAAGTTGCTTAAATATTTTGTATTTTTGAATTTGGAGCCTTGCGCTGCATAATATAAATAATGTAATGTTAATGTATTGAATTGTAATAACATTTAGATACTCTGTTAAGTGGACTTGAACTGCAGCCGTCGGCGTTAACAGAGCTTTCTCTCACTCTCTCTCTCTCTCTCTCTCTCTCCCGCTGATCTGCCAGCTGCTGTAGCCAAACATTAATTCGTGTCACGCTCACTTAATGGATCATGCTGATTTTCGCATTTTGATCAAAGGCAAAGCATTTGCTTCAATCCTTAACACATATAACAAGTAAGCAATAGTTGCTTGAATGCATTTAACAGGTAGAAGAACTATATATATTCTTAATCATATGTATATATCCTTAATCAGGATCAACTTCCGAGTCGATAAAGCCATATGTATATACATATACATGAACACGTTGATCTCAGGGACTATAAGATCTATAAGTGTGAGAAAGGTATGCCTAATAAGCGTATACTTAATATATGTATATATTTAACAGCTGGATTCAGGTTATATCGTAGTCGAAAAACCTTGCTTGAACAGCTTTCCTTGAGAGAGATAGAGAGAGACAGAGAGAGAGAGCGAGAGAAAGAGAAAGAACGAGAAGAGAGCAAAGATAAGGAGTGTGTTCAAAACTGCGCAGTCACTTTGGCGCTGCAAATTTGCCCGATGGCAACAAAATTGAATTTGTCGGTTCCACTCGTAGCTCAGTTTGTCGAACACTCGCATTGAAAATGGTCGGGCAAAGCGTTATTTTTAGATTGCTGATGATTCTGGCGCCGCTGTTGCTGCTGGAATCCCCACCAGCTGATTGTGCCAACATTTTGGGTCTGTTCAGCACAATAAGTCCCTCACATTTGATTGTACACATGTCGGTGATGAGAACGCTGGCAGATCGTGGCCACAATGTAACCATTGTGTCAGCCCTCAAGCCCAAGCTGGTGCCGCACGAGAATATAACGGTGATTATGGCACCATTTAGTGAAGAGCTCAACGCTCGCATCGCTCTCCATTTGGAGAACTCATCAAAGGAGAAGTCAAACATTTTCTACAGCATTATGAAAACAATGAATACATTGCTGGATAGCCAATTAGAGTTCCTAAAGCATCCCAATGTCGCAGCCATTTATGAGAAGCCGCAAGTGAAATATGATCTTTTGGTCTTGGGCTATGTTATGAATGATTTTCAGTTGGGCGTGGCAGCCAAATGGGATATTCCCATTGTAGTTAGCTGGATAATGGGACCGTTTGGCTTTATCGACGATCAGGTGGGCAACATCTACGATCCATCCTATGTGCCCAGTTTACCTATGAGCAACAACAAGGATGCTCGAGTCCTCGACTTTGGGTTGCGACTTCGCAATTTCGGCATCTGGATTTGCATGAAGGCCATCACATCGGCAATTGACACACAAATGAATAAATATTACAAGTACGCACAATCAGAAAAAAAGTGAGACTGCAACTTATTTTCATACCTATTAATTCTACGTTCGTCATGAAGACTCGCCTTTGGTCAGGAGGATTCCGACTTTCCCACCTACCACGAGATGAGGCGCAGGATATCGCTGCTCTTCTACAATTATCACTCACTCAGCGAGGGCCCGGTGCGTCCCACAGTGCCACAATCCATTGAAATCGGTGGTATACAGATTAAGGATCAGCCAGATCCGTTGCCCAACGAGCTGGCCGAGTTTCTGGGCAATGCCACAAATGGCGCCATCTTCTTTAGCCTGGGCACAAATGTCAAAGCCACATTTTTCCAGCCCCACATCATGGAGGCCATCTTCAATGTGCTCGCCCGCCAGCCGTTGAGCGTTATCTGGAAATGGGATGATCTGGAGCATAAGCCAGGCCAGGCAGCGAATATATACTTCAACAGTTGGCTGCCACAGGACGATCTACTGGCTCATCCGAATATCAAGCTGTTTATTACCCATGCGGGGAAAGGTGGCGTTGCGGAGGCCCAGTACCATGGCGTGCCCATGTTGGCTCTGCCCATTTTCGGGGATCAGCCGGCTAACGCTGAGGTAATGGTCGCCTCTGGTTTTGGTATAAGTCTGGACATGCTCACCCTGACGGAGGAGCGCTTAGAACAGGGTATAAATGAGGTGCTAAGCAATTCGACCTATGTCAAGAATGTGCGCAAATTCTCTGTACTTTATCGCGATCGACCTTTGACCCCACGTCAATCAGTCATCTACTGGACGGAGTATGTGTTGCGACACAAGGGTGCCTACCATATGCAGAGTCCCTCGCTGCACATGCACTTTGTGGCACGCAACAATCTCGATGTGTGCGCCTTCGTTCTCTTCATCATCGCCAGCTCTTTGGTTGTCTTTGTCTTTTTGTTACGTCTCGTCTATAAGCGATTTACTCGCTCGCGAGACAAGGTCAAGAAATGTTAGACACCTATTTGTAGTTAATTAATCTATTTTATAAACTGTATTTATTACGCATACGACGCGTGGCGCGACAATACTATATATATATATATAAAGAGTTATATACAAACCATATAAGTAGCAACAAGTTGCCAACTACCGAATCAGCTATTAATAGGCAGCAATTGTCTCTTTCGCTATCGCTCTCTCCCTGTCACCTACACTGAGCGAATAAGTATGCAATACTGTTACTAATAAATAAAAAATTTGAAAGATTTTATTAAGAGTATAATTATTTGTGAGTTCTCATTTACAACTACAATTCTATGCAGGAAAAGGTTCTTTTCGTACTGATTTATTTATTCACTGTATTTAAGTGAATTTCATAGATTGTACATTTTTGCATATTCGTGTTATTTAATAAATGTCAATATCAGTCGACGCAGAATATGCGCAAAGGAAAAATTTAATTAAATCAAATAAATAAATATTCAAAATAATTTAATTACATCTGCATCTAAGCAAAGTAATATTTATAAGATTTTAGGGGCTATTTACGTGCAACAGCAAACAATTATAAATATTTATAAATGTATACACTTTAACTATAGACTTTTTTCACTCAGTGCACTTTACTCGTTATCGAATTGCTTGAATTTTATGATATTGACATTTTGTGTTTAATCCCGAGATAAGCTGTGCACTACATGCTTATACAAAGTTTCACAAACAAAGAGTAGTACTCAAGTTGAGTGGTATTTTTTCTCAGTGCAGCTATTGTGATATTAATTGTATGACTCGCATCTGTCCGAGTGATACTCGGAATAGTTTGAGAGCTCAGTGCCTCAGTTGCCGTCGTATCGCGGAAAGCGAAACGCGGTTGTTTTCTTAATTGTTTTCTGCTCTTGTCATTCTAGTATTGAATAAAATTTTTTTTATTCAATTTGTTAAATATATATTGCCGTCCGAGTGATGTTTGTATATACTCTTTAATTGCTATTTTGTCTGATATTTTACTATGTTATTAGTGTTCTACAAATATGCAAAGTTCAACAAATCGATTCAATATTTTGCCTAATTATTTCATCATCAACTTGTTAAACTAACGTGGCCATTTTATGTTATTTGGTATGTGATTACATTTAGTTATGCGTTTCGAAATTCGAGTTGATAATAATAATAACAACAACATTTTTGTGTATTATATGTATGAAAACAATGCAGTATGCGCCTCACAACGATAACGAAGCCGGCGATTAAATTTTGGCCTCGTATCAGCACCTAATCGGAAACTTATCAGTTTGTGGACTAAAGTAAACGTGTCCCTCAAATTAATATAATATATATAAAGAAATATCAACTTGAAAATCGATTCAGTTACACTTTGCACTCCGGAGAGTGAAGAAGACGTCAACATGTCACAGCAGACAGGATCTTTAATATCCTGCACATTTGTGTGCCTTTTGCTGGCATTCTTTGCTGGCCAATCTTTGCCCGTGGAGGGTGCAAATATTTTGGGCGTATTCACCAGTCACAGCCCATCACATCTGATTATTCACATGTCCGCGATGAAAGCGTTGGCGGAGGCAGGTCACAATGTCACCGTTGTGTGCACATCAGTGCCAAAGGTCACGCACAAGAGCATCAAACAGATTGTGATACCATTGACTGAAGAGGAGGAGAAGCAACTCAATGCTGGCATGACGGGCATGGCCAAAGAGAAGCCATCCATAATTAACACATTCAAGAATTTGTTGGGTTCACTGTCGATGTACATCGACAAGCAGGTGGATGTGTTGGAGGACAAACGCTTCACGGATCTCTACAAGAACAAGGATAACAAATTTGATGCAGTCGTCTTCGGATTCTTTTTCAATTACTACCAAGTTGGATTGGGCTCCCTATTTAACTGTCCTCTGATTCTGAGCTGGACGAGTGCACCCATGTCTATAGTCGATGAGTCTGTTGGCAATCCCGAACTTATAGCCCTCGTGCCCAGCATGAATGTCGCAGTGAAACCTGGTCAAGCCATGAACTTCAAACAGCGATTGGCCAACTATTTTGGCACAACGCTTTTCCGCTTTATTGGCTTCTATCTGGAGACGAAAAATGTGGTATTTTACGAGTAAGTAGCGCAGTAAATAATATAATCGGTATTCTTCAGATATATATAAATGCTTTTGAATTGTTTACAGTCGTCTGTGGGGTAAGATTCCAGACATGATCAGTTATGATGAGGCGAAAAAGAACGTGTCGCTGGCCCTCTGCAATAGTCATGCGATAAGCGAGGGACCCGTCAGGCCCAATGTGCCCGCAGTGATTGAGATTGGCGGCATACAGATTAAGGAGAAGCCCGATCCATTGCCACAGGATATGCAGGAGTTTTTGGACAATGCCAAGAATGGTGCCATTCTCCTCAGTTTGGGCAGCAATCTAAAGAGTGAAAATGTGAAGCCAGAGTCTGTTGAGAAGATTTTCGAAACGCTGTCCAAACTCAAACAACGGGTGATCTGGAAATGGGATGATCTGAAGCATACGCCCGGAAAATCGGCGAATATACTCTACAAGAGCTGGCTGCCCCAGGATGATATACTCGCTCATCCCAATATCAAACTGTTCATTACCCATGCAGGCAAAGGAGGTGTGGCCGAATCTCTGTACCATGCCAAGCCCATGTTGGCGCTTCCCGTCTTCGCCGATCAACCCAACAATGCTGATAAGTTGGTTCAATCGGGCTACGGGATTCGTGTCGATTTGTTGACCCTGGAGGCGGACGAGTTTAAGGCGAGCATCAAGGAGCTGCTGCAGAATCCCATCTACACCAAAAATGTGCAGGCATTCTCGAAGCTCTATCGCGATCGTCCGATGTCAGCTCGCGAATCGGTTGTCTACTGGGTTAACTATGTGTTGCGTCATCATGGCGCTGCCCATATGCAGAGTCCCCTTGTCCACATGAACTTTATTGCCGCCAGCAATCTGGATGTGTATGCCTTCCTGGCTTTTGTACTCTTTATTGCTTCGCTGATCAGCTTTGTTGTGCTGAGATTCTGCTATCGAAAATGTTGTGGTGGCAAAGGCAAGCCACAAAAATCATCCCAAAAGTCAAAGGTCAAGAAGCACTAGTTTTATTTGTTTCCAGTAAGGCGATGGGTGCTTAAATGTAATTAGTAATTTAAAATCGACAATAAATTTCGAGATATGTACATATGTATGTATAAAATGTTAGAAATATTATTAGGTTTTTACATCCATTAAAAATGGGAAAAGGGTATAATGAAAATGGGCCAAATTGTGTAACAAATTTTAAAAACAACGGCTGTTAACTTATTAGTAGAGTTTCGCACCTGATTACTGTTCAGAAATCTAAGTTAACGCAGAGTTTCGCACCATTACACTGCTTAGAACCCACTTGTAATCTAAGCAGCGCAAAATACGTTGCTGTTTAGACTGCTTATTAGCAAAGTTCCACCACTGTGAACTGCTTAGTATGTAAGCACTTCAATATGTTAACAAGCAGGTTGCTTATTAGCAGAGTTTCACACCTATATAGAAAAAGCTTGCTGTGCTCGCGTTTTGTAAGCGTTTTACCCGCGACTTTTGTTTGTGTATTTTAGGTGAACAACAATTTGTACAAAACAGGCCATATCATTGCAGATTTTAAAAAGACTTCCTTTGTTAGAATCACAAGTGTCAGGTCTCCTGAACTGCATTCAAGAAACCTAAACAGTCCTAGGGATATGGCCGAATAATCCTGTTATTTAAGTTGTTTCCGAGAAACCCTTCGTTAACTTTTAACAACATTTATTTGTCGAATCCCAAAAATCAAAAATAGCTTTCCTTTTGAGATCTTTAAGGATGCAGCCGAGTTATGTCATAAGAAAGAAGAGCTTAAAAGTATTATTTTTGCTGCAAGTCTGATTACAAGATTGACTTAAATTTAAATTAAAAAATAAATGTATAAACGACGACTTTATAATACATATATTTGATAAATTTGTCTGTACATTTAACGCCGAACTCTCTATGAGCGTATTTGCTCCTCGGAGTCTGTACCAGGAGTAGCTGCTGATGGAACTGGTGGCACCGCCGTATGCTCATCGGCCAGAAACTTTTGCAGACTGTGCTGTGTAACGAGGCCGCTGTCATCCGCATAATGCATGAGATCACAAATGATGGGCGATTCTACGACTAAGATGTACTGGCATGTCTTCGGCTCCAGCAGATACATGGAGACAGCTGTGCCGCTGTTCGTCACCGGCGTGCAGGTCAGTTTGACGTCTACTTCGCGCGGCAGACCGCTGCGATCGCAGTGGGTGCCCTTCTCATAGTGATGCCAGAGGGATGAGGTGAAACCGGGACGCCGTGCACCTTTATCGGGATTGGAGCTGGCCCACAGTCGATGCGATTCCTCGGAGAAATACCCCAGAAATAGTTCCACCTCACTGTTCTTATCCTTATGAAATTGACGCACATGCCGACCATAACAGAATTCGTATTTCCACCAGCCGGTGCCCTGTGAAAGGAATACAAAGTGTTTGCTAAGAATTATATTATTATATATTTCTCATATAATTACTTACACCCGTTAGACAGTTTTTGCCCGAAATGAACTCCTTGATGGGAGTCAGATCATTTAGAGGCGCTGGAGTTGTGCCTCCTGGCCCACCTCTGGACAACACTATCTGTTGTAAATCATGGTCCACTTCGATGTCACCATTGGCCATCAGTTCCAAGATGATTTTGTCCACATCGCCGCTGTACTTGAACGTCACAATATCGCCAATATCCGCCTTCGAAAACATTTTGGGTGGCGTTTTGCTCTCCTTCGAAATGAGTAAATCATTTTCACTTTCCTCCCATTCGTTAAGCTCCTGTCGCAACATGCTCAGTGGCTTGTGGGGTTCCGTTTGTGAATTGAAGCATTTAATTGAGATCTCTTTGGTCTCCTCGGCATGGAAGGCGGGTATCGCACAGAGCGATGATGTCAAAATGATTGCTTCGTAATTACATGACGACGTCTCCTTGAACGAATAGATATCATCCTTGCCATGGGGATAACACACATAACGCGCCATCGTTGTGCGTGGCGCATTGATGATGTCGCACAAGGTGCCATCGGTGAACTCCATTTCAAAATAAGGATAACGCGTATTATCGATTTTCAGTGTTTTGTACTTTGGTTTGCTGTCCGTTTTGCGTTCCGCTTCCCATTCCTTTTTGGCCAGCTCCGTTTTCTCGTCACTCCACTTGCCCAGGTAGTACTCCTGAAACTTGACATTTTTACCCTCGCGCTCCTCATGATACTGGCGCACATGATGCCCATGGCAAATCTCATACGACCAATATGCCTCAATGCGATATGAGCAGGTGGGCGCTGAGAAGATCGGCTGAAGCAGTCCAATAGGTGCTGAAAAAGAGGGGTATTTTCAATAAGAGTGATTTCATTTCAAGTAAAATTACTGTATAAAATCATTATAATTCTGACTTACACAGTTCTGGTTGATTGGTTTTCTCCTCCTCTTTGGGCATTTGCAGCGCAGGTATTAAACACTCATACTTCTCCTTGTCCGGTGTATAAAATGTGCGCAACTGATTGCCCAACTCCTAGCATGTATATATAACACATATTTATTATTTATATTCATGTTTTATTACTTAGCTTACCGGTTCACTCAACAAATCGGGCACATCAAAAGCGATTTTGTATAGCACGGAATCATCAAAGTCTTTGGCATCGTGCGCCGTTGCTGTTGTTGCGAACAGCAACATTAACAACAGCATTTTTGGCAACAAATTGTGTTTTAATTGTGCTAAGTCCTGCATTTTCAATATTTTATTTTCATTGCACACACAAATTACACGTCGTCTAGAAAAATAATAAACATCTGATCTTGCAGCTGGTGCTCAAATGTGAATGACACATGCTGTTGCCGCTGCGTAGTGAATGGCAAAAAGTGTGCACACACCAATTTTGCAAATATTTATATTTGAATACAAAGAATCGTTATATTTAGTTAACGAATATTTCTGTGTTTTGTCAATTATTGCTCAATTTCTTAATTATCACTATTTATTAATGAATTTGCCACACAAACTTTGTCTGAAAGTCACGCTCGTCTTATAATATTAATAATAAGTTGCTAGTATTTTATGGTGATAGTTGGATTTGGTAAGCATATTGATTGATCAATATATCTTAATAAAATCACAGAACATCTTCTTTTCAAAGTATTTTATTTCATAAGTTAATTAAATTAGTTTTCCTATCTGCTTTCTGCATCATTCGATCCAGTTTTTTCCGTGTTCCCCGTAGTCCAGCCTGTTTCTGCTTTTCTATCATGATCTAATGGAAATTTATCAATGGCATCCAGTATGAACTGAAGAGAATGCGCTGTGCGTGGTAACCAATTCATAATGCGCGATGTGGTTGAAGTGGTTGATGGCTGACTCGTTGCTTCGCTGTCATCCACAAAGTCATCGTCGCCTCCGGAGAAGGAACGAACACCGCCTAGATAGTCCTGATAATCGTAATCGCTGGTCAAAGGATTTACTTTGGAGTAGTAGATGGCGGCGAAGGTGGAGTAGATGATCAGAAGAGCAGTGCCAACCTGGCGATTGCATAAATAATCAAATATTAAATACAATTTAAGGTAGCACATTTGAGATAACATACCTGGAAAGCAGCCCAGAACTTGTAGGATCCCTCCGTGATGACAAAATCATAGTAACCCTTGAGAGGATCACCCTTAATATAACGTCCCTCGCCCACATCTGAACTTGCTGGGCTTGGTTCTCGTTTCATTCGCAGTCGGCTTACAGAGGTTTCCTGAGGCGAATTTTCCTGGACAGGCTTACTGGGTTCTACAATAACTGCTGGCGCTAGTGTCACCTCATCGGAGAAGTCTTTCGAGGTGCTTGTACTCTTGCTGGGGCTCCTTGTTGTTGTTGCTTTTGTTGTTGTGCTTGTTGTTCCCTTAGCTTTCTTGGTCTGATTGCGCTGTCCGAACTTATCACCCTCAATGCGTGGGGGTTTCTTCGAATTAATCCTCGACTTGATCTGCTGCTGCTGTTGCCGCAGTCGCTGCTTCTCCAGGCGTTCCTTTTTCAGCTGCTCGGTACTCGCCTGATGCCGGTCGGCGACTTTACCCCAAGCGCTCGTCAATGCCTGATAGAGATCCCACATTTGCTTCAGAATTTTTAGAAACGTCACCAGCGAAGACTCTTGGGGAACTGGTGCAGCGGAAATAGCGTTAACGGGCACCGATGCCACCTGCTTGGAGCTTAGCTGATTCGTATGTGGGGTATGTGGGCGCGGCTGGAAGCCCATGGGATAATCGTACACTTCATCGTAGGCATCATATGGCGGACTAACAAAGTTGATCATCAATTAATTAGTTCAAGTTTGATTGCGAATCTGTTTTTATACTCTGAGCCCGAGGGTAACAGGGTATTATTGTTACACTCAGCTAAAAGCTGTACAAGCGACATTATCCAAACACATTTTGACCCGCAAAAATCGTTAGCCTTTACGCTTACAAATCGTTATCTTGGAGTCAAAGTTTTGGAGTGAATATTCTCAGATTCATTAAGGTTAATTTTTTAATGATTTCAGCTGGTTTCAGATTATTACATACTCGGTTCACGATGTCACTTAGTTCACGATATTTTCTACTTACCGATTGACAGCAACTGGCTGCAATTTGCGATTATTGGTGACTGGTGATGGAGTCTGTGTGGCATATTGCCACTTTCCGTAGAAGGAGTCAACGGGTCGTCCCTGTGCAGATCTACCCTCACTCTCCGAGGGAACAGAGCTATCAGCATCGCTATAACTGTCATCTGACTCCGCTAATTGCTGACCATTGAAATAGTCCTCAGCCGCTGCATCATAGTAGGGATCCGTCTCGTCGGAGTCCGATCTGGGTTGTGCACTCTCTGAATTGACAAGCACCGCACTCTGCTCCTCGTAGTAGTTATTACTATGTCCATTTACAATCTGACTGGCATTTGCCTTGGCATCTCTCGCTATGCGCTCAACAGTTGCAGCGATTTCATCGTCCGTTTTATTAGACGATAGCTGAAAGTGCGACCATAGGCGATTCACATTGAAGATCTGATTCAAGGACTGATCCCCCTGTGAAGATTGAGAGCGACTCGCCTCCAGCAGAGCAACGCCCGTTAGGGTCATTGCGAAGAGCAGCATGGCCAAGATTAGGGTCCAAACACCCGGCAGACGTCGTCTGCTTTTCGTTGACATTTCCGTGTAGTCCAACATAATATTTTTATTCCTTTAAGCTTAGTCCTTGTTTTGCGCGGAGGGCAAGCTGCCGTTCGGTCGAAAGTCCACTCGTCAACTAAATGCAGAACAACAGATTTTGAGATAGAAAAACTCCCAATGAATTGGGCCTTGTTGTGCACCTGTGTGTGTGTGGTTATGTATGTGTGTGTGGTGTTAATGCAAGAAAAATTTCAGTCGAAGAAATGCTTTCTAGAACATCTTCGGCACCAGCCTCGTTGTAAGGTGCTAATCTGTTGGCGGCGTGGGGAATATTAAGCTACTGCTCCAGTTTCAATTTAACGGTTAATTCGGCAACGAATGCTACATCAATTATCATCCCAATGTGCATATATACATTTATCTCTGTGTACATATATATGTCTATCGATCCATTTATTTATGCATAATCCAAGCCACATGCGTCTTCACTTGTTTACCACAAAATTCTTTTTCGCGGTGAAAGTGCGCAACATGATAAAAAATTAAAATACTACTCAATACTAATTCGAGGAGGCAAACAAATCCCCGTTCTCAAGATCGAGATCAAAGTCGAGCGTTGAGGAAGTATCACCCCAATTTCTATGGGCTGTCTGTCCGTCAGTCGTCAAGATTGGAGTGTGGCGTGTGCCACGCTTTCGAGTTGATTTTACATGCTGCCACATTGTTCGACCCATATGCATATTCAAATAAAAATACATATCACCATCAAATCACGCACAAGAAGTACATATGTATATAGAAACCCGAAGCGTGGCCCATTCATCATATCTGACGAAAGAAATTAAACTCAGCAATGAATTGTAAATGAAGATGTTAGATTCTTCTCAATTGCAGTTTTGTTGCAACATCTATGCGCCAGCAATTATCACATATCTCTGTTGTTTGTGGAATATTAAATATCACTACTTAAATGAAAAAAAGAAAATAAATACATATATTTTTGTGAGAAGGAGAAAATCGTTTTTAAATTTAAGAGTACTTTGAATTTTCTAATTAAAACAAACAAATGATTGTCTACAATTGTCAATCATTTAATTTGGTTTTGTTTTTATGGATAGGATTGATTCAGCAATAGAAAATTATTGATTATTATTATTTCAAATTCGTTTAATATTATTTGCTAAAGCACGGGTATAATATACTTGTTTTTTTATGCATATAACTCTATTAAACTTGTCACAACCATTTAAAAAAATAGTGCTTTAAATAAGCAGTGCTTTGTCAGAAATCAATGGAATAAATACTAGTTAACAGCAGAAATGTTTCCCAATATTCGATACCATGTAAAATGTAAATGAAATATGAGAGTTGATAAGGTAGAAGTGCCCTCATGATGATGATAATAACGATGATGATTAATACGACTACGCGCTCAAAGCCGACACACTTGATCAACAAGCTGTTGTTTATTGTTTACCAAACATTGACAACTGCGCAGTAAAAAAGCCGGCAAATTGAGAACTTCGAATGAGAACGCTATGAATAGGGTGGACCTTTTCTATGTTTATAACCTATTTATCTTGTGTGATATTACAAATATTGATATTTACTGAGCAAATTAAACGTTTACCTAATTGAAATTGAAAGAATTGTGTCACATATTTTGCAAAGACTAGTAGTAACTAGTAAAATTACATTTGATTTCATTATTTCAAGTATATAATATTTTGATATATTTCTAATATTTAACAGAAATATTTCTGAAAATAAGACTACTATTAATAGTCCAAATATATATGTATGTTTATATATATATAGAGTACCAGCTTGGTACAAATTTAAAATTTAATAGGTATCATGAGAGATAAGCCGAATTTATTAATTAAACATTTTGAACCATTTTTGATGTCGATTTTCACATATAGAAAACAATCAGATTAAAGAAACAAAGCAAAGGTAGAGTGATAAAAGGTAACAAATTCTATATATAAATATATATATATAAATATATATGCATTGCAGTAAATAAAAAAAAAATGAAAAGTTCAGTTGTACATTATGTATGTATTTTTATTTAATTAATTGTAACTAATATATAACTAGCACTTAATAATATACAGTCAGTATTTGTAAGTAACAAGTTTAAATCGCCTTCACTTTCTCCAATTCCTGCCTTTCTCTTTCATCTTAATTAACATTTGATATGGTCATTTTTTATAAGTCGTAAACAGTTAGTTTTTGCACGCCTTTTTGTTATTGTTGGTGTTGACGAGCTTGGTTAGAACTTTTCTTGAGTGTCCAGAGGGATCATTGTGATTGGTATGCTCACAGGCTTCCTTCTTGGACCGCTGCTTGCCGCTATGACCACTGAAGATGTGTTTGCCATGATCGTAATTGTAGTGCTCATATTGATCGCTGCTCGCCTCAGACATGTTGAATAATTTAAGATTCTTGACTTCTTGAGATCTTTGCTTATATTATGACTTTTACGTTGTTTTCCAGAGGAGACGTCTTTATGGCTTGACTTTGGCAACCGCAATGAATGTGCCTCCAATTCAAAGCGTATAAGGAAAGCTTTAAAGTGTTTAAAATACGACGCCATTCACTATCTCAACTCGCCTATCTCTCTCTCTGACGCTCTCCTTCTCCCTCTCTCTTTCGAACAAGTTTGCCTCGCTGAGACTTGGGTGTTTTGGGCTCTCATAAAAGCTTTAAAATATTTATAAACACTGCGCAATATTATTTTAATGCAGTGTCAACTATTTTAAAACATTTATTGCTATTTTTATTGACTAGTGAACATAAACTTTGTTATTAAGTATTTATATGCTATACAGTAGTCACTCGCAAACGTAAACTATTCCGTTGTGGAGTTGATTTTAATATGCGCATGATTCTCATTTCTGAAAGTGCTAATTTTCAATACGGCAACAATTCACACCTAATCATTGTTTATAGTTAATGATTTCTATAAACCAATTTTAAAAGGTATATTTATAAAACAGCAAAAATGAATATTGCAATTGTAATATTCAAAGCTCTTTTATATTTGAGTTTTTCTTCCATTTTTGCTGTACTATATTATTATATTTTTATACTCCACATACTTCTAAATACAATATTTACACTACATACAATTATTTTCCATACATTCTATAAATTTTCCAATCCTAATTATGAATTATGAATATTTTATCAGTAGATGAATCAGATGTCGATTCGAGTTTAGATTTGTTATGGCATTAATTATCATATGGTATTTGAAAGTCTTGAACTTCACTTCTTAAGTGGCTCCTTTGGCAGTAGCGTTTTTATGCGTTTAACACTTGTCACCGGCAATTCCGATGTAGTTTTGCGATTTTTTCGCACTGGCTCTGTGATGTTTTTGCTCTCCTTGCCACTAACTGGCATCAATGCATCAATGGGTGGCAGAACAAAATCGTCGGGCATTTTATTTTCAAAGGAACTATCCACCGTCTCCGGCAGTTCCAGTTGAACCGCTTTTTCCGTATGGACGCGCTGCACATGCTCCTTCATCTTGTCCGAGCGATGACTACTGAAGCCACACAGCTGGCACTTGTAACGATTGAGGCCCCACTCCGTGTGCTTGAGGGCGTGTCGCTTCAAGTTCTTGCTCTGACTGAACTTGCAGCCGCAAATCTCGCAAATGAAATCACGTCCCTGCTTGTGCGTCTCGATATGCAGTTTCATGTTCTCCTTGCGATTCGCACGATGCTTGCAGCCCGACACAGTGCACATAAAGAACTCTCCCGTGTGTAAAAGTTTGTGGCTCTTGAGTGCCTTCATGTGGGTGGTGCTATAGCCGCAGACATCGCACAACATCTGTTTCTCTGGATTGTGGACCAGCATATGATTACTCAGACCCTGTTTCCATTTGAAAGCCTTGCCGCAATGTGTGCAAACATGCGGCGTTTCCGTCGAATGCTTTGGCTGATGGACGAGCAAAGCGGCTCGAGTACTGAAACGATTATCGCACTGCAGACAAAAAAAGGGCTTGCGCACATCGGATCCATGACGACGTAAGTGCGCATCGTATTCCCGCCAGTCGAGGAAGCCCACCTCACAGAGAGAACACGTCAAATGTGACGGCTCGCAGCTGGTCATGTGATCAATCATCTTTTGCACTTGGTAGCACTTGAAATCGCAGCCAATGCAGTAGTTCACTTTGCTATTAGATTTAACGGCGCGTGGATTCTTCAACTAAAAAATGACAATGAAAAAATAAAAATAAAAATTAAAAAATTACTTTGCATTTCCAGCGCTTACCTTAAAATAACTTTGCTGATTCTCAAAGACCACATCGGGCTGTGTAGCTGGCTGCAGATTATCCTCTGCATCAGCACCACGTACAGCACTCGGCTCTGGACCCATGCTGACATCACTGCACTGTTCAATTTGGTATAAATTTAAGAGCTCCGTTACGGAAAGTATCTTGGCCAATTCGCGAAAGTGAGACTCATGCTCCTTGGAGACAGAAACAATGTCCTCGTAGAAGAAGTCCACAATTGTGTGCAGGCAAACCGTACAGTTGAAATTGCGTATGGTGACCTTAAGTGGATTCTGTATGGAGAATTGCTGCTGCTTTTGTTGATTGAGGCCAATTAGCTGACTCTGAGCAGCCACCACACAAAAGTGAACGCTGCAAGTGCAGGGGGCATCATCAGAGTCCAGCTGCAGCAGCAGATCACAGAACTGGCCTGTGCGTCGTTGATTGTTCAAATAATTGGAGACTTTTGAGTGCAGTGGCTGGTGCAATGTGGGCTGAATGACCGGCGATTGTAGCATTGCACACTCAATTTTCTAGTTCAATATGTATATGAAATATAAACAAACTGAAAACGTTGTTTTGAATCTGCACAGAACAGCTGATCGAAGTTGGTATTCACACGGAAGCATTGACAAATGCGAGAAATGCAAAATGCTTGCATGACATGCAGCTTGATTGTACGTTATTTTAAATATGAAAATTTATACAACTTTCAGATTTCATGAATAATCATTAACTATAATTATCATATAAGCTATTAAGTTTAATTAAGTTAATAGGCACACATAACATAACGATAAACTAAACATTTAACATCCTGCTCTGCCCTGGCCGCTGGTTCAGGAGCAACCTTATCAATTGTTTATTCAGCAGTGATAAGAGATTTGAAGCGTTGGTGGAAGCTTCGTGGGAGCTGTGCGATTGTCTGAACAGTCGCGAATAGCACTGTGAATCAAACGGGCGCGTTAAGTGATAGACAAAGCCAAAAATAAAATAAAAACAGTTTCCATATGTATACAATAGATTTCATCGCAAATAAATAAACACAATAAAAATGGAAAGGTATAATATAGTAAAACTTAACAAATCGAATTACTAAAAGAAATGCAACTTTTTATAGCATTTGGCAGGAGTGCACATCATTTTTGAAGACCTTACTGTGCTTTATAGTCGCACTAATGCTGTTGCCATTGTTGCTGGTATCATTTCTGTGTGAGTATATATAATGTCCATAGAGATTTCGCGATCGCTGACCCAGATAGGCCACATAGGTCTCATTTTAATCGAAGCAGATCGAACATGACCGACTATAAATAAACGAGGCATGGGTTGACTAACCGCCCATTCAGCCAAAGGATGCCTTGCATTATACGATTCGCTTCGAATCGCCTTATTATCGATAGATAAAGAGAGGGCGGCGTTGGGGGGCGGTGCAATACCGCACGCTCATGCCAGTGATAAGCTTTGTTTATAAATAATAAGAATAGCAGCGACGATGCGTCGCTGATTACCTGTTGCACCTTTACGGAACCCAGACGAGCGACCAAATCAACCTTTGACCAATCGAATTACTCATAAAATTTTTTGGCATAGATAAGCCCGCTTCGACTTTTGTTTGGCGGGTGGGTGATAACACGATTAATGTCTACTTGAATTACTTACTAACTAGCAGAACATATATGTGTCTGATTTCGAGAACGTTTTAAATAGCATTTCTTATTAAGCGGAATATACCTATACACTAAGTCAAGAAAGTGTATTGTCAAAAGAAAAAATTTATGTTTTTTTTATTTCTTGTGCAAAAAATCTTTACTTAATTAGTGTCTTGTATTTTTTTTACACTTTAGTAAAGTTCTGAAAAGTTTAAAAAATTGTTTATGTTTATCTTAAACTAGTGTAAAATTTTAAAAATCAAAAGTTCTACATTTTTTGACTTTGGAGAAGGTGTTTTGATGATTTTGATGATTCCCTTTCGAGCCGATCCCATTAGAAATATGCGTTTATTATTATTATTTTTTTTTACTCGATGGAAGACATCAAATACTTTAAAGTGGTTTTGCTTTGACTTAAAGCGCATTCGAACAGATAACAATTATCAATATTCTTTGATATTATAATACATATGCCTTACCTTTAATTTTTCCATTGCAGGCGCGCACTTTGCCAACGAGCTGGCCAACTATGTGCTGAGCATCAAATATCCCAATTTGACCATATCCAAGTCAAAGAAAATACGCACACTGATCGATACGCCCAAAAATGCTGGCATTTTTCACTTTCTGCTCCAGGTGGAGGGGCCCTGTGATTTTGAGCGGATTAGGCGCGCCTATGCGCTGCAGTTGACCGAGTTGAAGGACAAAGCGGGCATCCTCAAGTTTCCCAAGTTGCGACAGAAACTGGTCACATGTTGGGGTCAATATGCCTGGGTCAATGATAGCACGTAAGATATAAAACATAAATTAAAATAATAAAATGATTGTTTATGTAAATAACATTCTCTGTCCGCAGTGGTTTCAACATCAACAATCACGTTCTGCTCAGCAATCCCAAATATAGAGGTCGTCCCGTCAACGAATCGAATATACAGGAATATGTCAGTGAGTTGGCTGCCAAGTATATACCCTCCGATTTGCCCCAATGGCAGGTGACCGTAATACCCAACACGGATAGTGCACAGCCCTATTATATACTGATTAAGCTGCATCATTTGATCATTGCCGAGGAGGAGGATTTGCATGTAGGCGAGATGCTTCTCCTGCAAGACACTGATCGTAAATCAATTGTAGACTTGACCAGGCCAACTGCCACCCGGCAGCTTACCCACTTTGTGCGCCAGCCGGAGCATATCAGTAAGCTGCTCAATCATGTGCTGCATCTTGTTAGCTGTCGCTGGCAGCAGTTCATCTATGAATTCGAATCGCTGGACACACCCGATGGAGTCAAATCGCATCCGGATGCACGCAATCTCAGCCAGCTGCTGTCGCTGGTGCTAATCGTTGTGGTCAATGTGGTTTTGGGCTATTGGCGCACCCAATCCATGCGTCGTAAGAGGCAACGACGAGCCGCGAGCTATCGCAGCGATGTGGGTCTGCTCCAAACGCTCTATTTGCTGCTGCAGCACGAGCTGGAGCAACGTAATCTCAGCTGGGCAGTAGCCCGCTCCGCCCTGGCGCACAGCCTGCAGCCATCGAATATTGTCAAAGCCTGGACACGTTTCCTTTGGCAACTCTTACTGAATTATTGTATCCTCTTGCCATATCACATCTATTGCGAAATGCTGGCACTTCGAGATGTGCTGTTGCGAGGCCAGACGTCATATAGTACCACCTACTGTGCTCGACTGCATCTCTATGTGCCGCTGCTGATTTACGCCCAGCTCGAACTGGTCAAGATCTGTTATGAGCTGTTCAAGGCGCCCAGGAATATCTATGAGGTGTTGTTTGTGCAGCCCACCAAGGAACTGAATATACTGCACAAGAAGTCCTATGCCGGCAGAAAGATTGTCTCCTTCAGTCGGTCCATTGATGGCGCTGTGTTGCGTGAACGTCATCAGCATTTATTTGGCAAGAAACTCCGAGAATCCGATTTTAGTTTGGCCTGCTTAGCGGGAGCTGTTCACGATTATTTCAATACGTATGCGGATAAGGCAACGGTGCCGGCTCTCTTGAATACCACCTGTCGGACAATATCCAAGGGCTACTTCACCGATCGCAGTGGCGACAAATCGGAACATATTGGTGGTGTGGTATTTTTGCAGCTACCTCTGGGCTCGCCAGATGCCCTGAAGACCCAACAACTGCACGAGATTGTTGAGCGCATACGCAAACAGCAGATCATGATCTATTTGGCCTCCATTGGACAGACCAAGTACAGTCTGCTGACAGCTCTGTTGCCACATGTCCTTACCAAGATATTTATCAACTTCTTTTCGTACAATTTTCCTGTTACCATCACAGAGATATATGGTGCGGCAGACACACAATTTCAGTCGGCGTGGGGCCAGCGGGTGCAAGATGTGCTGCTGTTTCGGCCGCCGCAGTCGAAGACTTGTTTGTCCCTGAATCTGCATCGATTTGGGGACAAATATAGGTTAGCTGTTATGGCGGATACTCATCTGGCTCCCGATCACACACTGCTCACCCAATCCTTTGAGCGTTATATGGAAACGGTGACACTGTAAAAACAAAAACGAAATAAAACTATTTATCCGACTTTCTTTGCATTATATCTCATTAAGAAATTGTTTTAAATTTCGCGCGCTCTTCTAAAACAGTTCACAGCTTGCATTTGCCATTCGCTTGCATGCGCAGCCAGTGCACAACTCTGTGAGTTCTCAAATCAGTTTGACGTTTAATTTGTCGTTATATTCAAATGTGCTGCTGTGATAAGTTCAAAATGGAAATATACATTTTAATAAAAAAAAACAACTAATGAAAGTTAAACGAATAACTAAACATAGTGCAAGCGCTGCTGCCGTTTCGAGCTTGATTTAACGCGCTAATGTCAAATGTAAGCAGAAAGTTTCAAGTCAAACGCACGTATAGAAACGGTTGCCGCTTAAGCTACGGTTTCAGTCGCTCTCCGAAGCCGGGTCTTGAATGTCGCACGTCGGATTCACGATTTTTCGCACAAAATTATATGCCGCGTAGACGATACAATTTTTTTAAAGTAATATTATGATGTGTTTATATCAACGGAAGTGATAAAAACATGAAATGGTTGTCAAGTGAAAAGAAATAATTGAAATGCTATTTACCCATGCATTTGACTTTTAATTGATAATTGAAGCAATTAATAATCAAATACAAAAGCATAAGCAAACAGTGTAATTAGAACATCAATTATAGGTCTAAAAAATGTTTATTTTGTAATTGGCTTGAAATATTCGTGAGATCTTTGTTTTCTTTGTTTTCGTCTCATAGAACAAATGAAATATTGTATTTTTTTTACGCGAAGCCGTATCAGCATATCATCTAATCAAATCAAATCAAACCTTGTTATAATTTCACTGAGCTTGTAAAGCGACGCTAGACAATAGCAAAAGTTAATGAACAAGCTCACAGTGAAGCAAAATGCTTAATGCGAGTCCATATTTGAATTTATAGAACATCCGCTTTATAGAACAAAAAATTATAATAAAAATAATGATAGTGTTGCTGCTAGTGTTAAGGCCACGCTGAAAGTTACATACTCTATCAGATAAAATGATGGAAACATATTAACACTTGTAACTAATGAGTTTGCTTGAGATATCTTTTATCTTATCTTTCGAACGATAGTTACTATGTCAGCTCCCAAGTACATCGTCTATATATACTATATATGATCTCGAACAATGCGTTACACACTTAGCGATAAATTCGTAATACTCTCGGCAAGTGTATCAAAAACAAAAGCGCGCAAGCGTAAAATGAATTTGATTTGTTTAGCTTTTGTTTCTTGATTGTTTTTTATTTGGTGTTTCTCGTTACCTTATGTGTTTATATGGAGCTTTTGTTACTTATAGGGTAATAATAACGGCACCTATATAGGCACCTCGAGGTTTCCAGCGCGGAAACAGTTGATTGTCGCCTCTCTGGTTACTTTATAAACGCTGATTAACTTTAAGCGCAATCAAAACAAATCAGAATTAATTCAAACCGAAAGACTGGGACACAGAGATGTTGCAACTGGTGTTCATCTTGGCGTTATGCATCTGCCCAGCACTCCCAAAGGAGCAACACCAGCAGGAGGGGACACCTCAACTGAGACTCTGGCTGACGATAAGCGCACGCAAACGATTCCTGGAAGTCTCCTGGAAGCATGCTCCAGCTCGGGATGGGGATAATGTTTTGTTAACTGCACAGGATCCGCATAGTTTTGAGCAGCGTATTCTGCCCACGGGAACACCACTCGCATCCTTCAACAGTGATGGTGTGGAGGGCAGCGGTTCGAGTGGGGATCAGGTGGCATTTATACCGTTTAATGGTTACACCAGCACGCCGGGCTCTGTACCAAAGGCGCCGACAATTGGACCACGCCTGCATTGGATTTCGAATAATGGCAACAATGAGATCGTGGCTGCCATTAAACCAAGTCAATCCGCCCAATGGTTCACCACTGGTGTGCCCTTTGATTATGCCCTCTCGCGTAATGTGAGCACGGAGAGTGCCTGCTACGGCTACTGGGCCAGCTACATCGATGCCCATGGGCATATACTGGCCAAGAGCTGTGTGAGCGCCCATCCACGCTGGATGAATGAGATGCGTGCCGTGTTGGGTGGACTGCGTCTGCGAGATCTCTTCATACCCGGCACCCATGATTCGGGCTCATATCGACCCAATTTCGATCCGCTGTTGCGCGAGAGTCTTGTGACCAAGTACGCTCTCACCCAGGACGATGATATACGTGGCCAGTTGCTGCACGGTGCTAGATATCTGGACATTCGAGTGGGCTACTTTAGCCCAGCGGAGGAGAAGTTCTTCATTTATCATGGCATCACGAAACAGCGGCCACTCAACGAGGTCATACAGCAAGTCAAGGATTTTGTGCTGGCCACCAATGAGATTGTGATTTTCGGACTCAAAGAGTTCCCTGTGGGTGAGTGAAATGGAACATTAAAATGGAAGCCTTAAATTGTATCTCATTTGAAGGTTTCGGCAAGGGTCTGGGTGTGCATCGGCTGCTGGTCAGCTATTTGCGCCAGCAATTTGGGGATCTTTTTGTGCATCCATCGCTGACATGGCACGCGACCCTGGACGACATCTGGAGGCGAAAACAGAATGTGATATTGGCCTACGATAAACACGAAATGGTTGAGGAGTTTCCTCAGCTGCTCTTTGGCGCCGTCGATCAGCGCTGGGGAAATGTGCAATCCTGGACACGTCTCGAACGACATTTGCGCTTCATCAACGATTTCGATGTGTCGTAAGTCGGGCAATCTTATACATATATATATGCTTTAGTTGTTCTAAGGTATCTCCTTGAATTTCAGTCGCTTCTCGAGTCGGCCTGTGGTGGATATGGCGGAGCTAACACCGCAGACCTGGGATGTCATACTGGACAAGCATGGTGGGCTACGCAAAATGGCCGATAATGTCAATTGGCGCATCTCGCAGCTATATCGGGACGAGCTAGGCGGACATGCCAATATTGTGGCAGCCGATTTCATACGGGGCACAACTCTAATCGATACCGCCATCGATTTGAACAGGCGCAAAATTGCGTATTAGACACAAAATAACACAGTTCAGATATATATATATATATATATATATAGATGTATATATAATCACAAACAACCATAACTGTAATAGACACATTCACAATAACATTTATAAAATCCATCTGAATAAGTCACAATATTTGTTGTGTTGTGTGTGTGTTTTACAAATTGTAGTATATTGATAAATATGGTATATACTTAGTATTATTTATGCTTATAGTTTAGATTCCCTAAAAGTGTCACCATTGAGGCAAGTACATACTTCCATATACTTTATATATGTATATTTGTATGTTAGAAACTCAACGCTTAAGAACTTAAAATCCTTGCGACTGCCATCATCACGTGAATAAATACAAAAAATAATACAATAAGCAATGTTGTAACTGCCATAACCGATTCCGTCGTAACGGTTTGAGAGGAATGCTAAATATCATACAAATGGGTTAGGCATATTCATTTTAATTTCTTGTGCCATGGCTGGACTCATGTAAAATATCTGCTTTCTTGTGGTAAACTTAATGCAATGCATCAGCATTTCATGATGATCCGGTGGATGGGCTATTCATCCTACTCAAGCGACTCGTTGGACTCGATGATCGTTGTGTTGAAGATGGCACGGCACAAATTAACCATGCCATTCGAGAGGCGGCCATAGGAACGGGGCTTCTGTTTCCAGGCAATGCAAACATAGTAAAATGGTATGCCTGCCAATGTGATGGCTATGCCAATGAGCAGATTGGCGGGCTCCTTGAAATTGGGCAGCAGCACTAAAGTCACACAGATGGTCATAAAAATAATCGGCAGTGCCAAATGCACTTTAATAGGACGCGGCAGATTAGGTCTAAAATGAGAGAGAAATTAGCCAGTTTGTATTATGAATTGTTTAAAGCTGCAGTTAACTTACTTCTTGTGACGAAGCCACAACATGCCTGCTATGCTGGCCACCACAGAGAGCCAGAGCACGGAGCTGAAATAGTTAATTAGCTCATAGACATTCTCGGTCAAGAGCATGAGTAAAGACATCAGGCACTGTGATAAAAATAAGTGTTAATTCTATCTAATTACTATAAGTAACAAGATGCGAAAAAAAAAACAAAGTTTTCTTTCCTAACTTCAATAAAAAAAACTGGTTTCAAGAGAACAAAAAGCTATGAAAAATTTGCACTGCCTTTAAAAACAACTTCGACTAAAGTTGTAATTCCAAATTTAAATGTGATATAAAATCTTGTTTCAAAAGATTTAAAAGCCATGATAAAAATGCATTTGTTTTAAATATTAAATTCCAGCAAAAATCTTAATTCCAAATTGAAATATGTTATAATTCAGTGCCAAATTATAGTAAAGTGACTAATGTGAATAATATATAATAATAATATGCGTATTGACTTACCGCAAATATCAAAGATGGAATCGGTGTCTGTTGCTTGACATGGAACAGTTGAAAGAACTTGGGCAGGTGACCCTCCTGGGCGCCAGTGGCAAAGAGACGAGCCGATGTGAAGAGAACACCATTGACACCACCAAATGTGCTCAGAGCCACAAAGATGGGCACCATAAAAGCCAGCGGGCCAAAGACTTTGTTGCCAAAGGTCACAGCAACCGCCAAAGAGCTGAGCATCTCCGGCTTGGAAACGACAGCAAAGTAGGCAAGATTCACCAACACATAGATCCCTGTGACGAGTGGCATCGCAATCCAAATGGCGCGTGGCAGATTTCTGGGATGGAGAAGAAACAGGAGAAAACATACAAATGTGAAACGTGTCTAAAAACCATTTGGCAGGGGAGAATAACAAGAAAAACGGCAAGCAGTCAGCACTTAAATTGATTGCTGCGTCTCATGAAGCAAATTGAATTCATTAGGGAGGCAGCAAATAGCAAAAGCGGGCGCAAGGGCTCAAGGACGTGCAACAAGTGGGCAAGTGGGCGCCGCAAGAAACTTGTTGCCGCCAGCCAACGGGTGACGCAAATGGCAAATAGCTTCCATCTATGAGGGTTGTTTGAGAATTAAAGAGGCACAAGGACATACACAAAGATAGTGAATACTGACTGTGGATGAGTTGGCAAATATGACAAAAATAAATTAATCTTTTTTCAATCATTTGTCTGCCATTGTTAAACTCACTTGTATGGATCCTGCAGTTCCTCGGTGACAAAGTTCAAGTAGTTCCAGCCGCCAAAGGCAAACAGACCCGAGTAGAAGGCATAGCCAATGTTGCGGGCACTATAGCTGCCCTCCCAGGGATTCGAGAAGTTTTCAAGCTTGCCAGTGGCCATATAATAGAGTCCAGCGAGTATTATCATTATCAACGCTAGCAGTTTGCCAATCGTAAAGATGTCCTGCACCTTCATGGACACCTTGACCGACATGCAATTAATCGCAGTGAGTAGACCTTGAAAAATAATTAAATATATAAAAATATATATATACAAATATAAATATTACTTACAGAGGCAAACAGCTGCCAGCAGTTTGACGGCAAGTTGTGGGGGATCACAATCCTCGAAGAACGGCTTCGCCGCATAATGTGCAAAAGTTAGTGCAACAATTGTCTGCAAAAATATAGAAGTTCAACAATTTATATTAATGTGGATGATTCTGATTAGCCTTAGTGATGGACACTGAGCTATGAAGCGCTTTCACTGCATTTTTCCTCTTAATTATTTTACTTGAAACTCGATTTCATCTGTCCGAAGAAAAAACATAACAACTAATTAGAACTGCAAACGATATTCGAAATCGAATTGCCTGTCTTCAGATTTAGATTTCCACGTATTCTGTGGCTAGCAACACACTTGTTAATCGAGTTTTTTTTTTAATTCGCGACCAACTGTTTTTACTTTTCTTGAGAGAAAGTTCTCGCTGTTGGCGAATTCTCAGCTAATTGAATACAATTCTGCCAGAAGGTTGACTTTGCATCGATTGTTTTGTTCAAATCAATACAATTAGCGAACAATAAAAACAACAATAATTCAATAACATAAAACAATTAGACAATAAAAACAAGAAACAAATGTCATAACAAGACTGATCAACAAATTATATATATAAGGTAAGTCAAACCTGAGTTGTTGGCCTGATGATGAGCAGTGCGATCCAGAGACGCAGGAATCCAACAAGTGGTCCAAATGCGACCAAGAGGTAGGCATAATCGCCACCGGATCTGGTGATACTTGTGCCCAATTCCGCATAGCAAAGAGCGCCAATTGTTGAAAGAATGCCGCAAGCCGACCAAATCAAAAGTGAACTTCCGACGGATCTGACAAAGAAAAAAACGGAGAGTAAGAAGAATATTAAATAAGTGGACACAAGCACAAACACAAACACACAATGGACTCCATTGGGGCACAAGTGGTTCCACAAGTGAACAACTTTCGCAGTGTCTGTCTGTCTCTCTGTGTTTGTGTGTGTGTGTATCGATGAGACGTGTTTATTTTTGGGGCATATACATGCATTTTATCGTGCACATAAACAACTGAAATCCTTTTCGAGCTGATGCAACAATTCTTGGCGATTTCGTGACCGATTTTCACTCAAGGGCAATCCGAAACGAAGCAAGGCTTAATTACTTCGGCCAATTTCCACCCAGTTTCCACCCACATAACGGAATTAATTTCAATTGTTCTTTTTCAATTTAGTATATAAAATTTAGTGCTATTGACCTTTTAGTGGGTTCACGTGTTTTAATCAACTCGAAAGAAAGAAAGCTGTGAATGCAAATTGTTTGGGCTTGTTAATAATCTGACTCTGCATGAATATCAGTTAGAATTGCAAATTGGAAACTATTTAATTGCGTAATAAGAGCTAAACAATAAACAATTGCAAACACAATTTCTTGGATATGTTTTCTTTTATATTGGTTCTTAAAGCTTTTTTAAACTTAAATAGCCTTACTTACTCGGTGTAGTAGAATACTCCCGTGGGTGCTATAAAAATGCCCGATCCGATAATGGTGCCAACTATAATGGCCACACCATTGATTAGGGTCAGTTTCCGCTTAAGCACAATTTTGCCATCCTCTCCAGCTTCGGCCTCGTCTTGCTTATCCTGGCCATATCCATTGGTATTGGTTGCTTCAACCAAACTAGTTGTGACCCCATTTCCATAGCGGTCGGTCATTATTGGGCTATATATAGACTATATATTCAGACTATGGCAGTTCGCGAGAATCCAGAACTTTTCCTATAATTCCAGTTGTACTTGTTGGACTCTAATCAGACGTTAAAATTGCCACTTTAAATAAATATTTGAAAAGTTTCTCTTAGTATAGAAAAAGGTGAACGAATATTTTCCTATAATTCCAGTTGTACTTGTTGGACTCTAATCAGACGTTAAAATTGCCACTTGAAATAAATATTTGAAAAGTTTCTCTTAGTATAGAAAAAGGTGAACGAATATTTTTTGCGTGATTCTCAGTTTTTAATTATTATCTAGTAGCTGCTGTTGTTCCAAATTCGATAGTAAATAGATAGTAAGAACAAATTAAACGTGTCGTTTTCATAGTCAGTTGAACATCAGTTTAAACCAGTTAACAGACACTTAGCCTTGTCTAACTTACAATTTAACTTAAATATTATTTTGCAAGTATAATCAAGTTTACAGCATTGTCGCGTGCCAAATGTTTAGCGATTTCGTCACTTATTTTGGTGGATTTCAGTTGAGTTGTAAATTGTTGTAAAATGCCCGTCATGTGGCAATAATCATACTTATAGATTTTGTTTCTTTCTTGACAAATGTTCCATATAAAAAACATTGTTTTTATCTGCATTCGCAGAACGTTCTCACATATATATTTGCACTTATTGCACATTCGCTTTTGTGTTCACTATTTGCATTACCATAAATTGCAACAAATATGTTTGCGCGACACAAAACACACTGCACCCATCCAGTCGAGCTACGCGTTGATACTGACTCGACAGAATGGCGCGTTGGCATAGAGACGAGACCGGCGTTTTGGCATTCTCTGTGATAGGCGCTCCCCCAAATTTGGCGTGAGAGCAGCAGTAGAGATGCTCTCGTGTTAAATACGAACACGACACATCACAAGGCGTGTCGAACGAACTGTTATAAATTATATATTTATTTATATTATATCTTTTCACGTACACTTATTTAACATGCTTCATTCAAAAAACTTGTTATCTAATAATAATTTATACTAATACGTTCTCATTTAATTTTCTTTATTACCAATCAGCCACAATTGTGTGTTCGTGACACGACGCAAGCGCCCCTCTATGAAAGAGAGCGCGAACACACCTTATCAAACTTGGAACATGCGAACGCGCAATACCGGAAACTAATTATTGTAACAATGCCAATGCTATTTTCGTTTACTTCATTTTGTTGATATCTAACTTAAGCGAATTTTGCCGGATGATTGACAGCCCCCCATCTGTGCACTTTTATTTTAGTCTATACATCGATAAGCGATAAATTCAATCGATGTACATTTGCCATTCACATGTGCATCTGTTTGTATTTTAAGCAAGTTGTCATCCCTTCAGTTTTTGTTTTGATTGTGTTTTGCACGTGTTTTGCCAAATCTCTGCTGAAAAACTTTAATTTCTTCACAATGTCCGACAAGTAAGTGCCTAATAACTAGATAAAACATTGCAAAAATAGTACTAATATGATTTCGTATGCTATATAGATATGCCGTACCCAATAAATTGCCTGGCAAAACAATATCAGTGCTGCGGCACCGCAAGCGACGCATTCAACAGGATAAATCCGTGCTCGAACAGAAGCGCACGGATCGCATTAAACGGGTGAAGAAAGCGCGCACACATCACAAATTCAAGCGCGCCGAATCCTTTGTGATGGGCTACCTGAAAGCCGAACGCACTTCGAAACGCATCCGTCAAACAATTCTACGCACAAATATCACCGAACAGAGCGCCAAAGCAGCGGACGAAACGAATCCCCGACTGTTATTTGTCATGCGTCATGCGGGCAAGAAGATCTTTGACAAGACCACATCGGAAATATTCAAGACACTGCACATGGGGCAACGTCACAACGCAGTCTTCATTGAGAACAGTAAAGAGAATCAGTTGCTATTGCGTGTCATCGAGCCATTTGTGGTTTATGGTGTTCCAACGTTGAGCACAATTCGAGAACTGCTCTTTAAGAAAGGTTTCGCACGCATCGAGGGCAAAAAGACGGCCATACAATCGAACACAATGGTCGAGGAGCAGCTGGGCGAGAAGGGTATCATCTGTTTGGAGGATATCATACATGAGATCTACACAGTGGGACCTAATTTCGCTGCCGTCACTGAATTTCTGTGCGCATTTTCGGTGAGTCCAAGTCTGAGTTAATCTGAGCAGTAATCCTGTAACCTAATCCTGATTTGGTTTACTTGCAGCTATCAAGTCCACGCGATGGCTGGCAGAAGAAGGTCTCCGTTCCTTTCAAGCGTGGCGGCGAATACGGCGATCGTGGCATTGCCATCAACGATCTAGTTGCGCGCTGCCTCTAAAACAATAACTTGATAACCTAGTAGACTTTTAAGTACAAACACAAAAACACACTTCAAATCTTAAACAAAAACCAACAATTAGTTAAATATAAGTTTAAATACACCTGAGCGATTATAACTTGTTGCCGTTTCTTATTTGCCTAAGCCACCAAAATGTCTATGGTTTATTTGGCCAGCGGCGATAGCAATGCGAATATTGAATATCAAACGATCTCCTCGACGGCCACACAACAGTTGACTCAGGAGCAATCGGAGCGTTTGCACGATCGCATCACCAAAGCGCAGCTGCAGAAGCTCTACGATTTATTCAAATCGTCGCCAGATCAAATGGTTGGCTATTCGGAATTACGTCACATGTTGGAGGATGTTGATATTACTTTTACGGATTATACGTATACGCGTCTATTTCTGAAAATCAATCAGAATAGCGATTTTATGATCGATTGGAATGAGTTTGTCTCGTATCTGATATTTGGTTTCCAGGAGGAGGACCCCAGCAGTCAAAAGGAGGCACTGACTATGCCCATTTCGGCGCCGCCAGTTGTACGCAAAACCGAACATCGTTCGGCCGTCTGTTGCATAACGCTGCTCAAGGTCAAATCGGATCAGACACCGATGGAGGAGATACCGGAATTATCGGCAAACTATTCATTTGGTGGCGAAGATTCGCCAGAGAATTCGGGCATGTGGGTGACGGCTAGTCGTGAGGGACAATTGCGTTTCTGGAGCGCACACATGGAACCGCTGCGCAGCGCCGTCTCCGAGAGCAGTAAGTGAATCTTTTCTAAAATCCACTTTATATATATATACCTATATATGTCGTCTGATTTGTAGTTCACTTGAAGATGCCCACCTGGATACTGGCGCTGCAGGCTTTGTCCGATGTGAGCATCGTTTGCACCGCGTCCACGGAGCGTGAATTACGTTTCCATGAGACGATCGCATCGACATTTACGCTCCGCATGGTCATCCGTAGTTTACCATATGCTGTCTACTGCATGAGCTATGCCTTCTACAACAATGGCAAGACGCACTCCAAACTGGTCTTGGGCGATTATGCCGGCAATGTGCGCATTCTATCGTATTCACCATATTTACGCGGTCCGTTCCAGGCCAAACCGGGAGCGGCGCTCGTTGAGCTGGTATGGGCAGATGTGTTGAAGGGTCGGATACCGTTGTTGATTCCCCGCGAGCACATCAATCTGCACAGTGAGCTCATCTCGTGTGTCTACTATTCGCTGCACATGAATACCCTGTTTGCCTCGGCCGAATATCGGAATACAAAAAAGTATCGTGGTCGTTGTCCGGGTCTGATCATGGTCAGCAATGATGATCGCAATAATTTTCGTATACCACTTGGTGTATCCGTCTTTTATGTGGCCGAGAGCAAGAATATTTTGGTGACTGGCGGACCGGATACGTTTGTTCGCATCTGGGATGTGTACATATCGTCGGAGCCATCGGCCATACTCACTGGCCACAATGGTGGCATTGTTGCCGTCTTTGTGCAGCCGGAGGAGAACAAGGTGTACAGCGTGGACTATCATAAGGTCATCAAGGTGTGGGATCTGCAGGAGCACACACTGCTCCAGACATTCGGTGAACTGGTACGCATCATTCATCACAGCGAAACGGACATCAAGTACTATTATCATTCGCATCTCCGGGATCTATTGGTTGCCGGACGCAAACTCATTCAGATCAAGTGTTGTCCCCGTGTTCGAGTTGATCTCACCGATGGCAACACACATGCGGCTCCCGTCTCTGTGGTCCTCTACAATCGACTCTTTCGCAATATTGTCACGTGTGGACTGGATAGCTATATAATTGTGTGGGATCCGTGGACGGGTCGCCGCAAGATTATCATGAAGAATTGCCATACGAAGATGATCTATGGCGAAATCATTGATATTGAGATAACAGCGGCGTGCTTTGATCCGCTCGAGCAGTTTCTGTTGACGGGTGCACGGGATGGTTCCCTGAAGATCTGGAACTATAATAATGCTGTCGTCGTGCGCAATATGAGCATTCAGCCGGATCAGGAAGTAACTGCCGTTATCTGGGTGATCGATCGGTGGGTGAGCTAATCCATATTTGTATAAAAATATACGGCTAGGAGTAGTTATTATTATATCCTGGAAAATGGATAAGCAGGCAGAAGAAAGCATCTGCGATCCCCTATAGAATATTCTTGATCAGCTTCAACAGCCAAGTCGATAAAGCCGACTTAAAATTTGCAATTTATTTAATTTTATTCATTACTGCCTCCATTCTTAGTCGATCACTCTAACTTGATTTTATATATGACTTACTTACTGCCAGCATATTGGCCATGGGCTGGGATCGACAGGTGACCGAGTTCAATGATGTTGCCGGTCGCGAATATGGCGATCCAAAGAAATGGGCAAAATTCCACACAGATGACATTACCTGTGCGGATGTGAAGTTGGGCGAGGGCGTTGTCACCGCCACCTATTCGGGTGAGATTATCTTCTGGAAGCTGGAAACTGGTCAGCCGTACCGACGCTACAACGTAATGAATCCGTATCAGTTCATTGAGCTGAAACTCAACACGGAGGAGGAGAAATTGACGCGACGCTCGAAGCGTATCTCCTCGCTGATGGGAGCGGGACGACGCACACTAGTGCTCCAAAATTTCAAGCCGGATGAGATTAAGGACTACGGCGCCAATATACCCGTATCCGTGCAGGCAGTGCTATTTCTGCAGAAGCGTCCCATGACCAAGGATCACGGTGAGAGATCTCGTTCTTATTTCTATCGTTTGCGCTTGGTTCATAAATTATTATTCGTTCAGGGAGTGTTTTCATTTCTCTGGACACGGGCTACATTCAGGTGTATTCCCATCATCAGCATGGCGGCTTCATCAAACAGTTCTTCGCCGTTCACAAAGTGGGCGACTGTGTCCTGACCATGGCCTCAGATCGCAAGAATCGATTCCTTTATACGGGCACCGCCTTTGGCTACATTAAGATTTGGCATATTGTCAACTATTGGTGAGTTTTCGAATTATACTCTGGAAACTTTAAGCTCGAAAATCGATTATGAGCGATCAACGCAAAACTTGGAAGTTAGCTAGCTGACTTGGAACGTAGATTACTAGAAACCTTCTTCAAAGATCGGTAATATCCACCCCACCCTGTTCTGTGGCACCTCTGTTATCAGCTGGTACTTTGGGGCGATAGTTTACTGTATCCATCTACCTTGCCTGCTCGCTTATAAAGAAAAACATAAAGCAACCACACAAATTGGGTCTAACGACACGACTCATTATCCTACATGTGTCAGCTTGTAGCCAGCCAGCCAAGTTATCCATCCGCCCACAAAATTCTTTCCTGTTCTGCTTGGCCTTGCGTGTCAGCCCGAATTCCAAACAACAAACAGACAACTTGTTTTTTGCCAAAAACTAATAAATAACTCATAACAAGAACTGGGGAGGAGTGTGGGTTAATAAAGACAGTCATTCAGATTTCCATGTCTCTGAATTTGGACTAAAGCTAAATTCGGTCGTTTCCGTTTCGTTGTCTAGCATACCGCAGGCCGAGAAGACGGAGGTGTGCATGCCCAGACTGCGTCTGGACTTCATATTCCTGCGCAAGGATCTCTTCCTAACACGGGCGAAGCGTGTAATACGCAATCAGCCGGAACCAATGCTCGTTAGCTCCTACAAGGGACACCTGAAGGCCATCAATTCCATTGGTTTCATCAATTTGCCAAAGATTTTATTCACGTAAGTAACGGATTTTTGTGATTTGAATTATAGAAGTTTATTTAAAAAAAGTCAGTTGGATTTTTCCAAAATTTGGATGAAAAAAAATATGTCTAATCTCCAAGAGGTATTTAGTCTACCGAGAAGAATACTTATCGGTTTTTCTGTTACTCATAATGCATCCATATTTTTCAAATTCATAATAGTAAAAAACACCAACTTTTTGAGGGCTGTCAATTTAGGGCATGTTAATGTTAAGAATTTTATTATCGAGAGTACCAAATTCATTCAATGCTAATACTTATTTCTAGTGGCAGTCACGACTACTCCTGTCGCTTGTGGACGCAAGGTGGACGTTACTTGGGTACGCTGGGCACTGTGCTGCCCTGGTCGAAACTGACACCATTTGAACGCGCCGGCGAAGATAATCGCGCCTATCGCCTGCCGCCCGATATCAAAAAGGTGGCCAGCTCGACAACGCTCAAGGTGATCTCGGGCATCCAGCATACAGGGACAGTGAAGCGGGCGAAGGCGGTCGATGAACGGGAGGATGAACGCGATGTGGAGGAGGCGGCGAGCGATGTGAAGAACATGTTTGATCGACCGCTCCGTGAGCCCATACTGGGCCATCATTTCCAGCTACCCGGTCGCAGTGTGATCGAGCAGCGCATCGATTTGGATACGACTGAGTTGTGCATACCCGTTTACACACATCTGCGTGTTTATCCATCTGAAATGATGGAGCATCTGCCGACGCCGCCAGTCATTGGCCAGGTGCGTGCGGAGAACTACTTGGATCACTATATGCCCGTTGTCGGCAAAGTGGATCCCCACGACTCGGCCATTAACATTCGAGAGCCACAGAAGCGTGCCAAGGCCGGCTCTTCTAGTTTGTTGCCGGCCAGAGCTGGCTATAGTCTGGGCAAACCCAAGACTAACTCGGTGTTGGGCATGCCCAGATCATCGGGCGCTGGTCTGTGCAAGCCCAGGACTAGCTTTACACTATCGGATTACACTCCCGGCAACCCCAAGGCGGACTTCAGCTCAAGGAATATGAAGAGCAACTTAAGTTCAGGCAGTCCTAAAGCAGGCATCCCCAAAGCAGACTCGAGTCATGGCAGTGCCAAGGCTAGCTGCCGTCTAGGCAGCCCCAAGCCGGATTACATTTCCATCAAAAAGAGGGCTAGCTTCAGTCCAGGCACCACGCCCAAGACGGACTTCAGTCCCAAGGCTGGCAAACCCAAGACGAACACAATGAAATCCAGCAATTCGCATTAATCATAATTCCAATTCCAATCCTTGTGTTTATTAATTTGGTTTCTGTTTTATTTTTTTTCTGTTTTCTTAGTTTTGGGCAATAATATTTGGATACAGCAGTTGGGGTCTGCTTATGAAATTAAAGGTATTCCTCTATTTGCTCCTCCTTCATGTTTGTAGCATGCGCACCGCATTGTACATCTGGGCGACGGTGACAAGCAGCTTGTTGGAGCCCGCTTGACGGCGACTTAGGCATCTATACACATGGGTTATCAGCTTGTCCAGGACGATGATATCGATCTCCTCGGGTTTCGTGGCGCTTATCGTAATGCTTTCCTCCGTCACCGAATCCTTCTGCAGAGAGCACAGATGCGATGACGATGACGATGTCGATGCGTGTATATCGATGTGTATGTGTGTGTGCGTGAGGATGTGTGGGTGTGTGCCTGCTGTCAGTTCAGTTCTGTGGATAATAAACGGCGGCTGCACTTACCAAATTATCTAGATATGCCAACAGCTGATGTCCCACAGAGGCGATCTTGAGGAAGGCGGATCGGGAACCTTCCGCAAATAGATTTAGCCGACGACCGGCAATTTCTAGCAGCAGTCGTCCCAGTTCCTCATCATCGCTGATGTCCGCGAGCAGCACTTGTGCCTCCGCATCATAGCCAAAGGCATACAGTTCCACAACCTGCAAGACACCACAACACTTGAAATTCACGAACTGTAAACGAGGATTCAGTCAATCTTTCACCTGTTTCCGCAAAATGGGCAACTTGTCCAGTTGCCAGCTGTCGGCCAGTTGACAAATCTTGGCCATATACAGCACATGATCGAGTATGTAGAGCTGCTCGAGATCCTCACGTATTAGATCTATGGTGGCTGCAACCACCAAGCAAAGGAACACAGTTCGCTGCTCCTGCAGGACCAAGTCTGGTGCAGGCAATCCATACGGCAGCTCCTTATTAATATCCGACTGCAGTGCCTTATTCGCCAGGGCATCAAAGAGCGTTGTCAGCGGACGCGAGACGCGCAACTGGAACTGTGCAATCAAATGCAGCACGGTGCAGAGCTGTGTCTGCAGCTGGAGAAGGTCGGGCAACGCATGATGTTGCTGCAGCGCCAGAAACTGCAACGGCAGCTGACCCTCACTGAGCGCCTGCTCGAAACGCAGCTCACGTTTGCCATGCTCCAGCGAGCTGGTAAAATGCTGCAGAAACTCCAAGCAGAGCTCGAGAAATTCGGGCACCAGCGCCGCCGACATGTCCAGATCCTGTTGACACATCTTATCCACTGGCAGGCGACCCACTTTGTGCATCAGCTTGGCAGTCGCCTGCAAGGGAAACTTGAGCGTCGCTTGCCACAGCATGCAACAGATGCCATGTTTCAGCGCAAGATCAGGCGTGCGAAACTGTTCCAGACAACGCAATGCGGCACGCATGTGCTCCAAGGAAGCCAGCTGCTTGCTCCAGTGCACCATATGCTGCCAGGCCATCAGGCTGAGCAGCACACCCGACTCCAGACTGAAGGGGAAATGTGCACGCAGCAAAGCTAAACGCTCCAGCACCGGTTCCAGTGGTTCACTCGGTGTGCCTGCTTCTGGCACAGTCTCCTCCTCCTCCAGCTGCTCCTGCAGTTCTTCTACCTCCACTTTGCCCTTCTTCTTCTTCTTATCTGGCTTGGACTTTGGCTTAGCTTTTGCTTGACCCACTTCGGGCTCGTCATCGCTTTCGTTTTCTGGCGGCGTTATTTCCACAATCAGTGCGGGATCTATGCGACTACAATTTAACCACTTGGCTGTTAGCTCGGACACGATGCCCTTGCCACCGCTCAGTATGTTCTTCAAGCTGCAGTCGGGCTGCTCGTACGGCAACTCCGGACCAACTGGCTTACGGCACACTTTGGGCTGCCTGCAAAAAGAAAATCATTTTTAGTCAAGTGCCATAAAAATAAAGAAACACTTTGCTCAACCCAAGTATAGCGCCCAGGACAGCCACATCCTCCAGCTTGCCGGTGAGCAGACCCCACTGGGCCTCATCATGTGATATGGTCTCCCAGCGTTCCTCCTCCTCGACACTCTCATCGCAGGAGCCGTCTCGCCGACTGTGCCACAGCTGAACGGCCACTGTCTTGCAGACAATGGCCACCAACAGACCGGAGAACTGTTTGCTCTCCAGCAGCAGTTCACGCACCTGTTGCCACCACGGCGAGATGGCATTGTAAGGATAATTGCTAATATCCTCGCCAGCCAGCTCACAAATGACGCGCACCATGGACGCAATGCGCGACATATCCTCGATGACCTCATCACTGTGAATGGAAGCGTTAAACAACTGAGACTGGTTTCGAGTTGGGAGTAGTATAGACTAGGAAGATATCCTGCAAGCAGTTTCCTAATATTGTGGGTTATCTGTCAACTGCTTCTCAATTTCTAGACACTAGTAGAAGACTGAAACGAAACTGAGTCCAGCCGCAATTTCCCAATCTTAGTTGGTTCTAACTCTAACTCAGGATAGATCGCTTAGAAATGCGCTTCTCTGTGTGCTTAATCTCTTCCTGACAAGTGGCTATCAATAGAATTCGTCAAGTTCCGTCTGCAAATCACTCACCAGTTGCTGTACTTGAATGGCTTGTCCAGCCAAAAGTAGATGACCAGCGTTAGGAGATCCTTGCTGGGAATGCACGCCTGGACGGCCCACTCCTTGAACTGCTCCAAGCACAGACTCTGTGTAAAGAACTGACCAAAGAGATCGTTGCTAACGCTGCCATATTTATCCGATTTCTCCGGCAGCAGCGTGACACAATTGGGCGTCTCAATGTTGAAGATGCTCAGATAGTCGACAAACTCCTCCACTTTGTGCAGTGAGTCGTCCTGCAGCTGAAAACTGACCTCACGCGTCGTGGGCTTTTCATCCATGCCCGTGTCAAGAAGAATGACGAGCTGATTAATGGTCACCAGATCCGCATCGGATAGTTCGAGCAGCTCCAGCGTTGGCTGCTCCTGCATTTGAACACGACTCAGGCTCAAATAGAGATCGGTTAGGCGTTTATAGTTTTCGATTTGCTGCAGGAACTCTTGCGTGGTTTCCGATTGTTCAGCTTGGGCAAAGACATGGACAATGCTCTGAAATAGTTGCGGCTGCAGTCGTTTGCTTTTGAGCAACATTTCTAAGCACTGCTGGCGCACCTCCAGCGTTTCCAGCTCCCCAGCGAGTTGAGCAATTGCTTCAATTTGCTGCAGCCGATCCTCGCCGGAATGTGTTAGCGCTCGCAATTGACTACGCAGGCGCCGCAGCATGTGTATATCTCGGGATGTTTGCGAGTTCGTTTCGCTCAGTGCATAATGGAAGGGAATGTGCACCTCCTTCAGGCTGCCATCGCTGGGATCGAGGAACAGGCAATGATTTAAGCTGGGCGACTTGCGTGACTCTCTGCCCGGTGCACCCAAGGCACTGTGATTATTGTAGATGAGCTGGCCGCACTTGGAGACGGTAAACGCGGCCACTTTGGGTCCATTTTGCAGCGCCCAAATATCCAGGCAACCCATCCGTGGCGCATAGATGACCAGAAACAAAGCCTTGCGCTTGTGCGTCTTAATCCCTCGCACCGAACGCTCCTTGGTGGGCACAAAGGCGCACTGCGCATCCCGATAACCCTTCCACACGCGTAATATTATCGCTTGCTGGGTGTCCACCAGCATCACCCGATCCAAATTATCTGTGACGGCAGCCAGTTTGCCGCCCGGCGCCAGGATTAGGGAGAGGCCATCGCGTTTGCCATCGTAGAGGCGACAACGGGTACGCATCGGTGCCTCCTTGCTGGGCAGGGGCAGCTGTTCCGGTTGCTCCGCTGCCTGATCCGGCGCTCGTCGAAAAATACCACCCATCAGATTTTTATAGGCCATGCCGAGCACATCTTTGGCCACCTCACCTAGCGACACGGTCTTGTAGCCCTCCTCGGCATGAAAAAAACCCAAATAGGGCTCTGCACCGGCCACAATGACCTGAGCACTTCGCACCGGCGTCGCCTGCACCTTGGCAAAATAGCCATGAGCAATGCTCTGCTGCACAATATAATCATAGGTGGGTGCTCTCTGATTCGTACTGATTGCGGCATCATTGAGGATACTCTCACGCTCCCTATTGAATTTGTATTTGTGAAATGCAACCACATCGGCGCTGGGAAAACCGCTGCGCTCAAAAGCGCCACGTTGTTGATTGTGTCGACAATTGGCGAGTATGGGCAGTATATCCTCGCCATTGATGAAGCACATGCAGCCGCTGTAGACAATATAGAGCAGCGCATTGGCTTCGCTGTGGCGAGGCGGCGACAACAGCTTAATGCCCAGTACGGAATCCTCCTGGCAACTGTTGACGACAATTATACAATTAATTTGCGATAAATAAGAAGATAACCAATACTCTCTTTGTTGATATACCATAACAGGGTACTAGTGGCCACAACTTACCACTGTGAGAAGAGCTTGACTCCCGCATCCGTGTAGAAGATAACCATGCCCGAGGCGAGTCCAACTGCGATGCAAGTCCACTCGACATCTGTGGCACGCATCATGGGTATGCACAGCAGACTCGTCACTATCTGATTGCCATCATCCAGTTCGCCACACCAGTTGAGCGCATAGGTGTACTCATGTCCACGGCTGTCCCAATATGTGGACAGAAAAGCCAGTTTTTCACCCTGGGCTAAAGCAATCGCTTCGCCAGTGGGTGACATGGCGTAGTTAACGCCGCTTAGCCAATTCTCATCTGCAAACAGGTGATTAACAAGTGTACTGGTGTTGTGTACTCTAATTATAATTACCATGCCCAAGTCCAAAGTATTCCTGAACCTTTCGAAAATCTAAAATATTTCCAAATGTTTTCACTTCGCAAGCCATTTTCCCTTGTTGTCATGCTACAGCTGACAGTGCAGTGCTGCCAGATCGCATAACAGCTGTCTATTTAACAGCAGAGTGTGACCAGCCATGCAAATCGATATAATCGCTAGATATTTTATCGATGATTGGTGCATACTTATTGGAGCTATAACAATATTGTTACTAGCCATGAAAATCGATACAATCGATGAATATCGGCTAATGGTGAAGACTTATTGGCGCCAATTCAAAACTCGTTAGAAAACCAACACCTAAATTTTTGTTCACATTTAGTGAGTAATTTCAACAGAATTTGAATAACAATACCTTTAATGTTCCATAATTTTAAATACACATGCGCACACACATATTCTACGACAAATAAGCGAAATGTATAATTATTTCAAATCAGATTCCACACCACTGTCAATGTAGTCTTTTAAGAGAATACCACAGGTGCTGGGTAACAATCGAGTCCAGTTATTGATATGCAGTAGGTAGCTAGGTATCGTTACCTCCAAGCAATCGGATCGATGCGCCTCCACAATACGTTTGGCCACATCCTTGGGATCCAGCAAGCCCAAAAGTGACGGAAACTTTACCTTCGGATACTTGCAAAGTCCCGTGTTTGTCATATACGGGAAAATCGTTGTGACTTTTATCTAAAATTGAAAATGTACATTTATTTAAGTTTAGATCAAGTTATATCGTATTCGCTCACCAGATCCTTGTAGGGTCCCTCGCGGAGCTCTTCGTGCAGCGCCTCCATCATACCCCTCACCGCGTATTTGGTTGCACAATATGGCACCAAGTTGGACAAACCCACCAGGCCGGCAATCGATGACAAGCAGACAATGTGACCGCGATTGTGTTCCTTCATTTGACCCAGGAATGCTTGTATTGTCCAGAATTGTGAGAAGACATTCACATCGAAGACCCGATGGATTTCCTCGGCCGAATGCTGTGCCAACGGATGCGTTGGCATAATGCCAACGTTATTCACCAGCACGGAGACGGGGCCAACTTCCCCCTTGACACGCTCCGCCAGCGAAAGGACCTCTTCGCGTTTGGATACATCACAGCTGCAAAGGATTTGACAGACAATAAAAAATTAACACTATTATAAACAGTAAAGGAAAAATGTACAACTTTCTGTTAAGAATTCCATAAGTTAAGGTGAAATCGGAAACAGAAAATTTGTTTTAAACAATTTTTATATATGGAGTTTCATGTATAATGGTATTTGGTTTGCTTTTTCAATAATAGAGTTGGTTCGATGACAACCAATTGTGTGATTTTGGAAATGTTATGTTGTCATACGAATGTGATGAAATGCCTTTACTGTGGGTGTTCCAAAAGGACAAAATTACCCAAAGCAAATTGGCAAGATACAATTAATACAATAACTAACAGTTGTAGATATTCATTCAACTCAATGCCATAACTGTACGCTGCTGCTATTGTATCATGTATACTCATATTCATTATAACACATTTCTATATTCCAATAAGAATTGATTGAAATTTGTTTCGATTTTTCTTATTTTTTTAGTTTCCAATTTCTTTAGTGAATGCAATTTTATATGGTATCAGGTACTTGTGGGAAGCACAGGCTGCACACTTAAGGCTTCGCTTTTGTGGCACAAAACACCCACCTGAAACTGTGTACGGCACCACGGTTCAAACGCTTCACCTTTTGCACCGTTTCCATGTTGTTCCTCTCATCGATATCCACACAGACCACGGTGCTGCCCCAGGCGGCATAATGCAATGCCAACTCCCTGCCAATGCCATGGCCAGTGCCAGTTATCTACAGATAAAGTGATTAAATAATTCAATAAAATAATTACATTTTAATTAGTTTACTTACAAGCACAACTTCACGACTGATATCCTTCTGCTTGAGGGGCAACAGCGATTGCACCAGGGCAATAATCAATTCTAATAAAATACGCACGGAGAGTACCAAAAATTGCACAAAATCTTGCATGACGCTAAAAATGCGCTTAGAAGCTGTTGTCGAGCTGAAATAATTAATCATAAATAATATATAAACAATCAAACAACTTAATAACATTTAAAATGACTAAGAAACACCTGCTAATTGAGTTAAAATTGCTTAGAAAATAACCACAAAATGATGTGTGAAATGTTTGTTAGCAAATATTGCAAATTATTGTGGTGCATCGTATAATTTATCAATGTAAACATGTACATATATTTATCTATTTGTGGTCTTGGAAGTGCATTTCAGATGTTCAACGTTCCATCGGTCAATGGACTTTGAAAGCAAGCATAATGATGATAATGGGGCTCAACTATCTAACTAAACCCAACGAGTGTTGACTGTAAAACTTAACCTAGTTTTCCGCGTTCGGATTGCATTGCCAGAACTTTGACTAATGTTGGTGTTCATAAAGTGCATATACGTAAATTTATATAAGGTTTGTTAACAATTAAACACTTACTGCACAATTTCGCGCTCAATCATGATTTGTTTTGGTTTTCAGTTCCAAGTAGTAAAAAGCTGCAAAATTTCAAATGAGAAGATTTGTGGGTTGGTTTAATTTATTTCGTTTTAAATGACATTTTTTTTATTTTTTGATATAACTATTTTTATTTATTTTTTCTTTGTTGTCTTTGAAAGTCACGTCAAATGCTTGGGGGCAAGTGCTGTAACGGGTAACCGGTAACGGTTAACAGTTTTTCTTCCGTATTTTTTCTATTTCTCTTTTACAACGATTTTTCAAGTGCGGTTTTTTGGCAGACGAAAACACTGTGGAAAGATGAGCCGAGAGATGGCGGAGGCGGTGGCAAATGCAACATTTCCACTTTCGTTTTTTGCTGCCAATGCAAAAGTATATGCCACATAATGTGGCACACACACAAACAACGATTACGCTATGTTAAAAAAGAAAAACAAAAAGGTAGGCGGCTTTTGCGACGTTAGACAAAACGGCAGACGCCTTTAGACGATTCTGTGCTGCAATTACAACTACTGATGTTGCCATGTGGAAATTAAATAAGCGGAAACAACGAGGTGCGTTATTGAAGTTTCACTTGTTGATAAACATGTGTTACACTAATGCCTTACATTGATTACTGTTATGCAATTGGTGATTTTGATTATTGATATCGTTGCTCGCACTTTAATTTTTTATGCGGCTGCAGCCCAACCGAAACGCTTCGTTGCTTGCCGCCAACTGTTTTAAGCTGTCTGCGCGCCAAACCAACGAAACCTCGACAAGCTTCGCATCGAAAGAGAGTGCGAAGAGAGTGAGAGTCAGAGAGTGAGAGAGCCAACGAGTGAGAGCGAGAGTGATCCTTAGCAGCAGAAGCACCAGCAGCAGCCGCAATTGAAGGACGCTGTCAGAGTTCACAAAATACTTTGCTTTATTTATTGTTTTCAAATAAACGCAAACCAGTCGAATGTGTCTGGTGACCTTCAGTTGACAAGTTTAAAACAAGAGCTAACTGATATGCAGCTCATATTATCTTCATTGTGTTTCAAATAACGTGTTATGGTTGCTGTTGTTGTTGCATGATTTACCGTTTTGTTCAGATTAAACGCGTTGCATGCAAGCAACTTGATTGCATACCCTGGCAAAATGCATTACGAGTCTTATTATGCTTGCAACTTTTTGGGCAAAATCAAAAATAAACATCGGAGCTGAAGGGAATTGAAAAAAAAATTTTAAGCGTATTAGGTACGTTCACTTACTTACAGATATACGTTAAAATTTAATTATTAGAATAAAAAAGAAATATATTTCATTGCAGATCAAACCGACAACACAGTATTTAATAGTCGGTCACTGTAGACCAGGCTATGCATACAAGCTTTTTTCATGTTGTTGGCTTAATGTTAATATCCATAAGCAACAGTTAAATGCCCAAGTTCAAGTTCAGTGTGTTTTTTCCAGACATGACAATCATAATATTAATTTTGAGCGAAAAATGAGCTGCATAACAAACCACAAAATATACTTGAATACAGCTATTGCTCTTCATTTGCTGTTCCATTCCCTTTGAGTTCTCTCTGAGTTTGTTGCTTGCGCGCCCTTCACTAAAACTTGTTATTCTCGCTCAATCTTCCACTTTTCGCTCGCTATTTTCCTCTCTCTTCCATCCATCAGTTGTTTGTGTGTGTTCTCAAAACTTAACTTCATTGTTTATGTTTCTCTTTATTGGGGAAGGTCGCCACGAGAGGTGTTAATTGAAAATCTCCGATCGACGACCCATTCAAATAATTGGTGTCAATTTGGCTTGCCTTATGCTGTTGATGATGATCAGCTGTTAGCAGCGAACTGTTAATTAGGTGACGTGACTAAAACAATAATTGTCAAAGTGCAAATGCACTCGAATCGTTAGTGATAAGTGATATTCGCTAAGCGTTCCCCTGTTAAAAAGTGAAAATTAGGGCTAACAGACGTGAATCATTTGTTTACTCAAAAATAAAAATTCAATTATTTAGCTTGAATATTTTCATAAGATTTTTGCTTATTAAATATTCGAAATGTGCTCAAAACCAGAACAGAAACAATTGACATAATAAAAGCAATGCATTAATAATTTATTAATGAAATTAAAAATTCACTTTAGTATGCGATTCTGACACACACATAAATAAAGCATTGAACTTTAATATACTTTCATGCAAATTGTCGAAGCAATTTGGTTGCTGTTTTTATTGGTTGTCACAAATCAAATAGTTTATATATTCGATTCTTGGTTCGTTGCGCCCGATTCAATCAGAACCCAAGCGGAACTTACAAGTGGGAATGAGGATATGGGGGTTGTGTAAGAGTCGTATTTCTATTCTCTGATTTAATGCTTAGCTTTTATGGGTGTTCCACCCTGTTCCCATAATTGTCAATATTGACTCCTACTAATCAATAATGACAGAAGCAAATTCAATTACAAACGTGAGTTTATGCCTGGGGAAGGATTAAGAAATTTGACTACCGCACTTACTAAAGTTAAAAATAGCTGATAATCTCAGGGGAAGTTGATATGCCTAATGTAAACGTGTGTTATAAATAGGAAAAATAAACCATTAGTTTTTGATTTACTAAAAGCATTGAAATTAAGTGGTTATAAACAAGTTGGAGTAGGCTCAGCTCTGGGAATAATAATGTACTAGCTGGTTTATAGGATTATAGAAGAAAGAAAAAAAATGATTGAAGAGTTTTGATAAATTTGAAATACATATAAAATTCTTCGTTTGTATCACTTTAGATTTCTCATATCGAAATTGATAAGTTTTGAAAGTTTGAAAAATTAAATATTTCAAGATATTTGATAATACAAGAATAGATTTCTCATTATGAGATATCTTTCCAGCTATATAAATATATATATGTATTTATATTTAGACTTTCTATGCCTTTTGTATATGGCGTACATTTGTCGACCTTGACTTTGTGACTTTATGTGTACATTAACACATTAACTATTCCAACTCCGGCAAATGCATTCAATTGTCCTTTCAATCCAGACACACACACACACACAGTTAAACAAACAAATATGTGTGTCTGCATGTGAACTTTATTTGCTGGTTTTGTTTCGTATGTGTTTTTAATTGTCAATTGAGTCATTTGTTCGTCTGCCGCATGCAACAAACAACTAACAACAACAACAAACTAACAGTAAAACAAAATGGAATAAATAACTTAGGAAAGCCGGCGTTTCAATACCCTTGCTGAAAGCAGTCGAATAGCTGATATCGAAACTAGCTGTTATTAATTGAGCTCAAAATTGGACTCTTATTATTAGAGAGATAAATAAATACATATTATCTTAAATATTAATAATATTTCGCCATAATCTAATAACACTCGCTACCACGCTAGACCGATAGTTGCTAAGGCAGCAATACATATATATAAAATATATGAATACACTTTGAATATGACTCCCTCAATGCGTTACATGCTGCATCAGACAAACCGACAAACACAAATGCCCTATGCAATATGTAAATGAGATGGCAGCAATCGCTACGCTTGTGTTACGTTTTACGTTACGTTGCGTTGTTGCTTACGTGCTACGTGCAAACTGTGAACGCAATCAGCACAGCCTAAAAGTCGGCTTCAGTTGTCATTGGTGAGCCAAGCGGTGAGCACTGCGGCATTCGAAAGTAACGGCACATTACCACAATTTTCGAGCGTCCAAGAAGTCAAAATGTGAGTGTGTGCGAATGTGTGTGTGTGTGTCTTGCGGCTTTTATGTTTGTGTTTGTGCTTGTGTTTGTGTTGAGCTCGTGATTTGTTTACCTGTCAAAATAATAAATAAAACTTTCGTGTTGCCAGTGCCGCATCAAATACATTTTTTTATTGTTGTTATTATCGTTATTGTTGTTGTTGCTGCGGTGTTTTGTTGTTGCCGTTGGCATTGGATGACGCGGAAGCAACTCGATGTCCTGGGGCTAGATTTTCGCCTTGGTTGCATGGCGCCAGTCTGCAGTCTGGCCCCCAAAAAGTCAAAGGATAAACGGAGCTGCCAAACTACCAGTAGTAAATAAAGAGCATGGGCTGGTTATTAAAGGGGAGGCGGCAGCATGTGTCTGTCATGACAGGAAAAACGCTTCCACTTACGATTGAAATTCAATTGGAATTCGCCGTGTTCAATTATTCTTCGATTTAGACGCGTGTGCAACAGTCTTTTTACTATATGCACACATATTTTTCTTTTGTTTAACTGCACTCTTGCTAAATGTAAAAGAGTAGTCCATACACTCAAAAAAAAATATTCATGAGAAAGTAAATTTCTAAAATTGAAGATTGTGGCTTTCTAAAAAACAGGATTTGTATTTCTTAATTTTAGGGTGAATTGTCTAAAATTAAATAAACTGTTGTCTACTTTCCAGGGTATTTTTTCTATGTGTATTGCAGGAAGAATTCTCATATAAGTGTTTTTTTTATATTATATTATTAATAAGCAATAATATTTTAAAATTTCACATAGACAACAATTTTTCATGACTTATAAATAATATCAAATAACTTAATTTGAAAAACAAGGGAAAATTTTATGGGGAACAGTGTTTCTGTCTTCGAGTTAGAGTTCCCTTCAGTCCAAGGTGCTCCTAAGCAGATAGCAGCTAAACTCTAAAATAGCCATTGAGAAAGCCAATTTCACTACTCTTCAGAAAGGAGATCTCTTAAAAGTGAGGATTAACATTTATACTTTATAGAAATGCATTTCTTAACAATAAAAAATATTTATAAAAAATATACAAAATTATCATATCTTTGGGACTTAGAGCAGTTTTTTTTGATTTTTAAGAAAAATGATTTATTACGTTTAGAAATTATTTCTAAGAAATATAAAACGTATGTAGTTTTCAGTGTGATTTTTTTTTTGAGTGTACGTTAGAGAGTGCAAGCTTCTGACAAAATCGATCTTTCGTTTTGTTGACTTTGACTTTTGTTGATTAAAGCGTTTAACCTTTAGTTGTAAACATTGTTTTAGCTGTCAACTAACGCAACTAATTTGTAATATTTTCCATTAGGAATTCAAACGAACTATATCTGAGTGAGGGAATATGTCGTGGCTGTCCACGTTGCTGATACCACAGCAGCACCAGACGAAGAATGCCCAAATCCTCGCCCGAATCTGTGAGCAGCGTTACGGATCCAACTGGATACACTACATGAAGTGTAATCGAAATATATCGCTTAATAGTGCTGTCATTGCGGAGCAAAGGGCAACAACGCCGACCATTGTGAGATGTGTGAATCCCACTGGCAGCTCCTTGCAGACGCCAAGATCGACCAGATCGCTCAAGGAGCTGGATTATCGCATCTATCCGCAGAGCATCGATCTGGACGCATTCTTTGGCGCGGAGCAAAAGTGCGAAAAGGTCTCCGATATTTGTCTGCTCAACGATCACTTCATACTGGTCAAGATGCCCGAGGATGAGCCGGCGCCACCTGCGCCACATGCGCCACCTGTTGCAGTTCCCCGCAAATTGGGCTCCAGGCTGCCGCGTTGCTTCAAATGTAATCGTGGCAGTCGTGTCTCACCCATCTTGGAGGAGCTGGAGGAGCCCGAACCCAACGGCTACAATCCCTGGAGCTCGCACGCGGATGATGACGCCGATGCTGATGCCAATGATGATGACGATGTGGAGGTCTTTGCCTCCAGGACACGCATTATATCCGCAAAAACGAAAACAAAATCTGTCATATTGGAAAAGCCGCAGCAACAGCTGCAGCTTCAGCAGAGAAGTCCACCCGTCGCATCCTTGCAACTGGAGACACTACAATATTCGCCTCCGTCGACAGCTGATCCTTATCCCATCAGCCGAGGTCCCTTGCACTGGTTCCTCTGGCCATTCCGGCGACGTTCCAAGACCCAACAACAACAACAACTGGCCGCCGTACACAAAACCTATTTTATCCGTTGGAACAAGCCGCCGGATACGCTTTTTCACGGTTACGGCGTGGAGCATCGTCCTGTCCAGCCGAATAAAGTTGGACTGCGACGCTGTCGTTCTGCCATATTCTAAACGATTTTCTAGCCATAGCTTGTATATATATTATATATTTTGTATTTTGAGGCTAAAAAATAAGTGATTGCACAAAAGATGTACATAAAAATAAATATTATGTTGCCATCAGCAGAAGTGTTATTCCAAAGGTCAAACAATGACTCAAATTGTGTCTGAGCTTGTTTCTAAATGTGGATTTTCGATTTTGATAAAGGCTAAGATATGATTAAGGGCGGGCATAATATTGACAAAGTTGTGACAACTTTAAGTTTTCTAAATTTCAGATACACTTTTTCTTAGTGTATGGAATTGAAATCGTTACATGTTTCCTGCCGATCTACAATCTTAGTTGATTGATTATTGAAATGCGTGAATGAGTAACCATTAAATATTAATCAACATAGCTCATATTAAAACCGATTTTATCACTACCACAAGTCAAGAGTACATTTCCGCAACATTTGTACGAACATATTTGTAACACAAACAAAATCGAAACAAAATCGCTAAACGTGCTGCAGGCATAAAGTTTCTTGAAAATACAGAAACTTTTAAGTTTGTAAATTGCAGAAAAACTTCAACTCCTTTTTTTTCAATGGAATTTCCACAAGTCCATGAAGATTTGCCTAGGACAACATTGTTGGTGTCCCTCTTTCAGTTGTTGTTGTTGGCGCATAGCATGAACTGGTTGCTTCATTAGCTGCGCCAGTTGTGGTTTGGGGCCTGCTTCCAAGGAATCTCGGGCAATGTCGTTCGTTACTCTCTCCCTCTGGCCGCTAGGTGGCGCTGGCTGCGAAGCGTGCGACTAATTACGAGTGGCGAGCATAAAAAAACAAAATATATTTTGCAAGCATTGCAGTCGCAACATTAACGACGTGCACAATACTCTGCAGCACAGTGTTGCATAGCAGTTGAACAAACAGTATTGCAAATAAACTTTTGGACCAAAACTTTTCAAGCAGTTATTAGTGATCAAAAATAACAAAATAAGTTGTCAGTTTAATTATGAAAATTGAAAAATTCAGGATTTCAAAAGAAACTTCTACAAATAAGAATTGCATCCGAGAGGATTTTTATGTTTCTACTTAAGTTAAGTGTAAACTTCTCAATTTTATATAATCTTTATGTTTTGGGCAACAGTGTATAGAAAAACAATGATTCCAAAGACTGAGAAAGCTTTAAACAGCCAACTACTGTTTTAATGCATAACTCAAGCATCGACATTTGCTCTCTCTTTCACGCCCACTCTAGCGCTATCTCTCTTTCTTTCTGTGGCTCTGCGTCGACTGCAAGCTCCGTGTGTGCCGCAATATACATAATAATAAAACAAAAAACCAAAAAAAAAACAAAAAAACAAAACAAAAAATTAAAATCGTCACGCCAGGCGTCAGTGCAGTGAAGCAATCGCGGCGTGAACAAAGCCCAAAGGAGCTAGACTGGAGCTGGGCTAGAGTTTGACTCGACTGGAGCTGGAGGTGGAGGTGGAGAATTGAAGAGGGAGTTGAAGGGAGAGCGCAGCACTGAGGCACCAGGTCATAATAATAAACCATTAATATTAATATGCAGCAGCTACATTGGTATGGAATATCGCCCGATGCGATAAGACGCCTGCGTTTTTTTTTACACACAATCATCTATATAAATATCAAAAATCGAACGCATATACAGCATATATATATATATATAGATATATATATATATAAGTGTGTATACACTATTGTACATATAATATGCCCATTGTTCTCTTATGACTGCCCTTCAGCCGTCGTCTCATTTCTCGACCATTTGTCATTAATTATAATGTCAGGGGAGTTTTTGGGCACAGGTGAGCACATTAGCATTGTCCATTTATTGTATTAGATGCCAAGAGTTACGGACGCCAACCCCATTGGGGGCCTCCGAAGAGTGGGACGGCCCTATTGAGGGGCGCCACCTGTCTACAGCTAGTCGCACTACCAGTCCACTAGTAGCCAATTATTTTCCAGCTAATTGGAATCAAAGTTGTAGATTTACAGCGAGGATAGCAAAAACGTTACAAATTCCCTGTAATAGACACGATTTAAGTGCAAAATATTAAATAATAATTAACGTCAGTTTTCAGTTGATTAAAATCACAAATGTTCCTAAGCAAAAGTTGGAAACAATAATTAAAGCCAGTTTTCAACTGTTCATAATTGTGTTAAAAACTTGTAAAATCACTTTCTACTTTCTCAAAAGATATTTCTTACTCTTAGTTTACTTGAAGAAAGTTAAACTCTAAGCTCAATAGTTTTTAAATCGAAAAACTCGATAAGTTTTTTGTATTTACTTTAAAAAAAGAACTTACTCTAAATATGATTATTAACTTTCAGTGTGTGTTTTCTTAAAGCGGAGATTCGATTTATGATTTATTTGAAATTTTTTATTTGTAAAAATTCAATAACAGCAAAATAATTTAATTAAATATGAAGCATGATGCATGATGATTTGATTAAATAAGTATTAATTCTCATATTGCTGTATATTTAAGTTAAATATGAAAACTTTCTAATAATATAGTGATAGCTAAAAGTAAAATTGAGAGTACTCTAAAAAGAGCTGTCCCAAGCAATTTCTCAGTCTTTTGAGACCTGTGATATAAGTTAGCGTAACGGTTCCAGAGATCTAACTCAAATTTGTTGTGGTGGCAACTTGAAGACAGAAGACACTTGCTGGGTGCCGTTGCCAAAAGGAAGCTGACAAGTTGCTAAAACCAAACAGGGAACCATAAAAGGAGCAGCGGCAGCAGCAGCAGCTGAGGCAGAAGATCCCGCCAAGCATTCCGAATCGATTACGACTATATTTTGCAAGATCAAAAGCAGAACAGTAAAGCAATATATAACACTCTCTATCCCTCTCTCTTTCTCTCTATTGGCTTAACCATGTATTTATTAATAAAACTCCAACTGCCAGTCAGACAAAATAGAGCTAGACACAGAGCGAGAGAGAGAGTGGGAGAGATCATCGCGAAAGAGAAACAGAAACAGTTGGTGGTACAAAGTGGTGTTGACAATGCCCGCGGGTTCAAGTCCCACTGAGCGAATGACCTTCGACCTGCGACCTGTGAGGGAGATGCGAGTGAGTGTCCTGCAATCATCGTTAATGATCGCAATGTCCTTGTGCGCCTCAAATTTGACAAATCAATTTTGTTTAGCTAACAGCGTGCGCTCCGAGCCGAGTCAGTGGGACAGCGACAAGGACGACGACGACAACAGTCAGGACATGAAACTGCATGTGTCCTCCAACAGCAAAACATACAACAAACTGAGCTGAGTCCCAGCAGACAGTAGTTGGTTGCTGGTATTTGGTTATAAGTGGTGACAGCCCGAAACCAACATGTTTGCCAATACACATCATGTTCACTCAAAGGTGAGCTGTTGACATCTTAAAGAAGTTATCTGAATTATAACATTTAAAAAGAATCGAAAGGAAAAAAACTATATATATACAAATATATACACTTTAAAAATATATATATATATATAGAGAGAGAGAGAGAGAGAGAGAGAGAGAGAGAGAGAAATAAAGACTGAGACATAAAATACAGAAAATACTAGCAAATCTAAATCAAATATTTCGATTGCCGTCGGTAAGCGTCTTCAGGCAGAGATTCGACAGCTGTGGAAACTAATTTTAAATATATATGACATATGTAAATAATATTTTAAAATAAAATTCGCTATTATTTAATCTATATATACGTATATTTATTTAATTACATACTTACTCCACACAAATTTTCTGCTAAGTTCTGATAATAAACATTTTAAATAACTTTTGAAAATTGTAATCTTAAACATCATCTTCAAACATATATACGAGTATGTATGTATATCTTTATTGATTCATTCAGTTTGGATACCTACAGGTTGTGTGTGCACATTATCCTCGATTATCCTTGACTTACAGACTTTGCTTCAGTGTTGAACTGTTTCACTGCGTTGCAGTTACAAACACCTCATTAGCAAGGATTATCGGCCCTTTGCAAGCCTGGCCAGGACTACAAACTACCTGACTTTGACTCTCTCTCTCTCTCCCTCTCCCTCTCTCTCTCTCTTAGCTGAAAGCTAAGCCTTTCTCAGCGCCTAACTCTTGCCTCTGTGTGTGTGTGTAAAAAGGGGTTTGTGTCCTGGCTGCGCATGCGCTTCTACGCAGGAGGAAGAATGACGGCAAATAAAATTTTATGGTCGCATCGTAAAATCAGTCGAAAGGATGACATTTACTGCATTTGCTTCCTGGCAAGCAAAGGATTATTTCCGAACTGTCTAATCCTGGCTGGTCCTTGGTCCTACTCGGCCCTTACAGTTTGTTTATATTGCCAAATCCTTTCACCCTGGCTAGCCGGCCTCCTGGAATCGTTGCCATCGCAATTTATTCGCACACACAAATATTTCGGACAATCCCGAGCAATCTGGCCTGTCGCAGTGTCCTGTAAATATTTTGAGGTTTTGCGCTTCTTATGTGTGGGTAAACGCCTGATGTATATATATATATCTATATATATATATACATATGTCTATAAACTTGTGCGAATTGCCGCTATAATTGGACCATGATTGTGGACAAGATTGCAACAGGTACAAGTCAGACATTCTACGGCTAATCATTTATAATAATGTCAAAATAATAAAATAATAGGAAAATTTGTCTTTAGTTTGTAGAATATGAAATGCTCTTCATTTAAAAGAATTATTGAAATTCATAACCAGACTCGAAACTCATTGTATTTTTAAGACCGAAAAGATCAAAACCTAATCGAACATCCAAAAAAAACTTGGGATCAGTTCATATTTTAAACAAAACCGGAATCTAGATCGTAATCGATTTGAGCTTATATCCTGTTTTTACTCAGTTTTATACTTGAGTTCGAAATTTGTTTCTCCTTAACTTTAGCAAAGAAAAATTTGTACCAATTTGAAAAGGAAACTAACTATATTCATTTAACTTAACTTAACTCAACTTAATTAAGAATACAAAATCGCATAAATATGCTTTGCAAATGTTACAAAATAGCTGACACATTTACAATTCCCATTTAGCTAGGGCATAATAAATTAAATTTGTAGCTCATCTCGCGCTGCGGATACATTGTAAATTACTATTTTCCTACCTTTTGATGTTCAACACATTGTCGGCTCATTAATCAAGTCGGTGCAGCCTCCGCCCCCTTTGATCTGAAGCCAACCAGGAGCAAGTAGATCGACTGAGCAAAAAGTTCATTAGTCCAGAGAAGAGAGAAGACAACAACAGAAAGAAGAATAAAGAAGACTGAAAACAAAACAAAACAAAACAAAATAAAACAGACTCTGAAAGAGTTGCGCCTCAGAGTTCAAGTCCAAAGTTGGAGCTCAACGCTCGACTCTTGAGATTGGTTTGGTAATTCTTTATCGCTACCGAAAATTAATGCGTAGTATTTTGGATTTGTAACAAACATTTACAAAACATTTTGTCCAAAGCAGCTTTCTCTGCTACCGTATATATTGGGTGTGTGAGTGTGTGTCTGTAAGGTCGATGATGATCAAATTTTAATTAAAGTTTAAGTTTATTGAGTTTATTGCATTATTAGCTTGGCTGGAGATTGTGAGGGAAATCTGGGGTGCTATTAAATTGGCATTAGATAAGCTTCAAAATTGGGTGCTAACCCATAAATAAAAATATAAAAAAAACCCTAAGAAAAGTAGGTAAAATTGAGATGTTGCCGTCAAAACTATTTCCCATCAACAAAAACAAAAAATAAAATCTAAGACTGATGCCAATCTTAAGTTCTAAATGGATTTTGTGCACTTTGTGCAAAAATGTTGTGCTGCTACCTGGAAAATTGAAGATCCTAAGTCGATTGTAAAGTCAATATTTACTTTTGGCCAGAGCGAACGAAAAACTAGATTAAAATAATAATATATTCAAGATACCTGGGATTGTCTGAGCTGTCTGCACTTACCAGCTATGACTTCATTAATGGACACGTAAATAACTAGAGAGGATCTTCTTTTGCAGGATAACGTTTTCGGATTTTAGGTGTGAATTTGAGGTAAATTGTGTTTTGGGTCTACGAAATAGGGGCAAATCACTCACAAATTCGATAGAATTGATGGGCAATTAACACCTTGGTTGGAGTTTTAGTGCCCAATTTAATGTCAGATTGGCTCGTTTTGCTCGTTTTGGAGTTTTTCAAGACTTTTCCATTTTCTTGTTTCTTTTTTTTTTGTTTCTGTTTTAGATTTTTGAGAGTGCACATTTGGCATTGAGGGTACTCTGCACACTCGCTCAGCAGGGTGGCCCACAAAGTGTCCCGTTGAGTTTGTTGAAAACTTGGACAACGATGAGGCTACTTAAAGGCCCTAATTTGGCTAGCTGCGCTTTTGAGTTATTCCCAAAAATAACTCCAGCTGGCAACAGAAGCGTGTCAAGGTCCTCCCGAGCTACTGAATGGCAAACAGCATGGACTCTCCCAATTCCAGGGATCCGTTTTCCATTACGAAATTTGAAAATGATCAGCTAGTTTCAAATCTAGCAAAAAGTTGTTTTGCTGCATAATTTAATATGTAATAAATTGGCCAAGTTGAGAATTAAAACGCATACTTCTTTAATATATATAAATTAATATATTTATTTATTAAATTAGCTGCTATAAACTTATGTAATATCATATTGTATTATACAAAGATATATATTTTATAGGGGCAAGTGATCGCTCTAAAATATATTATAGTTTTATATTTTAGGCGAAAGTTGTAATTTTGTAATAAACTAAGTTCGTGTTTTTGTTTTATTTGTAAAATAAGTGAAAAGTTAATATTAATTTAAACATATTTGAAAATTTATGATTTCTTGCTGAGCTCTCGAAAATGTTATATACAAAAGTTATATAAACGAAAAGTTAATAAAATTACTTAAATGACTTAAATAATTTATTTAGTAAAAATTGCTCTAAAATTCGCTGAAAAAAAGAGTTTCCCAAATTTGAAACTTTATACAGGAATTGAAAAATAAATATTTTAAAATTTTGTGTAGACTTAAAAGTTTTTCAAAGTTCAAACGAAAATTGTATGTAAAATATATTCAAACTAAATAAAATTAAGACGACTTTAAGAATTAAAATTAAAGTTTCTACATATCGAGCGATCACTGTAAATAGGAAGAATTCCTAGGAATTGCTGCTTTGACAAGCAGCAAACAAACAAAAATGTACACGAATCTTTGGCGACGTCTAAAGGTGAAAAAGGTCCTGGCTGCTGATTAGTACCAGGAGTGATAGAATGGCTGAGGCGGCATAGTGCCATAGTTCATCTTGGAGGGTGAGGAGAAGGCAGCAGCAGCCGCGGCGGCGGCAGCATTGAAGTTCTGCGGCATAAAATGCGACGATGTTGCGGCTGAAGCAGGCGGCGGAGGCGGAGGAGGATAATGGGAAGCGGGTGCATACTGTGAATGGGGATGCGACGGCATATGCGAATGATGTGCATGATGCGGATGGGCATGTGGATGATGGGCATGATGTGTGCTAGCTGTGCTGGGATATCCAGCATATTGCGACGCATGCTGATACGGATGAAACATTTGATGGGCAGCGGAGACAGCGGCGGACATCTCCAGAGCATTGCTCGTCGAACTGGTGGAGTTGAGCGAATCTTCCGGCGAGAGTGGTGCATTGGGACGCATGCTGGGCATGCTGGACATGCTGCTGCTGTTATTGCTGTTGCTCCAGCTGCTATAGAGTTGCGCCTGCTGAGCATTCGTCGTCTCCACTTTCAGCTCCTCCAGCGATGCAGCGGATGCAGAGGATTGCGTTGGCTCAGTACCAGCAGCAGTTGAAGAACCCACAACGAGACTATTTGGTGTGGGTGGCAGTTGGCCAAAGCTGGAGGAGATGGACTCGTTGGGACTCTCGTTACGTGGCATTGTCTGATGCGGCTCAGATTCAGTGCTGTAAATCGAACCCAATTCAAAGTGCGTCTGATCCGACAAAAGATTGTTGTTATTATTATTGTTGTTATTGCTGACGGAGCTGGGCATTATGTAGCTGGCAGTGCTGGCCACAGCGGGATTGTAGAACTGATGATGATGATGATGATGATGCGGCGGTGGCGGCGGCGTCGTCGTTGTTGCCGTTAAATTACCACAGATGGGCGACAAACTGTTGACCACCGGTGGAGCAGGAGGAGCAGCAACTGCCGCTTGACTATAATAATCAAATTGTTGCTGATAAACGGCAGCAGCGGCAGCGGCATGAGCATGTGCATCCAGACTGCTCGCCGGCAGACTCATCATCGCCAACGAGCTGGAGACGGGGGTGCCACTACCACTGCCACTTGCGCTGCCAGCACTGCCACTGCCAACAACCGAAATGGCGACGCTGGATGTGTGCTGTTTGCGGAGCCGGGCGCGTCGATTGCTGAACCACACCTGGATGCGTGCCTCGGTGAGATTGGTGCGCTGAGCCAGCTCCTCGCGCGTAAATATATCCGGGTATTGGGTGCGCTCGAAGGCACGCTCCAGCTCCTCCAGCTGGCTAGCGGAGAAGGTGGTGCGACAGCGGCGTTGTTTCCGCTTCAAGGCGATGCCCGGCTCGCTCTCGCAGTCGGAGAGGTCCTCCTCGTCGGAGGGTTTCGGATGCTGCAACGAATGCGAGCTGCAAGAACTACTGGAGTTGGGTTTGGAGGAGCTGGCATCAGTGCCATCGGCGTTGGCATCGCGTCCGCGCACCAGGCGCGATATAGCCGATACGGATGGAACCATGCTGCGATCACAGAAGCCCTCATGGATCAACTTTTCGCGTATCTCCCAGGAGAACATGCCGGGATTGTTGCGTTTGTATTCCTCAATGCGATTCTCAATTTCGGGCGTGGCAATTCGCGGCTTAGAGCCACCAATGACACCAGGACGTATCGAACCGGTCTCCTGGTAGCGATTCAATATCTTTGATACACAGCCGTGCGAGACACGCAACTGACGAGAGATCACACAAGGACGTATACCCTCCGCCGCCATATTGACGATCTTGAGGCGGATGCTGTTGGGCAGGGGGCGACCATTGATGAACATGCCACCCAACTGATTGACACGTCCCTGACCGCTATTCATGTCTGTAGAGGATGAGACAGAAATGAGCAAAGTTCGATTTTTATTTATGGATTTTTTGATAGTCTACGATTTTTTTTTTTTTTTGAGTAAAGTGTGCAAAGCTAGTCAAAGATTTCTTCTTTTTTTAGCAAATTATGAAAAGTTAGTTAAAGATTTTTTTTTTGTGATCAACGAATGCAAATTTATTGAAAGATTTGATCTTTTTTTGCGAAAAATGCAAAGTTAATCAAGGATTATTTATTTATAATTTTTTTCAGCAAAAGTAAGTCAAGTTAATTTTTTTTTTAGCAAAGAATGCAATGTTATTCAGCGATTTTTTTTAGCATTGCAAAATTAGTCAAAGATTGTTTTATGCACAATTTTTTAAAGTAGAGTTTCGATCTATGACTAAATCATGTAAGCAATAATATTTGCAGTTTCTAAAACTAAAACACAAGGCACCAAATGTAAGCCAGGTAGTTGCCACGCGTGTCCCTTCCTCAATTTCCCTGGTGCCTATTGCCTTGCGCCTTGTGCCACTTGATTTACGACCCCTAGGAACAATTGACTTTCCCGGAACGGGAAGCAATCCCGACGAAGGTCTCGCGCACGTCTTCTACTACACTAATTAACCATTCGCAGGAAGACCTTGGGCGCTAGGAACTAGGTTCCGGAAAGGGAGCTGTGTCCGCTACTTGGTAAAGATTTTAAAAAGATGAGCATTTAAGAGAGTATGGAAAATCCGACAAATTATGAGGCTTTAAGAGTGAGAGGCGAAAGCAAAAGGGTTTAAGTACATTTAGAACACGAAACTTTTCGGAAATGAAATTGTGTATATTATTCCAAATTGATTTTGAACTAATTTGTATTTTCTAACAAGAAAAACTACTTTTCGATTCCAAACTACATTGGTAATTTCCTTTCTAATTTCTTCGCTATTTAAGCTTTCGAACCTTTCTTTGATTTCCGAGCTATAATTCTATATATTTGTATATCACATTGAAATTGATCTAATTTTTCTTATAAATGATATATTTTCTTAAAAGAAAAAATAACTTTCCTATTCAAGACTCCATTGATAATTTCCTTTCGTATTTCAAAGCTATTTATCTAAACTCCAATAATTGAATGATAATAAATTCGACCGCTTTGAATTCGCCGTGAACACTAAATAAGAGTAGCTTCTCTGCTGTGCACTTCTTAAGCACTTACCTTGCATTGCTGAGTATCCATTGAAGAAGGGTCTGTGCATTGCGGCGGCGAATGCGGTAACAGTCATTATTCACAGTCTCACAAAACTTGCAGCGGCGAATTAGCAAATACTTAACGGTACCGAATCCGATTCGCTTCAGTATTGTCACACATACACACACGCATACACACAGACAGCTTATCGACAGTCAATCGTATTAGTTACAGTGCGATAAACCCACAAGAAAAGTAGCAAGTCACGACGAAGACGAAGATAAAGACGAAGACATGAACGACAACGATGATAATTTGTTGTATGTGTGGCTCGTTGCGCAGTCTGTGCCGTACTGACTTGAGCAGAGCAGAGCCATGCAAGATCGTTGGCTTTCTGTGAAGAAGTCGTCGTCGTCGACAGCCGCCGTCGTCATCGTCAAGATGTCAGCCATTGCGCACAGGTATATTTACGCTGACCAATAGCAGCCCGCCGACTTAGCTTGCCGCTCACTCGCACTTGCGCCGATCATTGGCGCGGTCGCTTTTACAGCGCCGTCGTCTCTCGCCAGAGGGCGTTGGTTAGCAGCGCCAACTGAGTGGGCCCAACGGGCCAATGGCAGCAGACTTAAGAGCTCCATTTAAGTGTTTTATGCTAAATGTCCTTGTCCCTTTGACCCAGTTCAGTGTGAATGGCAGACGGATTCTTGGTAATCGAATTAGACATTGAATGAAACGCGTAATGCAATCGAGTATGCGTATTAATTAGTTTACAAGCGTATTATATCCTTTATTGATACCTCATTAGTGGCCAATTAATAATGACTGCAAATTGGTGAAGAATCTTACTATTTCTGCTACAGTTCTTCAAAACAGACGAGTCGAGGAAGTCGACTAACTCCATATACAGAGCTCAGTTCCTTGTGCAGGTTGGTAAAAATTACTTTTAAGTAAAAGTTTAAGATTATGATTACGTGACTCCTTTTAATAATTAATATATTAATATTATATAAGTTTTTGAAAAGTTATTTAGCGAACTTTAATTATACAATTATTTGCACTTGCCAGTCCAAAAACTTTATATGGTCAAAAGTGTTTCAATCTAATAGGTAATAAAATAAGAATTGGCAGTATTCAAAAGTGATTCTGTGTGATTGTGTATAATCTCTAATCACAACAGACCTGGAGCCAGTTTAATTCGTAGTCATGTATCAAGACTATTTATTCTTGATCTTAGTTAGTTGTTCATCTCTAAGGAGTTATCTCGTCCTCCCAACTCCAAAGATCTCTCAAGTTTGTTTTTATCACTTTTAGCCCAAGTAGAAAGCTTAATTTCAGAATATGTTCCTGCCTGTTATTGTTGCCGCTTTTTTCACTTTAAATAAGTAGTAATAAGTGTGATAAAGAATACACATTCTTGAATTTAGTTCGTTGTTAATCTCTATGAAGTTTCCTAGAGATACTCACTCTAAAGTTCTCTCAAGTACTTTTATCCCTTTTAAACCATATCCTTGTCACGCTCTGCGTTCTCCTGGTGCTGGTGCTGGTGTTCGAGTCGAGTCTTTCCCAACCCAAGAGCGTATAAGTTTGATTAATTATGAAATTTCACGCAACGCATGTTCACTGAAAGAAAACAATACGCCGAAAAAAGAAAGAAAATAAAGAAAGCCAATAGCAACCACTGAGCTATCGAGTTGGTAAAAAAAAAAAATGAGAGCGCCAAGAGCTGTGAAATTAATGATGCCACAGCAGAAGGCAGAAAGCAGAAGGTAAACGCCAGCGCGGAAATTGTAATAATGCAACTAGATATATACACATACATACATAAATATATATATATATGTATATTCAAAGCTATAAGGAATTCGTGACGAATGCTTTGCTCCGTTCTCCGCATCCTGCAAATGAGCAATGCAGCGAGGAGCAAGGACAACGGAGGCCGCAATCCAACAATGTCGGGGTTTCTACTGCTCGGTACGGCTGCCCGTTGGTTTCTTGGTTAAGCAAACCCAACGGGAGTACCAAAGCGAAACATTTGTCGCCTGGCTGGAAACATTTGTCGCCTGCGCGCAGCCTGACCTTGAGAACACAACTGACCTTGTCTGCACTCGGCAAACGAAAATTCAAGCTGAATTTTAGAAATTCGCCATACTTGGCGCCAATGGTTAACTCACCTTATTATTCAGAAACTATATTTCTCTAATCTGGGGTTTTTTTGTAATTTCATCTTGCATTTTTGTACAATTTTTCATGTATACTGTTTAGATCGTTTATAAGTTCGTATAATTTAGTTTAATTTAGGCAGACGACAGCTCAGAGCTAATATAGAAGCCAACGCTGTAAATTTCATTACTTGTTTCTGAATTTAAGAAAAGATTTTGTCTGAAAGTGAGGTAAAATTATAGAAAAATACGATATATTTGAGTTGTTCCTTGAGTGCAAGGCTTTCTAACAGAATTTTGTATATTTAGAAACTACTTGTAAAGACAAGAGCAACTTTCTAATTTTTAGGTAAATTTTTGTTGGGGATATGGAGTGGAAGCCAGCAAATATTGAATCGTACAAGAGCAATCTCAATTTTCAGCTGATCCTCGCTGATTTCTCGATTTGTGTTAACAATGCGCACTGAAAAGGTAAATCATATAACGCTAATTTTGCGCTATCTGCGAGCGTACCGTAAGCCGTACCATGTACCCGGTACCCGGTACCCTGTACCGTGTACGGCAATGAACAGTAGGAGGTAGCACTCTCGCAAATATATTTTCCACGAAAAGTTAAAGCCGGCAAAAATGTCCGGCATATGAATAAAGAGTGCTAAAAGACTTTTTATGATGCCCACCTACGGCGCTATGAATGAATATTAACGCTACTCGGTGCCTGCAGTACCTGCTGAAAGGCAGCGAAGATTTCAGCGTGCGTCCCCAAAAGAGTCCTTTTTGAAGTGTATGCAACTGGAGCCACGCCCACAATAGCCACCCATTTGGTATCCAACGCCCACACACACCTGTCTATGGTCCATTTATAATTAGGTTAGTCGTGGCTGCTCCACGCTTGTTTAACACCAAGATGCACAAAAACATCACGCAATCATTGTAAAATATTTAACAGCACATTTCTCTATCATTTTTTGCTGTTGGCCAATCGATTCGTTTTGGCCAAAACACACACACACACACACACACACACAGAGAGCCGTGGTCTTTAACGACCTTGATTGTTACCCATTGCATTTGCCTTGGCACTTTCAGCTCCTAATGTCTATATCAGTAGCTTGTCTTGTTGTGTAGCAAATTTCCATAAAACACACATTATAATTTGAAACTGAGACTCTGAACCGGAACAGCGTGGATAGCACTCAGCGGGTGGGAGTGAGACGGAATGTAGTGGGAGTGAGATCAAAGTGCATTTAATATTATTAAAGTAAAGTTACATGAAATGGAAAAGTATTCAGTACTTTTATTAAATTTTAAAAACACGTTTAAAAAGAAAAATTCTACCAGCAATGAGAACATTCTAAGACATGGTGAAAAATATTTAAACATTTAACATTTAAATTTAATTATAATTTTTTCTGTCTCTAGGTCAAATGTTTTTATTTGTATTTTTTTTATATATTTCGAAGCCCGTCGTGCCAAACAATTAATATTTAAGTATTAAAAAAACAATATCCTGCTAATTAAAATTAATCTAATGCTCAAAAGATTTGCATGGGAAAACGATTTGAAAATCGGTTCTGCTTACCTCAAATTGATGAGAATTTTAAGCCAATACAAATATATTCGTTTTTTTATTTGTTTATTAATAGTTGTGGAAGTTTTAAGTCGAGAAACTGATTAAGTAAAATATATTAAGTAACAAACTAAATTAATCAAACTAAAATCAGTTTTTAAATAGGAATTTTAGTAATCGATTGCAAATAAAAGTATAAGAAAAAGAAATAGAAATGCATTATTTTTTAAATCAATAAAGTAAAATTACAATAAAATACAAAGAATGTACTTCCTAAATTTCTTAGATTTCAAATGTAACAAATAGAAATTCCTTCTAAATAGCGGTAGAGTTAAGATCAAGTTAAAGGAAGGGGAAAGAGAGAATCACCATCGTGTAGCAGGCGGAGATTGACTTCTGGTCTAATCCGTTGTTAGTTTTGGTAAATACAGAGACACAATGTGCAAAAGCAGTTGCTGCCCCCGGCAACCCACTGAGCCACTCTTCCAGGCAAAGGATGCAGGATGCAAGGAGCAGACGCTTAAGGAGGCGATCGTAAAACTGAAATCCCCGCTAAAGCATGCAAACAAATAGCCAACAAACGGCGAGATTAGAGGGAAAAGTCGAACAGCTTAGAGGAAGGAGCTGAAACAACTGCTGACTTTGACTTTTGTCAAATATTTATGCCAGTTTTAGTCCTAGCAAACTGAACACAGCGATTATAGCGGCTAATCGCCGCGATAGTCCGATCTTTTATTGATCAACATTTGTAAACGAGTTGCAAACAGCGAGTTGAGTTGAGCTGAGTTGAGAGGAAACCGGCTGACGTCTCAGGTAGCTGAGATGCGGCTTAACGCAGACAACGCCCACAATTCGAGGGCTTTTCCCTGATCTCTAACCCGATCAGCAGCAACGCGAATTTGCGATTAGTCCTTTAACCCTTGCTTCCTCCTCCTCAAACACCTCCTCCTTCAACTTCTCCTACTCCTCATCCTCAGCAGAGATCAGCTCGCACCCTGTTTAGTTTGGCTAATTGAAGGCATTAGTTGTTTGTGGGTCACATGGCTCACTTCCAGCGAATTTCATTGTCTGCAAATGAACATATTTGCATATTTCAATTGAAAGCCAACTCTATCTTAGAGACAGAGAGAGAGAGAGAGTGTGAGAGAGACAGGGGGAGAGTCAGAGAGGGAGTCGAAACTGCCCACAAAAATTGTGAAAAACATAATCCAAGTGGTTGGCCACAAAGCGTCAAAGAATAGCGTCGGTTAGTGGAAATTTAACCACGATTTCGACACGGCAAACTCAGTCAATCTATCAGTCACTCAGTCAGTCAGTCTCGTTATGCAAAACCTTTTAAATTAATGCGATAAATTTCCAGTTTGATTTTTGTTAAGAATACATTTCGGAATACAGTTGACTTGGTATTAGAAATGAGAACTAACAGCAATTAAAACTGTCTAGAATATAAAACACGAAAGTACGTTAATCTTAGCAGGAGTAAGCAGGAGTTGAATTGTTGACATTTTAATTTCATAATACAAGCTTAGTAAAAAAAGCATATTTGGTGAGTTTAGCTAGGATTACTTGATATACAAAATAGTTTTCCATCTTTGCTTTTTCCCTATTTACATATTTATTAGGTTATTGATCATTTACTTGATGTATTTTATATGAAAACCTCAAAGCTTAAGCATTGCTTAGATTCATTAAAATATATTTATATTTTTTTTGCGATTAAGTTTCATACCAAAAAAACTAGTTATGCAACTGCCAAGAGGCAAACAGATGACGACGCGATGTCTGGCAAAAATGCGATGCACTCTTTTGTTTTTTTGCACCAACACAAAGAGGAGGTTGGAGCGAGAGGAGTAGAGGAGTAGAGAGGAAGAGAGGAAGAGGAGCCACTGGCACATACACCCACCATTTACGAAACTCATTAGGCTGAGCTGGAGTTGAAAATCGAGTGGCAACTGCTAAACGCTGTCGGCACGATCAGAGGCCAAACAAATTGATCATTAAACAGAAGGCGCAAGGTAGGCTGCACCCAACAAGAAGAACAACAACAATTCGAAAAGAATGAACAGAGCATCGGCATCAGCAGCAGCATCAGACTGAAATCAAACATCTGGAGGCGAAATGCTCCTCGGGTCGTTCACGCTTCAGGGGAAAAACTTCGCAGCCACGAAAGAAAGTGATGGCAAACAAGATTAATTTGTTTTGCTGACTGCCGTCAAATACGAAGAGGTTCCACCAGCAACCTGTTGGATGCGATTTTGTAATTGCTATTGCTCTTGATCAACAGCTATTCATCATCCTCTATTGAATATAATGTGTAGATATATATATGTTTATATATGAGCACGTTTGTCTATAAGATCTCGACAAAGAGCGGCTCAAAAAATTAGGTGGCGTTTTTCTCACATCCACTCGAATCGTTGCCGGCGTTTTACCATTAGCAACGCTTCGTATAGGATATATGCGAATTTAAATAAAATTATTCAATTCGTTCATTAATCAAAGCACTGCCTGCGTTTTGAAGATGCATCGCGAATGATGCCGTAATGATATCGATATTCGATTAGTGTTGCTATTATCATTGACGTAAGCTCAGCTTGGATTACGTTACATTTTCGACTATTGCTTGCTGAAGCTGAAGCGATGAAAACTCAAAGCTCACAAGAAATGTATTTACATTTCGTAATAACTGCACAAATGACATACCACATTGATCGACTGACAAAAAATGAATACGTCCAGCCCAGCACATAAAAATTAAATACATAATAATAAATACTCAACTGTGATAAGCGTAACAAGTACATAAAATTGTCAGTTACAAGGATATCGATACCCAATCCAAATTGAACTTATGTCATTGCATAAAGTTCACTGCGTCTTTCAAAATGGGCGCTTTTTCGAACTCAATTGAAATCGATTTTAATTGCTTGCACTCTGAGTAAACAAAATCCTATTTACATTTCGAAATAACTATACAAAATTTGACATACCAAAATTGATCGACTGACAAAAAATGAATACGCCCAACCCATACATATAAAATGTAAGCATGCCAAATTGAGAGGCTGCAAGCAACGCATTAAACAACAAACACACACTTAATTTCCGCTTAATCACTCAGAACGCGACCCACATTAAATGAGGCTGGGCTGTTGCATGCAACTGCCACAGAAGCTGGAGCTGGCCAACCCTCAGCAAAGATCAAACCGACTACAGACGACGCAAGGGCTCATTTGCATATGGCTGCTGAGCGTTAAGCGCTTTGGCGGACACAAAAAACAAAAACGCACAAGGCGTTGTTGCTTCATTGCCCTTTTGGGGTGACATGGGGATGGGGATGATTATACGGGTTGGGGGAGGAGCAGCTGTAGACCACAGCTAGTCTACCATTTGGTTGATTTCAAAAGAAAACTGCCACTCAGTTTTCCAAGAAAACTGGCAAGTGCTGTAATCGCAATTGTCACGGCAGAGAATTCAAGAAAAAAGTTAAAACAAATGTACAGTTCGAAATAAAACGTTCAGATATTTGAATTGAATTGAATTGTTCAGTTGTTGAAGCTATAGCACTTACATAAACTTGAAACGTGATTTTTGAAAATATTAGTACATTTCCTATAATTTCGAAAATTCTACAAACTTGTATTACAAACTCAGCTAGGCTTTAACGAAGAAAAGTTTGGCATGCAGAGAATAAGTTAGCTTTTTCAATTATGAGAGATGCAAAGTAATATTTAAGTTCAAGTTTGACTTCACATATAGGAGTAGAGCATATTCTTCCCTTGGCACACGCGACATTTGTCTGAATGGATGGGCATATAAAACCACAATCATTGGCAATCTCTAGCAACAATCAGCGATCTATTATGGCGTGATCAATAGCGTTAGGGTCATAAAAATTCGCAGACCGCTTCGCTAGAAGCAAATGTCGAAAAGTTAGAAAAATAGAAAATAATATTGTGCAGGCGATCAGTGACCGTGAAATCGCAGCATTCTCAACCAAGTGATATATGGTCGACTATATATATAGAGATATACGCAAAGTTTCCCAAACACAAAAATAAAGAAGAAGAAACTCAGGAAGAGCAGCGAAACGCCAGTGAGATGCACATTTTATGACGGTGGAATGTGAGGACTAAGGATGGACTTAAGGTTTAGGTCCTGCACATGGTTCCGTTCCTCGTTTCAATACACTTCTCGTGAAAATTTGCGTGCGCTGCAGTCTTAACTTATTCAGGTAACTTTCTATTCCGCCTCTATTTTTCACTTAGCGACATAAACTGTTTATGACTATGTCTGTTTCAAAAATTGAGTCAAAAAAGAGCGAGTTCTAGTTTTTAAAATGAGAAAGGGTTTTTACATCTTTCGACTTTTGTTTTGACTTTTTGACTTGCACCACATAAATTCCATGAAAAAAGATTGGTTTGATTTGTGAATTGACAAAGGAAAGGGTTTTTATTAGCTTTGCGTTGATTGGCATGTTATAAAAAAAAATAAGTTAAGATATACTTTTTAACTTGCTACTTCTTTTTAATAGAAAAATAAATAAATTGTTTTAATAACGGATAATAAAAATAATATTTTTCTTATATTCTTAACAGATGATTAATAAATATTTAGTCAGTATAAGAGAACCTCTTCCAAACTCTCGAATGTAATACCCATTAGCAAATAAACTCAAAGTTAATTCAGTAAATTATGCATTATTTTCAGGTAGGCTCCGCCCACTCAAAAATACACATAAATATATTCATAGGAACTACGCACCCTTAAAGATGACGCCCCAAACTTACCACAAAAGGCGGCGTGGCGAATGAGAGTTGGAAAATTCGATTTGCTCTTTTGGTAAACGGTGTGGTTAAGACAGAAAAACTCACGCAAAATCAAACAAACCATATGAGAATAAGTTAGGGACTCCGGAGGGTTCCTCCTCGGATGACCTTCAAGACGACTCCCTACCGACGCCCATATGTAGCACTTAGTTACTGGGTGTATATATATCGTTCTGGTTTCAGAATTTGTTTCGCATCGTTTGGTGCCCATCACAGCCACCCGAGCTACCCTAATGCTACCCTGTATTACTCTATGTGCGGTTTAAGTTTCTGGTCGCAGTTTTGGTCGCCGATTTTCATGTCTGCACAGCAAGGTGCATGACCTTATAGTGTGTTTGTGTTTCGCCCGAAACAACCATAAATATTTTGGGTGATTATTTTAGATAATCTTCGCCTAATGTCCTTGGTTTGTTTTATTTTCATCACTTTCAGACTGTGGCCCAACAATTCACTTTGTAACAATGATAACACAAAAGTAAATTCAAAAAGTCAAAACATTTTTGATCAAAATACACTAATCCTTTTTTGTCAGAGTTTAACAATTTTGTTTGTTAAATACAAATACATGCGGCAGGCATACAATAACTAAATTACAAGCTATTTAATAAATAATTAATTATGATTATGTTTTACCATAGCTTCCAATAATTAAGAAAATGAGAAATGTTTTATATATTTTCTATTTAATATTTATTTAAATTTAAAAATATGGTTCCCAAAAATGTTTCATTAAAATACAAAAAACCTTTATTGCATAATTTAACAAAATGTATTGGAATTTAATTATATATTATATTATATATTATAAATTGTTTATGCAATTAATAAATGTTTTTTTATTCGAACTATAAATAAGGAATTGCGATATTTTCACTTTTGATAGGTAAATATTTTGTCGATCGAATATATTCGAATGAAAAGTGTGCTTCCCGCTCAAGTTTGAATTTAGGTGATGGGCTAGTTAAAACATTCATATCGATTAATCAATACTTTTGTTATTCAACTGTTAAAAGTATGATAAGGTATCGATATCGATACTTATGGCAACTTGCAAATAGCATTGATATAGATGGCGACTTATTTTACGTTTCTTCAATCAAACTGAGCTCGAATTGAATTCATTAGCAAATATTAATACGCATCGTTTGCAAAACTAAAGAAAATCATTGATTGCGACTACAAAACTATCGATAACATAAAAACAGACTTGACGACAAGGTAATAAATAAATTGCGTCCCACACACGTAACTTTTACACACACACAAACGGCACACACTTGTGCTGTTTCATGGCAAAACAAGAGTTGTTACATAGTTATTGCAGTAATTAAATCATTGACCACATATAATTGAACAGAATGTCGGAACAAAAGTCAAACGGAGATGCCGATGATCTGAACAATCTGCTCGACAGTGAGTAGTGCCAATTGAAATTACATAGCGTATCGAATTGCAGGCTTATATAACAAAAAAAAACCTTTTGCACAGATGCTTTGCAGGATTTCGATAAATCGCAGAGTGGATCAAAGACGGAAAAGGCAGTTGCCACAGATGGCGCAGCAGAAGTCGCCGCCGGCGGCCTCGAAGATCCCGATGCATTTTTCATGTAAGTGAAATTGATTGTTTTTTTATTTTTGCATATTTGTTTTATGGACTTGAACTTTGGATCTTTTGTAGCGAACAGGCAAAGATTATGGCTGATAGAATGAACACATTGTTCGGTGGTCCGGATACGCCCAGTGGCGATATACCGCCTCTGCCACAGGATCCGGATCAGATAATGGCTGGCTTTAAGAAAATGGCCGAGGCGGCCGCTTTAACGCTAAGCGGCGAGAACACTGCCAACGACGATGAGGTCTCCAAGTATTCAGATAGCATTTCCCAGGCCCTCAAGGGTCTCCAAGAAGGCACCGAAAATCTGGCTGCACCCGCCACCGAAAATGATATCGCCAGCATGTTCAGCTCCATGAATTTAGATGTCGTAAGTTGGGCAATTTAATTTCAAAACCAGTCAATTAATTGGTATATTTGTTTGTGTAGGGCGGTGAAGCTGATGGCAATAGTTTTCTGCCTTTTATGGAGGGCATGATGCAGAGCCTGCTCTCCGCTGAGATTCTGTTGCCCAGCATTAAGGAGCTCCTGGAAAAGTATCCCAAATATCTGGAGGAGAATGACACAAAGCTGTCTGCCGAGGATAAGGAGAGGTAATTATATACTTTTGTAGGTACATGAAATATAAGCTGCGTTTTGTGCACAGCTGTTTAAAGAAAATATGAGTCAGATATACATATACATATAAATCATATATAAGGTATAAACACTTGTCTCGGATTTCTGAAATTGAAACTCATTAAATGGCCAGTTGCAGTTTAATTTTAGAGGATAATATGTATAACCAAAGATTATTTATTCCCAGAGATCAAAGTCTATCTATTGACAATACAATTTCATTATATACCATCTATCTATTAAGTATGATTGATATATCTATTAAGTATGATTGTCTAGTCTGTAGCTCTTAAATTAATCAACTTTTTATCTAATTTACAGATACCAAAAGCAGCTCGAGCTCTACAAGGTGATTGAGGGGCATTTGCAGAGTGAAAAAGCGGATGATTCGCCCACCGTCAAGCGTGAGAAATTCCGTCAGGTTCTGGATGATATGCGCAAGCTACAGGATTACGGGCAACCGCCGGCAGAGATATTGGCCGAGACGGGCGGAGATTTGCCATTCGGAGATCCGACAGCAGTCGCTGGCGGCGTCGGTGGTCCCCAGTGCCCCACAATGTAATGCTTGTGTGGTAGGGCGCCTTGTCGTTCCTCGTGGAGTGCCAATGCTGCTGACTGTTGAATGTTGCACATTTAGCATTAAGGACATCATCAATTATTTAACATAGATCGAAGTGATGGTTTTTTTTTCTGTTCCTCTGGTGGTTATAGCTCCCTCTTTCTGCTTAAAGAGAATTATTTGGTTTTATATAATGCCAGAACTTTTTAATTATATACTTATTTCTCACACGAAATACAATATATATATATTAATATATTTCAATTCAATTTAAATTTGAATTATTCAACGCCGATCGAAGTGATGGTAGTTTTTCTCTGGTGGTTACTCTCTAATTTTACAGAATTATTTGTTTTAATATATTCCCTTATCTTTTTATTTATATACTTATTTCCCACACGAAATACAATATACATATATTAATATAAATAGCAAATCAAGGGCATACAAGTCCTTAAACTAGAGGAAGAAGCGACGTCTGGACTCCATGGCATGGCGCTTGTTGCTGATGATCCATGCGTAGTCGCCCGTCTTACTGTCGAAGGTGCCCTCCTGCAGGGAACGCAGCTTGAGCGTGAACCGTGGGCCTAGTTCCCGCAGCTTCACCCGTTTGCCCTCCTTGTTGAACTCGTAGCGATGATGACGAAAGAATATATAATCACGCTGATTGTGAAATGTGGCTGCGCGTCTGCCGCGAAACTCGGGATCATGATGGAAGAGGGCGCCCAGCATGCGACCCACTGTCAGACCCAAGCGTGTCGTAAAATTGGTTAAGATCACCTCCGGTCGATGCTTCGTTATCTCTTTGTGATCCCGCTTAATGTCCGTCGTCAGCTTCACGTTGGAGAGCTTAAAGTGTGCCGTCGGTCCGTTGGGCAAGTGGATGACGAGCAACGCATTTGGCTGGCGTCGATCCTCATTGATGATGACCACATCCGTAAACTGTTCCCGTTCCGCACTTTTGCAGATCTTTTTCACCGACGCCTTGTTTCGTATTTTGACGAGAGCATTGGGAAATATACGCGAGAGTTCCAGGCCAAATTTGCGTGTCTTCGTCACCGGATTGTCGGCGAATGTGATGAGCACCTTCGGCTCGTAAATCCTCTCGAAATATGTGCTGAAATCATCGATTTCCAGCTCTTTGCGCAACTCCTCGTTATCTGAATCGTTGAGATTGCTCACCTCCGTTTGATCTTTCTCGCGCAGACTTTCGATGGTGTGCCCCGGATTCGCTGGTAGGCCCGCCTTACGACGGGCTCGACGCTCCTGCATCTTCTTCTTGTGCTTCTCCTTTTTCATTTTACGGAATAGAGCTGTGCGCTGTTCTTTATTTTTCATCAAGCTGAGTGGATTCAGCACAGGCAGACGCGCCTTCTTCTTATCATCATCGGCATTATCTTCATCCTCATCATCGTCATCGTCGTCCTCATCTTCATCCTCACCTTCATCTGCAGCACTTTCATCAGCAGCTTCTTCCTTTTCAACATTATTCTTTGGCTTTTTAGTGTCCATTTCCATGTCGCTGTCATCGCTGCTGTCGGTGACTGGCTCTTGTGCATCAACATTTGCTTCTGCCTCCATTTCCTCTTCCGCAAAGCTGGAGTCACTATCTGAATCCTCTTCAATGGGTGGTGGTTGTGGTTTTCTTTTAATTTTACCCATATCCTTTCAACGAATTAAAAAACAATGCGGCACGTGTTGATGTTCTTCTTCTTATCGTAAGTGTCATTCAAACGAGAGTATGTTTTTGGTGAATTACAAAACGTATTTCGCGGAATGGCAAACAACTGTATAAAAGGTAAGCAGACTGAAAATGGCATTTAGTTTGCCGGAATTATTTAGTGGCATGCGTTATGCCTTTAAATCATAGTAAGTTTATACACATACAACACTTATGGAGCATCTAATTTCTCCTAATATTACAAACACCTTTCAGTTAATTAAAAGATCAATATAAACTACAAGCCGGCGCGTGTTGACGTTCTGCTTCTTGTCGAAAGTGTCAGTCACACGTGAATATCAAACACGGCAATTACGGAATGGCAAGCAGCTGTTTGAAAGCCTGCTGTTGAAAAAGTAAACAAACTGAAAATGGAATTTCGCGTGTTGGAATTATTTAGTGGCATTGGTGGCATGCATTATGCCTTTAAATGTAAGTAAGTAGAGCACATATAACACTCACCAAGCAGCTTCAATCATACAACTTGCAGATGCACAGCTGCCGGGCGAAGTTGTCGCCGCATTGGATGTGAATACAGTCGCCAATGCGGTTTATGTCCATAATTATGGAACAACGCATCTAAAGACGAGAAACATTCAAAGCTTGAGTGAGAAGGAGGTGAGGCAACTGAATGCCAACGTGCTGCTTATGTCACCGCCATGTCAACCGCACACTCGCCAGGGACTGCAACGGGACGTGGACGATAAACGTTCTTGTGCTCTCTCCCATCTCTGCTGTCTGTTGCCGTTCTGTGAGACTCTGGATTATGTGCTCATGGAGAACGTCAAGGGATTTGAGGCATCCCAGGCGCGTCAGCAGTTCATTGAGGCACTCGAAAAAGCTGGCTTCCACTGGCGCGAATTTATTCTAACGCCCACACAGTTCAGTGTGCCAAATACGCGATATCGGTATTATTGCATTGCTCGGAAAAGTAAAGATTTTGATTTCGCTGGAGGTAAAATCTGGGAACATATGCCGGCGGCAGAAACTAATAATGCTAGTCAGCAGACCATGAGCAAAATATCCAGCATTGTTGAGCCAAATGTGTCGGATGAAACACTTGTGCCCGATGATGTGTTAAGCAAGCGGGTGCTCGTCATGGACATCATCCATCCCAGCCAGAGCAGATCGATGTGCTTTACCAAGGGATATACCCATTATACAGAAGGCACAGGTTCAGCGTTTACTCCGTTGTCAGAGGAGCAAGCCCACAGCATCTTCGAGGCAGTTAAACAAATCGACACAGGGTCAGATGAAGCACAACGTCGAAGATTGGAACTCTTGAGACAATTGAAATTGCGCTATTTTACTCCGCGAGAAGTGGCGCGTCTTATGAGTTTTCCCGAATACTTTGAATTTCCTGCTGAGACCACAAATCGTCAAAAATACCGATTGCTTGGCAACAGCATTAATGTTCGTGTTGTGGGCGAACTGCTCAAATTGTTAACATCATAATATTAATAATTGTACCTTGCTTTTTATGCGTATTTAATAAAGCTTATTTTGTATAACGAAACATTTAAGATTGCGCTCAATTGACATAGTTTATCGATAGCAAGCAAATATATGTTCATGCAGCCCTGGCTGACAACTATCGCATGCAGTTGCTTATATCGAAGTGTCGATAACAATAAGCAGCAGGCCAAATTAATCACAAAACTCGAGCTACCGAAAAAGAAAACAATAATAATAAACTCTGGCTAATATATAGTTATTATAAGTGCAACTGATCAAAATGATACCGAAAAAGATGCCGGTGAAGGATGCGCATATAGTAAAAATCGCTGTTGAGCGCGAGAACCATATGGCGCAACTAATAAATCTCGATCAGCGACATCCGCTTGCAAGTATGTATGAATAAATGAACTTATTTCTTTTTATACCAATTAAAACAATGGGTATTGTTGCTGCTGTGACACTGTAAGTCTTTGATGGGGGTACAGTTGATAATATAGTTATTGTTTTAGTGTTGGATGTTTGTTTGGAAGCTTGAAATGCAGCGCCAACGCCCTTTGCGGCTGCTGTGCTTGTGTTTGCTTGACATCGGCGTCATCAGCCCTCATTAAAATGCACGGACGCGACAGGAAGTCTGAAGTGGAAATGTGGAAAGGGGAAGTGTGGGAGGGAACAAGAAAGAGTTTGTTAATTAATCATTTGGGAAGGGTTTACAACAGTAGACTATGTGTTAATACTATGTGACAGTTACACCCATAAATACTTCTCTTTAATAGTGGCAATTTACTGTTTAAAAACTAAATAGTAAATGATAGTAATGCATATATTAACAGTAATATGTGAATAGGTATATTTAATAGGTATTAAACTCTTTGGAATTGCCGTCCAAATTCTAGAAGTCGTAGTTTTCTGTGTAAAGACTAAGTAGTAAATGATTATATGTAAAAATAATAATATATTTATAGTATAGCAGTAATAAAAACTCAGAAATTGCTTACTCATTTCTCACATTAGTATTTTGCTATTAAATAAATAATAATATATACAACTTGCAAACAGTATAATAATCAAAACCACTCGAATTTCCAGGTAAAATCCAGGAGATCTGCAACAGTTGGTCGATTAGTGATCATCAGAATTATGCGCTGCAATTCTGCGAGACGAACAACATGAAATATGTCACGGAAAAGAATCGTAATGAGATTAAAAACGGCTCTGTGTTACGGCTACAGTATTCACCGTCAAAGACGGCCAGCGATGCGCTTGAAATACTGATCAATGGCAGTGCCCAGGATAAGGCACAACGTCTCAAAGAGTTGACCAAGCTGAGCATGGATCACACCTTTGCGCTGGAGTTCATCAAGGAGAAGGGTCTCGATATACTGATCAAAATGATCGAGGATGAGGGCCAAAAGGATAAGGATATACTCATGTATAGCCTTGCCAGCTTTGTGGAGCTCATGGAGCACGGCACCGTCTCCTGGGAGGTGCCGGAAAAGTCCTTTGTCGAACGCAACATTCAAATTGTGCAAAAATTCAAAGACTATCCCACCGATTGTGGCGAAAGTGCGCTCTCGAATCTCGAGAATATCGTGCAGAGCAGCAGCAAACATTCACTTGTTTCTATGAAGATTGATCTCCAGGATATACTGACACTTCTCCAGGAGGTTAACTCGGCGGTGATGCGGCAGAATGCCATAGCTCTCCTCAATGCCATCTTCATGAAGGCAGACGAGCAAAGAAAACGAGAAATCGCGAAGAAGATTAGTGAGAAACAATATCGATTGGCTTTGATTGGCAATGGACTGAGCACCGAGATGACCCATCAGCTGTATGTGCTGCAAACTCTGACGCTGGGTCTGCTCGAGAAGCGGATGCGCATGAAGATGATGGCCCAGGATCAGGATGCCCACGAGAAGATCAAGTATTTGCGACGCACTGCTTTCGATGATTATGCCGGCACTCTTACCATGAGCGATGATATTCGTCGTGGTGGCGGCAGTGGTGGTGGCAGTGGGGGTGGTGGCGGCTCCGGCGGTGGCAACGTCAACTTTTCGCAATACTACAAGAAACTCGGTTTCAAGTGCGACATCAATCCAGCTCAGGACTTTATCGAAACGCCACCGGGTAAGAGACTTTAAATGAAACAAAAATTTTAATTCGACTGGTTAATAACAAAACCGATTTTTACAAGCAATTTCTTTTTTCTTAGTGATTGCACCTCTAACAATATATATATAAGATAAATGAAATTATGAAATATATGGTTATTGATTACAAACATTTTTGCTGTCAGGGATGTTGGCACTGGACTGCATGGTATATTTTGCTCGCACCTACACGCAGCAGTACACGAAGATCGTGCACGAGAACTCATGCCGTGCCGATGAGCACGAGTGTCCTTTCGGCAGGACCTCCATTGAGCTGGTGAAACTGCTGTGCGACATTCTGCGAATTGGCGAACCACCCGCAGAGCAATCGGGTGACTTTCAACCGATGTTCTTTACACACGATTATCCCTTTGAGGAGTTCTTTTGCATTTGTGTGATCACATTGAATCGCACATGGAAGGATATGCGCGCCACGGCCGAGGACTTTCAGAAGGTGTGCAGTGTGGTGCGAGAGCAGATAAAGCGCATCTTGAAAGGACGACCCGACAACCTGGAGGAGTTTCGCAGCAAGATCGCTTTGCTGACATATCAGCAGATCACAACGCTGCGCCAACAGGAGCGCACCTCGAAGGAGGAATGCGATTCGACGGCATCGGCCATTGTCAAGCTCAAAGAGAAAATATCCCCGCAAATTGTGGAATTGATTAAGCAGCAGCGTCTCTCATTTTTAGTCGAGGGTAAGTCGAATCTTAAAGCTTATTTCATTTTCTTTATAACTGTCTCCATTTCGATAATAACGATACATATCGTTTCCGATAGCAATAAATGCCACAATTTTAAGGGCAGAGGCTTCTAATTAATAAAAAATACATATTGATAGATTTTTTATCAACCGCTTAAATTTCATCAAGATCGAACAAAAAACATTCAAATTCTAGTTGATATCCAGCCATAAGAAATAAGAGCACTCGCAGTTCAGCTTACATTTGGGTGTGCAAAACTCACTCGACTACAGCATTTTTACTTATTCATTCTTATACTTATTCTCAATCTTATTATACTTATTCTTACTTATCAAATCACTAATTTTGTTTTATATTCCTTTCTTTTCAGGCACACGTTTCTCGAAATATTTGCGCGGCGCACGGACCAAAGATAAATTCTGGTATGCACGTCTCTCGCCCAATCACAAGGTTATTCACTATGGAGATTGTGACGAGAAGAATATACCGACGCTGGAGGATCTGCCCAAGAAGTTGCCCATCATCGATATCAAGCAGCTGCTCGAGGGCAAAGAGTGTCCGCATATGAAAGAGACGCGTACGCGAAAATCTCCCGTAAATTTAGCCTTTTCGATAACGTTCGAGACCATGGATCACTCGACGCTGGACTTTGTGGCGCCCGATGAGAGTGTCTTCAATTATTGGACAGATGGCATCAATGCGCTGCTCGGCCAGGAGATGAGTAGCAAGCAGAAGAAGGAGGACTTTGACACACTGCTCTCGATGGAGATCAAGTTGCGACTGCTCGATACGGAGGGCGTGGACATTAGCAAGGATCCTCCGCCCATACCCGAAGATCCCGAGAACTATGACTTTTGCTTTGAAAGCTAAACAGGAATAAAGTATTTTGCTTTGATTTTCTCTTTTCTGTATGCAATATTAATCATTCTATAACCAATCATCCCAAAATACATGCCAAAGTGTAATCATTTATACAGCAGAGAATGGAATCATTTCTCTCCTCCGATCTGATCTGATTATGTAGTATTAGCTGTGCAATTTCTAAACTAAAATGAACAAATTGAAGCAGTTCTTCGCTGCCCATTAGCAATTTACATTTATCATTTTTTCTTTAATTAATTATGTTAAGTATATAATTTTTAATATATAAATAGAGATTCATTAAATACAACAATTTTTATACAATAACAATTCTTTTGTACAAAAAAAATGTTAAAATAACAAGAGAAGCGTTTTCTTATTTATGCTAATTAGAATAAGTCCTTAAAAAAATAGCACCCTGTGCCACAGCTTAAATATCCTTGCAGAGTCGTCTTTAATGATATATGGAAGTAAATACGTTTTTAAATCTGTCCCAAATCCTTGAATAATACTTTTTCTTGGGATCTATTTAAATCAAGTTTCGTCCTTCACGTTTGATATTCTGCTGCAAGGATAATATTTAGATTTAGCAATTATTGATTGATAAAAAATAGATTGCAATAAATGTGAGCCTTTTTTGTTTTTGGTTTTTGTTGGAGTAAGCACAAAGCTTGGAGCAAAATCAAAGCATAGTCGCCGCCGCCGCCTTGGAGCGGTGACTATCGCTATTATCCACGCACGGGCACCTTGCGCCGGCGAGCATTAGCGCGCTCCTAGCTTCTTAATCATATATTATCCTCCAGCAGCAGATCAGTGTCATCTCCTCGATCCGGCAAACAAACGAAGAACTCCAAAAGATTGAGGACGGGTCCACGCGAGAAGGGATTCTGATAGCGACCACGCTTATCCCGCAAATATGGATAACGCTTGTAGTTGAACATCTCGTTGGTGGTGAGATTCATGCAGGCATGAAGGATCTGCAAAACAAACAGATGTAACCCAATCCAGACATGGAGCACTCAATTTCTTACCGAAGTGCATGTGAGTATCCAACCAAGACCACAGAAAACGACAGCCTCAATCAGGCCCAGCACATAGAGCAATGTGAATCCCTCGATCATGACGCAATAGCAGGCAAAATAAATGGTAAAGGAGCAATTGACAGCGACCGAAAGGACGAACAGGAAGAACCACATGCGATTGCGCAAACCGACGCAATTGTAGATAAAAGGACAATGATGATCAAAGTAGGAGACGCAACGATTGCACACCCGGCAATGCTTGGCGCGCAGCGGACGCAGACAGCGGCAGCTGTGGCACAGCCGGGTGAGCATCACATTCCGCTTCTTCAGCTTGTCAAAGTACGGAATCTGTTTGATGGCTCGATAATAGGCATCCGAACTCAACGGAATGTAGCCAGGATCACGACGATTGGCAATGGCCCAGCTTACCCACATGACCACATTCCAATAGATGAAGCAATAATGCGATCGTCTCAATATATTCCAAGTGATCGGAATGGCACGTATCATATACATGGGATAGCCCCAGAGCAGTACCGAGAAGAGGAAGAGAAAGAGTGGACCCTTGGAGTCGCCAGCGCCGCCAAAGAGCCAGCCCCAACTTTCCGATACGGAGGGTATCCAGCGTGACTTCTTCTTCACCTCACCGTACAGCAGTCGCACCACATCCTGATGTTGATGTGCCTGTGCCAGCATAATCGGTGTCTTGCCATTCTTATCTCGCGGCTCCAGATCCAGTTGGGATTTCTCGCACAACAGCCGCACACAGTTAATGTTGCCGGACAAACAGGCCAGATGCAGCGGTGTCGATCCAAAGTTATCCGTCTTCTGCAGCTCCACGCCCGAATACATGAGCAGACGCATCAGATCACCATGTCCCTTGTAGGCCGCCCAATGGAGCGCCGTGTCGCCATTGATATCCGTCAGATTGTTGAGCGCACCCATGCCCAGCAGATAGGCAGCAGTTGCAGTGCGTCCATACATACAAGCCAAATGCAGTGGTGTTAATCCCTTGAAATCCGCTGCATTTACGGCCACACCAGCTTGGAGCAGCACCTGCACCACTGAGGCGTGGCCCTTGCGGCAGGCCCAGTGTATGGGCCGCGGTCCCTGGGTGCCCAAACACGGCAGATCAATGGGCGCAGTGCGTTCAATTAAATACCGCATCAGCTGCACATTCCCGTTCAGAGCAATCCAATGAGCGGGCGTGTAACCATGACGATCCCTAGCCGACAAGCATTCCATGCCGAATTTCTCCACCAGATTTTCCACTTCACTAACTTCACCATTCTTGATAATATCAAAAATATCATCTAGATTTACGGTGGCACCATCCAAGCCCTCAAACAACAACATATTGCTGTCGTGCTCATTCCCATCCCCATTGTTGGCGACACTATTGGCTCCGGGCGGCGAATGGGGCCGATGATCGATGTCGATATCGATGTCGGCATGTGCATGGCCATCTTCTTCCATGTTGCAAGACGAGGAGGCCGTTAGGGGCAGCGCCCAAACACTGCGCGCTGCCCCCGGACTGGGGTGTACCTTGCTGGAGGCCACGTTGTAGAAATCGAATTCTACGCCAAGACGTTCCGCTGTGCCACCCGATAGCGGTGGTTGGTGGTGCAACGGATTTTCCAGTAGGTGTGCAATTTTGTTGGATTTTTAAGCGACCGTGGTTCGCAAAAGTTGTCAAGTAAACACAGCAAAGCACAGTAATTATGTCAGCAGGTTCAAAATCAATATTTACTGCGAATGTAGGACATTCGAATTCGAATTGGCGCCAATTAACAAAATCAGCTGCAACTCCAAAATGCTATCGATAACACTTTCGCATTGTTGTTAAGCTATGCGGCTTCTGTTATTCCTAACAGCAGTTAGATGTAAGTTTAGTTCTTATTTGATAAAACCAATTTTTTTTATTTTATTATTCATTAAATTACACCATTTGCCATTAGTTAATATATTTAAGCTTTATTGACAAGCAATCATTAAATAGCTTTATTTTTCAGCTAAGCATATATTTTTCAGCAGCTAAGTAACGCTGTTAAGAACATTTTCAAGTAGCATTTCGAGTTAACAGCGCAGGAAAGAAGAAGGGAAATTGCAAGTGGAACAACAACGTGCAGTCGGAATGGGTGACAACGTGGTGACTGAATTAAATAATTTGGATTTGAACAAGCAGAAGGCATGTTAAAACTCACTAAAATTTCAATCGTGTGAATAAGAACATTAACGTAATTAAGTAATGCTAAAAGTATTGCCCATCGTTGGTGCATTCAAAAGCAGCAACATCAAAACTTTGCACATTTTACGAACGCTGTCGCTGGTTAAAAATCAACAGCAGTTTATACAATCGCAGCAACAACAACAGCAGCAGGGCAGCAGTCGGTGCTACGCAACTTTGGTTGGTGTTCCCTCCGCTAGCAATTGTATTAATTTTCTAACTGTTTTATTGCCACATCATTTTTAACTGTACATATGTATGTGTGTTTGTGTCCGTGTGTGCATTGTCATGTGTATATCAAAAGCCAAAATGAATCACAGCCACCGGCTGCTGTGACGTCACTAACTTTAACATCAATTGCAGCACCCCCCGCTACCAGCATTCTTACTAAATAATACTCTATTATTGCATCAGTTTCTTGGATAGTCGATAAAAGCAAAGAGCAAACTTTCCGTTTTCTTTTGGTGGTCGTCTGCTTGTCTGACAACTGTGTCAACCGCAACAGCAAACAACAAAAACAATACAAAAGCATACACCGAAAATTCATTAATTACAATTGCTAATTAAACGTGTACGTTGCTTGCGTAGCTAACGAAGATAATGATTTAACTTTTCTTTTCTGCTGCATTGACAAATGAGTTTTCATTGATTTTGCAGGCTGCCAAGATGAAGAAGGAAAAGAAACCCGCTGGAGCCGGCGGCGGCGATACTCGCAAAGGTAATTAATCAACAGCGGGATATAAAACTAATTTCTACGCACATCATTTCGATAACGATCATATAATTTGCTTAGAGCTCAATCCCAGGCCACAATATATCGAGGAGCGTAATGTGCTGTGGGAGAAATGCAAGGCGGAATATCTGGCCGAAATAGCTGCTAAGCCACGCACAGCCATCAAGGTGACCCTGCCCGATGGCAAACAGGTGGATGCCACCGCCTGGGAGACGACACCCTTCGATGTGGCAAGTGGAATTAGCAAGGGTCTGGCCGACAACACTGTCATCTCCAAGGTGAACGGCGAGGTTTGGGATTTGGATCGTGTGCTGGAGGCGGATTGCTCGCTGCAACTGCTTAAGTTTGATGATCCGGATGCACAGGCGGTTTTCTGGCACAGCTCGGCTCATATTATGGGAGAGGCCATGGAACGCATCTATGGCGGACATCTGTGCTATGGTCCGCCCATCGAGAGTGGCTTCTATTACGACATGTATCTGGATGGCGAGGGCGTAAGTCAGACTAACTTTAAGCTATACTTTTTGATAGTAAATCATTGTTTTATGTAGATCTCGACGAATGATTATGGCGCCATGGAGACGCTGGTCAAGCAGATTGTCAAGGAGAAGCAACATTTGAGCGACTGGAGATGAAGAAAGCGGATTTGCTGGAGATGTTCAAGTATAATGAGTTCAAGGTGCGCATACTCAACGAGAAGGTGACCACAGATCGCACCACAGTCTACAAGTGCGGATCACTGATAGATTTGTGTCGTGGACCGCATGTGCGTCATACGGGCAAGGTGAAGGCCTTGAAGATCACCAAGAATTCATCGACCTATTGGGAGGGCAAAGCGGATGCGGAGTCGCTGCAACGTGTCTATGGCATCTCATTCCCCGATCCCAAGCAACTTAAGGAGTGGGAGAAACTGCAGGAAGAGGCAGCAAAGCGGGATCATCGCAAGATTGGCCGCGAACAGGAGCTCTTCTTTTTCCATGAACTTTCGCCCGGTTCGTGCTTCTTTCAGCCACGCGGCGCTCACATCTATAACACGCTGATGAACTTGATTCGCGGTGAATATCGCAAGCGTGGCTTTCAGGAGGTCATCTCGCCCAACATTTACAATGCCAAACTGTGGATGACATCCGGTCATTGGCAGCACTATGCGGACAATATGTTCTCCTTCGAGGCGGAAAAGGAGAAATTCGCCCTGAAGCCCATGAATTGTCCGGGTCATTGTTTGATCTTCGATAATCGCAATCGATCGTGGCGCGAGTTGCCCCTTCGCATGGCCGACTTTGGTGTGCTGCATCGTAATGAGCTATCGGGTGCATTGACGGGATTGACACGCGTCCGTCGCTTCCAACAGGATGATGCCCACATCTTCTGTGCACCCGAGCAAATCAAGAGCGAAATGAAGGGTTGCCTGGACTTCTTGCGACATGTCTACACCATCTTTGGCTTCTCATTCCAGCTGGTGTTGTCCACCCGGCCCGAACAGTATTTGGGTGAGCTGGAACAGTGGGATGCGGCGGAGAAGGCGTTGGCCGAATCACTCGATGAGTTCGGCATGCCCTGGAAGGAAAATCACGGGGATGGCGCTTTCTATGGCCCCAAAATTGATATTACTATTATGGATGCACTGAAGCGTCCATTCCAATGTGCTACGATACAGTTGGATTTCCAGCTGCCGATACGCTTCAATCTCAACTATATTGCCGACGATGGTGAAAAGAAGCGTCCGGTTATCATACATCGAGCCATCCTTGGCTCCGTGGAGCGTATGATTGCCATACTCACGGAGAACTATGCCGGCAAATGGCCATTCTGGCTGTCACCGCGCCAGGTGATGGTCGTTCCCGTCGGCCCCGCCTACGATGAGTACGCGAAGTCTGTGCGAGATCAGCTCTATGCTGCTGGCTTCATGAGCGAATCCGATTGCGATGCTGGTGATACGATGAACAAGAAGATCCGAAATGCTCAGCTCGCTCAATTCAATTTCATTTTGGTGGTGGGCGACAAGGAGCGATCCTCGAATACGGTCAACGTGCGCACCAGGGACAACAAGGTGCACGGCGAAGTATCCGTTGCGGAACTGATCAGCAAACTGCAAAAGATACGCGACGAGTTCATCACAAACGAGGATAGCTTCTAAGTTGATCCTCCAATTCAACACTCATCACTCAAACTTGTACCCTCTATTTATGTATCCGACTTATTAATAGCTTTGCCAAGCAAAACGACCGCATTTTTTCAGTTGTATTTACGCTTAGATTCTTGAAATACTTAAATAAACATATATAGCCAATGTTTTTGAGCATCGCGGCTCTACAAATAATGATCGCTATATAATTCATCCGGATTTTATCTAATCTTTGTTTGGGAGTAAACATTTATTACAAATATGTCATTCTTAAACGAAAATTTAACTTCCAATGCAATCTTAAAACTATTTTCTGCAACAAACCATTGATTTACTTGAATTTGGCGCCCTGCGCTTTAAATGCAATTAAGCTTGCAATTACATTATTACTCCATGTTAAGTACACTCAAACTGCTCCTGCCAATGTTAACAGCGCTTTCGCTCTCTCTCTCTCCCAACAGAGGGCGCTAGCTGATCTGCCAGCTGCTGCAGTCTAAAATTCCCTCGTGTCAAATTCGTTTATCGCTTGCACAGATTACAAGTAAACTTTCTAACGTTGTAGATATAACTTTGGGTTATTATCTGCAAATACAGCTGATAAAATGCTGATAGCGCAAGCGAAAAACACGCTCCAAAATTAGCTTCAAAACAGATCCTTATCAATGTTTTGGTTAAATAAGGATATCATATAACACTTTTTCCATTATTTGCCCCGCTGAAATATTGTCAATCACCACACTAGTGTGTAATGTGGAGCAACTACCAAGATCATATATTATTCTGATCATTCAGTCATTCCGGGAACTCGTTTAACCTATATCGATAAGATATATTCATATGGTCAAAGGCAGCGGTCATGACTCATTTCTTATGAATCGTTAAATTTCTTATAAAAAGGAAGCATGATTTGTGTTTTTTTTTTGTTTTTAATTTATTGCTAATACTTATTATGTTTAGTTTCATAATTTGATTTATTAAAAATTGCGTTTCGTATTTCAATTTTGTAAGCTTTTGCTTGTTGCGTAAAAAATGCACAATGTTCTCTCTTCTCTCTCATTCACCGACTCGCTCTTCTCTCGCTAATCGAAGCAAAAATTGTTAATATTGTATAATGTTAATTGTTTACACTGCCTGTTTCATAAAAATACATCTATATATATATATATATATATATAGTGATATATATAAATATTTACTCATAAGATGCCAAGTTCTGCGCCAGCCAACCAACTGCAGCTGTTTGAGCCTCTGAAGAATAAAAGCTAAAAAATAAATCAAACCAAAGCCGCAAAGCTGGGTTGGTTTTTTAGTCACAAATAAAAAAACTTCGGCCTTGATGATGATCTCTTCTTCGGGGATGTGTGGGCGGCATAGGAGTGGGATGGGACTTGAACACAAGCTGGCTCAGTGGTATCTCTGTCTGTATATATCGATTCATTCAGGAGGATTAGGGCAACCAGCACACACAATTTATGGAATGTTGTTTGCGACCAGTGTTCAATTCTCTTTTTTCCTTACGTTTTTCATCTCGTTTTCTTAAGTACAAATTATGAGAGAGTTGGCTTAAACTAAGTTCACTCGTGCCTGAATAACTAGTTGCTTGTCTTTCTTGTCTATAATTTTTCCAAGTACGTTTATACTTTTATACAACCAACCTATGTTTGATGATCAACTATAAAAATCAATTTAATTCTATAGCATATAGCATTAAAAAGAAATATTTAAAAAAATTAGCATTGCACAGATATTCAGTAATTTATAACTAAAAATATTATTTAATATGCCTAACATTGTTAAGCATTTTTGTATATTGAAAGTCAATATGAATGAAATTATTTAATTTTCGAATATTACAGGTTTGCCAGAGGAGCAAAGTTTAATTGTCAAGGATTAAGATGGTAGCTGACAGGCAGGCACGTGTGAACCGAGCTCAACTATTTTTAGCATGGATAATAGGATTAGGATTAGGCGCACACTTAAATTGCAATGCATACATATTTTTTTAGCCGATTTGCGTTAAATTAGCTTTTAGTCTATTTATGTTTTTATGTTTTTTTTTTTTGTTTTGTTATCATTTTATAATTTTTTGTTGTTGTTTTTATAAATAAACTTAAACATAAGAATTGTGTTTTTATGTGTGTGTGCAGCTAATGTTTATCTTGAATTTTTAGCATGTTCATCTTTTATCCTTTAGCCCGCTTTGGGCTACAATTGGTGCTCAACCATGTCGCCGCCAGCGCATCTCTGGGTGTGTGTGTGTTTGGATGTGTGTGTCAGTGTCAGCGGAGGTTGTGTTGGAGGAGGAGAATTTGGGGGCGTGGCTTGGGCTTGGGCTAGGCTGGATTGGGTTGGGTCTGGATTTGGGTGAGTGCACCCAGTTCTAGCAGGCACAGCCACCTTCAGGATCCTTAGTCTCATTGGGCGAATCCTTGAGCACAACCTCTTGCATATCCTCCGATGGTTTGTTCTCCGTTGAATCCATGCCGGGCAGCGCCGCCGCAACGCGCCTAAACAGTTGTTTCACATTATAGCCGGCCTTGGCGCTCGTCTCAATGAACATCACATTTAGCTCTTTCGCCTTGCGTTCCCCCTCCTCCGTGGACACCTGTCGTTTGTCGGACAGATCCGTTTTGTTGCCAACCAGCATGATGATGACATCACTGCCTCGTTCCGTGCGCACGTCATCGATCCACTTGGACGTCTGATGGAATGAGTTTGTGTTCGTTATATCGTAGACGACGACGGCAACGGTCGAGTCGCGTATATACGAGGGTATTAGGGAACGAAAACGCTCCTGGCCCGCCGTATCCCATAGCTGTAGGCGCACTGTGCGATCCTCCAGGTACATTGTCTTCGATAGAAAATCAATACCGATTGTCGCCTGATACGTGTTGTCGAAGCTGTCATACATGAATCGTGTAATTAGCGACGTTTTGCCCACACTCTGCTCGCCGAGGAAGACCAATTTGAATTTCCGCAACGGGTTGCCAAAGTCGCCGGATGACATGTTTACGAGTTTTGTATTTTTTTTCTTATGGTTTCTCAACTTTTGTACGTGTCGTGTCGACTTTTTTTCTTCTTTTTTTCTTAAGTGCGGGTTTGCTGACCTCTCCTCTCTCCTCGCTCTCTTTCTCGCTCACGTCTCTCTTACGCACTCTCTCCACCTTTGTTTTGCTATTGGGGCGTGATACTTTATGCGGCTTCAACTGCACACGTTGCACTTTAATTCGTTTCTATTTTTAGTCACACGCACTTTTTATATTGCCTATTTTTCGATTCCGCTAAGTCGTACTATTAACGTAGTGTGTTATTAACAAAGATTTTCGTGGAAAAAGTCGGCCACCAAGTCGATCTGAGTCAGTTGTAGAGATGGCTATCGGTAATTTAACTATATCGATAACAAAGTAGACTGTTGGCAGAAATATGCAACATACGCAACAAAAAATACCAACTTTTAATACTGATTAAAATACTTTATTGGTTACTTTACTTAACTGCTCAGAATTTCAAAATAGTTGCTATGTTGTTGAAGCAAAGCTTTTGATTAGTTCTTATCGCGTAATGAAAATTCGAAATTAGTCTTAAGTGGGTCCTTAAGATATTGCACTTATCAATATTAGCATCGAAATTCTTACTATAGGCTACTCAAGAACTAAATTGAAATACATATAAATATATAAATGATTTACATATGCATAGTTCTAAGAAATCTTTATTGATAGTTGCCACATATTGTTATGTCTCAAATTAATCCACAGCCCTCAGCCAATTAACACAAATGCTTATCTTCCAAAAACAAAAAAAAAGGTGCGAAGCGCAAATTGAAATTCTTATCTTATGTCTTGGGCAAACAAGCGTTCACAAAATGTCGTATCTCGTTTTAATTTAAAACGGCATTCGATAAAGGAAATGTAAACAGTTCCTCGAAAGCACCAACGATGAACGGTCATCAATTTTATTTGCTTGTGTATTGTTGCCTCTTTTTCTTTGGCATCTGTGGGGTATCCTCAGCGCTTGTCCGATCCGCCCCCGAACAAAGAGGACCAAATGGACGTGTTGTTGGTGGTGTTTCCGCCTCGGTTAATAGTGCACCCTATGCGGTGTCTATGCAATATAAAGGCACTCATTACTGTGCCGCCAGCATTATTAATGCCAATTGGCTCGTAACAGCCGCCCATTGTTTGACGAACAGTGCCCAAGTGTTGGGTAGCACCCTGATCGCTGGTAGCAATGCTGTGGCCGGCACTGCATCCACTACCCAAAAGCGTACCATTACCTATTTCTATGTGAATGAACTGTACACGGGTGGAACTGTGCCCTACGACATCGGATTGGTCTACACGCCAACGGCATTCACTTGGACAGCTGCTGTGGCGGCCATCAGTTTGCCCAAAGCGAATGTAGTGCCCACGGGTACGGCAAATTTATATGGCTGGGGAAGTATGTCGACAACAAATACGCCAAGTTACCCAAGCACACTTCAAGTGGCTGCCAATGTGCCCATCATCAGCTTGAGTGCGTGTACCGCAGCCTTGGGCAACAAGGGATCCGATGTGCATAATACAAACTTGTGTACGGGTCCCCTAACTGGTGGTGTCAGCATCTGTACTTCGGATTCGGGTGGTCCTCTGGTTCAGGGTGGAGTCCTCATCGGCATTGTTTCGTGGGGCAAGTTGCCATGTGGACAGGTCAATTCGCCGTCGGTGTATGTGCAGGTGTCTTCGTTTATCTCCTGGATTGCGAACAATCAAAATATCTAATATCGTGTATATGTTTTTTAACCAAATAAATATCAGCAAACAATAGTTAAGTATTTTAAGCTTTTGGTATCTTTCAATTCAGCGCGATGCGAGCTTTCTGCATTCTGGTCACACTTAAAAGTGCACTCGAAAGTTATCGATATCATTAATTGAGCCATTGTCTTGCACTGCTTATAGTGTAGGGCGACAAAAAGAGAAAAGAAATAGGGAAGAATTCCAATAATTACAATTCAAGCATTTAATTAACAAACATTTTATCGAGTGTGCCACAATGGAACACAACAGAGAATTTTCCGATGTCGACATTAATAATGGCTCAGCGTCCGGTGCATCCGACGACGAGGAGGAGGAGGAGGTGCCAGCGCCGGGCACGGTAACGTTGGAGCATGAAAATGATTTATTCGTATCCGCAATGACGCCCAGTGAGGTGCATGTAAGTTACACATTTATTTCAATTATTAAATTAACTTGAATTATGCGTCGCAAATGGGCGGCGTCTGTCCTTTATTATTAGCTTTATCTTTGTGTTTTACTGTTGCTTTGTGTGTGTGTGTGTCAACGTCACAATGCTTTGCGAGGGGCGGCAACAACAAATTTTTGTTGATTAGACTTATTTTATCGCATCTGCATTGCTTATAATATGTATAATTATGCTTGTACATTTTACATTTTTGTTGATATTTATTTGCAGCGTCGCATTTCGGCTAGCAATCTGGAGGAGGTGCTGACAGATGATGGTGATTATTTCATACAAATTGTCGTCTCAGATCCTCAAAAAGTTGGCGATGGCATGAGCTCGTATTTGGCCTACAAGTGAGTCATGGCAAGCCGCCTTATCGCTGAATTACCCTCGATTTGTATATCTATGACCCCTTTTTGTTTTTTAGAGTGACAACGAAAACAAACATTCCAAAATTCAAGCGCAACGAGTTTAGCACTTTGCGACGCTTTAGTGATTTTCTGGGCATACATGATCTGTTGGTTAATAAGTATTTGCGAATGGGCAGGATTGTGCCGCCGGCGCCGTCAAAGAATATTATTGGCAGCACCAAGGTGAAGATGAGTCCACAGCAAACGGAGCCGGGCACACCAATTAATCAGGAATGGATCGAAATTCGACGTGCGGCACTGGAGCGTTATGTCCATCGTACCGCACAGCATCCGGTGTTGCGTGTCGATTTGGATTTCATTAATTTCTTGGAGAGCGATCAGGAGTTGCCGCGTGCTGTTAATACATCTGCTCTGAGCGGAGCTGGCGTCATACGACTCTTCAACAAGGTGGGCGAGACTGTCAACAAGATTACGTACAAAATGGATGAGAATGATCCGTGGTTCGATGACAAGATAACCGAAGTCGAGAACTTAGATGCGAATCTGCAGAAGCTTTCCTCAGCACTCAAATCGCTGACATCCTCGCGTCGTGAACTGTCTCTACTGACTGGCCTGGTGGCCAAATCGGCGGCGATGCTGAGTACGTGTGAGGAGCACACGGGATTATCGCGGGCATTGTCCAATCTGGCCGATGTGGAGGAGAAGATTGAGTTGCTGCGCTCGGAGCAGGCCAATTCTGACTTTTACATACTTGCCGAGTTTATCAAGGACTATTTGGGCCTGTTTACGGCCATTAAGTGCATTTTCCATGAGCGTGTCAAGGCCTTTCAAAATTGGCAGTACGCCCAAATGCAGCTGTCGAAGCGACGTGAGAACCGCGGTCGCTTCGAGCTGGCCAATCGTGCCGACAAATTGGATCAGGCGCAACAAGAGGTTGAAGAGGTTTGCAAGACACAATAATTTATATATGATTTAATAATATTTTAATGTATTATTGTTGTCTTTGCAGTGGCAGACCAAGGTGCAAAATTGTCAGCAACAATTTGATGACATTTCGTCAGAGATAAAGCGTGAAATGGAACGCTTCGAGCTGACAAGAGTGAAAGACTTCAAAGCCAACATTATCAAATACATTGAAGTTCAAATGGCGCACCAGCAACAGGTATGAAAGCAAGCCCTAAGATCTGACTTTATATATATATATATACTCTTTAGTTTATTGATATTACCATATACATTTCTTCTATTGCACAGATCATCAGCTATTGGGAGGCCTTTGCACCGTTTGCCCGAGAAATTGTTTAACTTGAATCCAAATTGTCAGATGCATTTCCAACCAAAAATGTTCAGCAAACAGCTTCAGCGGCGCAGTGCTATGAATATAAAATTCTAACCTAATGTGTGTGTGCGTGTGTGTGTGTTTTGTAATTTTTGCGGGACCAGGCGCTGATCTTGAAATCGAGCCGCTTTCGCTGCTGTTGAACATTTGCTAAACGCTTTAAATTCCTCTCAAATTGGTATCACTTCAGGTACTAATTACACTTGCAGAAACAAAAAAAGTTGAACTTTTTATTACAAATGTATTCAAACACACATATACATATATTTCTATTCTTACACCGTAATTATTACTATTATTATTATTACTGCAAATATTGCTTTTATTTTTGTAAATGTATACAAAGAAAAAAAAATGGTTTATTATAGACTTTTGGTGTAGTCTACAGTCGCACAGCGCGAAATTATTCTCATTCTAAATTCGGTATTATCTAAACTAAAAACAAAAACAAATAATAACTTCAATGAAACCAGTTATTAAATGAAAATGCATGAAACAAATTGAAGAATGTAATTTACAAGTGATTTAATTGGGAAATGTGTTTTCCTTGATTGTTGTTGATATACATATATATATATATATATCTATGTATATTCCTAAAAACTTTTTGTAACATGACAAAACAACATAAAACAAATAAATTTGTAAATATGTATGTATTATAATGAGAGTGTGTGTAATTATTTATTAATTGTAGGAGGCAGTAGCAGTTAAGCACCATTTGAATGTCAACGACTTTTTCGATAACGATATATGTACATGTCCATTTCAATTGGTTTACTGTGAATGGCAAATTTGTAGTTAGGCGTGTGAATGGTGAAATCATAATGGAATTATTGTATAGTCATTGCGTCTAGCGTTTTCTCGAACTTATTAGTCAATTTTAGTTTTATAAAATAAAAACGGGTCTCAAGCCATCAAACGCATTTACTTGGTCACAAACAACGAAGCCGTAAGTACAGAAAATGGAGTTTCCACATTTGGGTCAACACTGCAACGAGGCAACATGCAACAGATTAGGTGAGTGTTTTTTTGCCAGCTCCAATAAAACAAACGGCAAATTTAGGGCCATTTATTAAATTAATGCATATGCAATTGTTTTTGTAGATTTCCTGCCCGTTAAATGTGACTCATGCGACAAGGTATTCTGTGCCACACACTACAACTATGAGCGCCACAATTGTCCAGGTGCTCATCGCAAGGATTTCCAAGTGCCCATTTGTCCGCTGTGCGGAGAACCTGTGCCAACGGCACCCGGAGTGGAGCCCGATTTAACTGTTAGCCAGCATATCGATAAGCAATGCAAATCGGATAGCAAGAAAATCTACACAAATCGCTGCCATGCCAAAGGCTGTAAACGCAAAGAATTAATTCCCGTACAATGCTCACAATGCAAACTGAATTTCTGCCTACGTCATCGTCACACCACCGATCATGACTGCCAGCCCTACTCCGCGAGCTCCACCAAGACAACTACTAGCACCATATCGAGTGCAACACAGGGCGTCTTTAAGATATTCTCCGATACGCGCGCAATGGCAGCGCAAGCGGCCGAGAATCGTCGCCAGGCAAATCCTAAAGCAAGAGGAGCAGTTCCAACAGTAGCAACTGCAGCAGTTGCTCAACGCAACCATATACAAAATATACAAGGAAATATGGTAAGAAAATATGCAAAATTAATATCCAAACCAAAAATTTATACCGATTCCTCTCGTTTTTCAGACTGAGGACGAGGCTTTGGCGCATGCTTTGGCCCTGTCCATCATGGAGGAGGATGACGCCGCAACTACTGGTGGTAATCGTGGGAACACATCCACGTCCACAAATAATGCGCAGCGCGCAACGACAACTGTCGGTGGTCAGCAGGCGAATAGCAAGGATAAATGCTCACTCTGCTAAATGTCGCACTTCTAAATATATAAACATATCCATCACTTGACCAGCGGCCCGTGTGCTGCCCACTCCCCTTTGCCCAAAAACTGTTAGGTGCTTAGTCTAAAACCAATTTGTCATTATTATTATTGTTGTGTAACTATAGATGTTGATAGATTTACTTTTATTTACTTTTTGACTTCGTCACATTCTTTTGCATGGCTTAAGGCTGTTTAGCAAAAATAATTTAAACGCGCCTGTTGCAAAATCAATTCAAACAGGCGCGTTTTAATCGCTCTAGTTGGGAAGAATAAACTGTAATTTATATAGTACATGTTGAATTACTTAGATTTATAAATACATTGAGGGGGATTACATAGGGACTAACATATATATTGCATACTATTCTGAGCTGATCTGCGGCGGCTGCTGCTGGGTTGCTATAAGCACAACTGGTGAATTCTTAAGGATGCCAGCACTGTCAACAGTTGTGTTCGCCTGCTCACCATCAGGTTGCTCAACACTTTGTGGCTGCTGCGCCGGATCGCTCTTATTTTCGTCAGTTACTGCAGTTTCCGCCGGGTGTTCAATTTCCGGCTCCTCTAAAACAACAGCTTGTGCGGCTTCCGCCTTGCTGAAGGAGACGCTACTATGTTTACGAGCAGATGTGGCCGTTGCACCATCCACTGAGGATGAGGTGCTTATCTTACGCGCTGCTGCTGCAAAACTGGCAACGCCCTCAGCGGCCAAGATGCTGGCGCTGGAAAGCAAGATGGACACCTGTTCGGCTGAGGGGCAACTGGTGATGATCATATCATCTGCTGAATAACCATTTGTGGTCAGCAATTGCTCCAACTTAACAAACGACTGGATGATGTTGTTCTGCAGAGGAAGGATGTGGTTAAACAGGATTCACTTGATAGCTTTGCAAAACTTACACGTATGGGTCGAAAGATTATAAACTCTGTATCACGATTGCTCAGATAGAGCTGCATGGCACGCTGCAGCACCGCTAGCTTCGCTTTGATCAGACGTTGCGTCTCTTGGATAATGCTGCTGATCTGCTGTGGACTTGCCCAGCTGCTCTGCCGGAGCACATAATTGATTTTGCCGGGTGGCGCAGAAGCAGCAGCTGGCGTCGTCGCTTTGCTTGCTGTATCGTTGGCCAACAGCAGTGTTTGTGCCTTGTCAAGGAATGTCACGAGCGGACCGGCAAGCATATGGACGGCATCTTTGATATACTGCTCGCATACCGTCTTCAGCTGACGATCCACTTCTTTGCGTGAGTCTAGCAAGTGCTCCTTGATCTGTGGCGTGCCCTCGAGCAGGAATTCGAGCAATGCATTATTGCTGCCCATCGAGAAAAGTTGTTTGCGCTTCTGCAGCAGACCAAAGGCGGCCGTTTTCACCTTACTGAAATCCAGCGAGGTCTCCTTGATGGTGAAATCCACACGAAATGGTGCAATCTGTTCGCGCAAGATGAGCAAATGTTTGATCTCAAAGAGTTCGCCATCAATGGGCGTCTTGGCAGCGGAGATCTTAATCGCTGCCTGCGACACACTCTGAATGCAAAGTTTGAGCGCCTCCTGGGATAGACCCTGGAATATGGGTAGATCCACGCAGCGATAGAGACGCGATAGGCAGACCAACGTGCGTCGCACCGTTGGATACCACATGCCATGCAGATCAGCGGGTGAATCTAATACATGAAACAGGATTAAAAGATTTCCTTGTCTATATACCAAATGGAACCTACTCATTTGTTTGACTCTGTATGAGGTATCCACGCTCTCCGTTTCATTGGACGTGACGGAAGCACGCGAATCCGAGCGGCGCAGCTGGACAGGCTCTTGCAGCGACAGCGCAATGCTCTATAAATAAATAAAGTATCTTAAATATAATGAAATTAATTTAAATCATCGGCTGTCACCTCCATCATTTCAAGCTTCTCGGGATAGGCCAAATCACCAGTTGATGGATTATAGTTTTGTATATCAGACTGGAGATACAAATGCGCACGGAATACCAAACGCTCCTGGACATCTTGAAGCAACTGATGCGCAATGATTGCGAATGCCTCCAGTCCACTGGCTGCACACATATAAAAAACATAATCAGTAAACAGATTAAAAGCAAATTAGAGCTAGATACAAACGATTTTGTTGCACATGCTCCTCCAGCATTTCGATGCGCAGAATGGAACAGATCTCGGCGAGGGTTTCCAAATGATTGATGTGTATGATAAATGGTCGCATTGTGTCATACAAAATGGTGCAGAGACCCTCCAGATAAACACTGCCAAAAGAAGTATTGAATTATAGATATAATAAATAAGATTTAGACTCACGTCAGATGCGCTGCGCCTGTGCCAAAGAATTGATAATATAAGCGCTGCTCATCCTGGCACACGTGCACCAAGAAAGCACATGCACTGCGCGTCAGGGAACAATGATCACCCTTGTGCGCATTCTTCACATTCAGTATGGACTGATTGACGGCCGAGGACATGACACTCGCTCGCTGCGCCAAATAATGCTGTTGCAAATCGGTCATTAGTTGACCATATTCATTGCTGCTGCTCTGCTCGAGCCGTGACTCGACTAGTTGGGCAACACGCTTCACTTTTGCCGCCGATGTTTGATATTTGCCATAGTACAAGGCAAAGGCAGCATCGGGTGCCTGTAACGACGCATCGGCCGTGGTGCCATGACGCGGATGCAAAGTTGCCTCCGTGGCCTGATTGATGATATTAACCACGTAGTTGCGCACCAGGCTCGTTGCCTTGGACAAACACTGCTTGTACTTCACATTGTACGCAGCGGCATCCTTAAAGTTTGGCTAAAATAATTAACAATTAATAAGTAATAAATATTAATATAAATAAAAGATATTTACATGCTCAGCCAGATAATTTAGGCACTCGTCAATTTTGCTTAAGCACTCGCGGAATGCTTCGCTCGCCACGGACAGTGTGGGACTCTGTAGACGCTGGTTCAATAGCTCCACTTGACTGAAGTAGTGCAGACGATGCTGGATCTCATTGCTTAGCGCTTGCAGTTTATGCTGCTCATCGATGAGCTGCTCACTGGCCGTATTCAGCGAACTTGTCTTCTGCGAGACAAACTCGTATTCAGCACTGAGTGCACCCAGGCGATCCATGGCCACCGAGATTTGGGTGAGCATGTGAGCACAGTCCGCTTTGCGTTGCTCCAACTGCTGCAGATATTTCTGGTAGTTGGCATCGCCACGTTGCTCGATCTCAGTGTTGACATTGACAAACCATAGCAGGAAATCGTTTGTATTTTGCAGTCCACCGGCCGGCAGCTTAATATCAACCACTGCCTCATTGTTGTCCTCCGTAGGTTTTGTCACGTTCGTGGGCGTGGCCGGCAACGTTAACTGCGTAAACAATTGGAGATGCTCAAAAGTCTTAGATTTGTTGACGTTGTTCGGCTTACCGTTGTTTCGTCATCATGCCACAAATTGGTCAATACATCCAGATGCTCCTCCTGCTGGGCGCTCAACGCTGCGAGAGGATCTGTTTTGGACTCCCATTGCATCAGGCGATTACGAATTTTACGCAAATTTTCATTTTCGCTTTGCGCGCTGGCGACGTCATCCATTTTCCTATTGAAACCAATGCTCAATCAAAAAAGCAAAAAGAAACAGCTGTTTATTGATCAGCTGAGCGCAAGTGTACACACTGGCGATAATTTACGTTTATCGTTTACGATTTAAATGTGCACACACTAATCAGTTATCGAAATTCTGTTGCTGTTTTGCTTATTTTTTGTAGGCGTTGTTCATTTATTGTTAATTATTTTGTGATTTTAATGGCCCCGCAGCCGGTGGTAACGGGTCTTTCGCCCAAGGAGGGTCCACCAGGCACACGTGTCATCATACGAGGCGAATTTCTGGGCACCCGTGTGCAGGATCTAACCGGTATTAAAAAAGGCATTTGTCATTGGTCCACTTTTTATAGCTATTATTTTTCAGGTCTTAAAATCTGTGGCTCCGATTGTCTGTTGTCGGCTGAGTGGAAATCTCCCAATAAGATCATCGCACGCACCGGTCCGGCCAAGGGTAAGGGCGATATTATTGTTACAACCATAAGCGGAGGTGTTGGCACATCCACGGTCCAATTTCGTGCCTACCACGAGACAATTGGCCCACTCAAGGAGTCCGCGGTGTGGATTGAGGAGTCACCATCGCAAAACTTTGCCTGGGGTCGACGCACACTCACACAGTCGGGGCTAACACAAGAGGATCCATTGGGCCTGTCCATTGAGGGCAACGAGCAGAAAATCCCCGAAGATTTACGTGACTTGTTTCCCGATGCTTGTGGTGATTTGTCGCAGGAGAATTTCTCACCAGCCTGGTTTATGCTCGAGAATCATTTGGCTACCTCGTTTGAGGACTTGAAGGCCGGTCTAGCCTATCTGAAGCGCAAGGTAGAGAGCCAAAAGGAGGGACAACTCTCCTTTCTTAAGTCCAATGCTGGCTCCGTCATTGATCAACTGGACACATTGATGAACATTCGTGACAAGCTGCAGGAGGATGTCAAGCTGCACGGCACCGAACCCTTCAACATACTCGAGCAGTCCATTGAGAGTGGGTGTCTTTATTTACCTTACTTTATATAAGATTATTAATTGTTTGCCGATTTGTAGACTCCATCAGTGAATCGCAAAAGATCTTCACGGATGTGCTGGTGCGCAAAGAGAAGGCGGACTCCACACGTTCGGTGCTCTTCGCCCTGTCTCGTCACAAGTTTCTCTTCTGTCTGCCTAATTCGGTGGATCGTCGGGCCAAAGCGGGCGAATATGATATTGTTGTCAATGATTATTCGCGTGCTAAGAATCTATTTGGCAAAACAGAGCTGGCCATCTTTCGCCAAGTGCTCGAGGAGGTGGATCAGCGCATCTTGCTGATAAGACGTCAACTGCACGAAAAGGTGGTGAAGATGCCACAAAGTGTGGAGCAGCAAAAGAAGTTGATTAAGGCGCTGACCAGTTTGGAGTTGCAGCAAAGTGGCACACCAATTGGCGATCGTTTGCGGAATACGGATCCCGCCTGGGATGCGATTGAAGCGCGTGCCAAATACTTGGAGGCCACGTTTCGCCAAACGTACGAGCAGCACTCGAACAAGGATGCTGGCGGCACACAGGAGAAGTCGAAGAGTCGTGATCCCAGCCAGGCGCCCAGTCGTGTCAATTTCTGTGAGGAACTTTGCGACATTGCCGCCTCCCAGCTTCCAGATCTTTGGCGTCTCGGTCAGCTCTATTTCACGGGTGAATTGCGTGGTCCGCATGATCCCAAGCCGGGTGATTTTAAGCGCATGGTTTTGAATGCCATTGATAAGTTTTGTGTCTATTTGCGCCTGGCCATACTCATCGCTGGCGATCAGCGTGCCTTGAGGCAAGCCAGCGGATTGGCCTGGCCCATTGGCTCCGCCTCGGCAACGCATCATTTCTTGCCTTGGATACCGCAATGTTTGCGCTACACGCGCATCGCTTATGCAACGCTGATTGGACTCGATTTGCCATCGGAGGCATTGGACATTATACAGAAATTGATTGATGAGGTGCGTCTCTTTTGTTTCTCCATCATCTTCAAACGCGCCACGGATCGTTGCAAGAAGCTGGGCGTGCATGAGACTTGGGAAATGACCGTCGAAGATTATCCGGGTGCCACACTGTTGCCAGCTACGCTGGAAACGCTGCTGGTGGAGACGTTGGATGAGGTGCAGTCCGTATGCATGCAGCCGGAGGTGCGTGAGGGTAATCTTCTCGAGCCCCATTCGGATGGGCAACGTGAGGTGACTCAGCGTCTGCAGGAGCTGCTGTCCACCTTTAGTGGCGTCATTGCGGAGCTCGCTTATCCCGCCCACGATGATGAGACGACGCCCACTCATAACGTATCCCAATTGTTAGGCTTTCCCAACACCCAGCAGCCGGAATCGGTGTCGGGTGTGTTGTCCGGCAGCGCCTCTGTAAGCTGGGAGCAGCGCATGCTCTGCTGCCTCGCCAACTATGCGTATTGCAATAAGAGCTTCTTTCCACACATTGGAGAACTATTTGTTCGCTATGGTTATCCGCTGCCGACGCTGGCCATTGAAACGGCTCGCTACAATGTCAACCAGTTGTTCACCAATCTGCTGGAGGAGTATGTGGAGCACAAGGGTGATCCTCTGGTCGGCACCATTGAGCCATCCATGTATCTGGGCCGTTTCCAGTGGGATCACGAGATGGAAATTGGTTTGGGTCATCTGCGTCCATATGCCCACGAATGCTGCGATAATCTTGTGGGTGTTTACTCAGAGATCTATAGCATATCGCCAGCTCTGCTGCGTCCCATTCTGGAGTCCATTGTGCAGACCATATCCGAGGAGCTGGCGCGTCTGATGAGCTGCGTTCAACGCTTCAGTTATACGGGCGCAATTCAGGCCCATGTCGATATACGACTCCTCCGCGATGCACTCGACAACTATGCTAATGAGACGGCCAAGTGAGTTGCAATCATCCTCTCCTATTTTATCAATCTCAAGAAGTGTTTTCTTCCCACAGAAACTATTTTATGGAAGCACTGGAAGCCATTAGTCCACCTTTGAATAGCGAACAGAAGCGCAAGGCGGATGAGATATTGGAGCGTGTCAAGCACAATATGCGGCTGCAGATGCTCTGCTTTGGCGTCAAGGAGCCTTAGGCACATTCCACTCTGCCCTCTTGGCGGCAGTAGAATTATTTATATATAAATATATATAGAAAACTGAGTAAAAACAGTTGAAAAACAATTGCATATTTGTTAATAATTTACTTGTCAGTCTGCTCAGCCGATATACCATCTACTCTACCTATATATATATTTATACAGTTATTTGCATTTGCTGCTTTATTAATAGTATTTGATAAGCAAAAATTAATGATTACATAGCGAGCACAACTCTTTTGTAGGAAATAAAATGGGAAAACTAAAGGTACTCCTTAAATTGAGTCAAATCGAATTTGAAATTGCTGCCTTCGTCTTCGTATTTGTGCGCCATCTGTTTGATGGCCTGCTCCACGTCGATTGTATTGAATTTCTCTTGGACACGCTGCTTTATGGGGTTCTCGATGGCGTCCATGATCTGATAGCGCAACAGATTGGGCAGCACATTCACAGCAAACTCCATGATGTAGTCCAAGGTGCCAGCACCATCGCAACGCACCTGAATATTGCCCATATCGAATTGTAGATCGTTAATCTGTGGCCGCTTGCGGGTGTCCAACGACTGACTGATCTCAACGGTGGCACGTATATGCTGCACCGTGAACTGGACATGTCCGACACGTGTAACCAAACCAAGCCCCACCTCCCATTGGCCGGCGCCAGTGATCTGCTGGGTGCCCACTTGCACACGTAGCGAAATTGTATTATTTTGCATGCCAGCTGTAATATTCCCCACCCGATAGAAACTGGAGACGCCACTGATCCACGTGTTGGCCAGTTGTACACTAAAAACACCCATGGTGCGATTCATGTCGGGCAAATGATACGGATCGTAACCATTCTGGCGCACCAGTTTCCTGCCCTCGGCAATTACACTGTCGAGCGGCGTTATCGAATTCGGCATCCGGCGATCTCCCAGCGTCTTCTCAATGGATGCATTGATCTCGATGCGCAGCTTTTGGTCCACCTCCTTTTGCATGAGTGGCTTCATAGCATCGAACACCAGATTAGGCGCCGAATTGATGAGGCCCTGGAATACGCTGCCCAAGAAGCCAAGATTTTGAAAATCCATGGCCATCTCGCCGAAACTGATGTCCATCTTAATACGGTCCGTCGTCAAGTGTCCGTCACGTTTTACGATCAACGAGGCCGATGCTGTGACATATACCTTCTTCAAGATCACCGTAAATGGTCCATTCGCCTTGGTGAAGAAGGAGCTCAACGTGTAATCGCCCTTGACCAACATCTCGTCCAGGGTTATGCCCGCCTCCACCTAACAAATAATGATGTATTATATATATGTATATTTTTTTATGTACACTCGCTAGAAAAATCTCCCTGAATTTTAGAAAAGGGTTCCTCACCTTATAAAAGTAAAGTAAATTTCAAAAATTAAAGGTTGTCGCTTTCTAAAAACCAGCGATTGCATTTCTTAATTTCAGGTTGGATTTTTATAAAAAAAAATAAACTAATAAACTAATTATTTTTCTTTCTAATTTTTAGATCTAGTTTCGACATTTCAGGGCGCATTTTTATTACGAGTGTAGTAAATATTTCTAGAATGAGTGCTAAATATTTGGAATTACACTAGCCAACAAATCAGTAGGAAAATTCAAGCACTCAAACAAGATCTTTTGTGATATTTTCCAATACTCACCATCATTTCCTTAAAGTCTGCATTGATGCTGGCGATGCGAAACTTGGACAATCCATAGGCCTTCACCTTGCGCATGTTCAGATTGGCCATGCCCAGGCTATTGGACGTATCGGGCACATCGACGGGATCTGGGATGTGCGCCCCGGGCAATCCCACGGGATCTTTTTGCTTATAGTGCTCCAGTACCGCCTCAATTTGAGCGGCCACGCGATTTTTGCTCACCTCAATATTATGCGCATCAGTTTCATCATCCGCCTCTGCTCGACGAGGAGGAGGAGGAGGATTAGGAGAGGGATAAGGTTCAATTAATCATTAAGAGTTGAGATTTTAATATGAATATTATGCTCACCATTCACATCCTGTGCGCTGCTGCAGTGAATCAAAGCGATTGCCACGAGTATAACTATCAGCGCCTTCATCTTTTGCTGCGAATCGCTTATCAGTTGAGGAATGAAAAAAATAAAGACCAAAAAAAACAACAACAAAAATTGAGTTGAACAACAATCAAAATGTGACTGAAATGCTGCCCACCACTCGACGCGGATTCAAACTGACAACTGGCGCGAGTTAATCAACAGATAATGAGATGAGTAGCAGCAGCAGCAGCAGCAGCAGCGCTTATCAAAGGGCAGCTGCTGAGTGGAGCAAAGTTGAGTTTAGTTCAGCTGCATTGAGTTCAGCTGAGTTGAGTTGAGTACAGCTCCAATATTGAGTTGAGTTTAGCTCTGCTGTTAACCTGAGTTCAACGACGATGTAGAGCTGAGTTCAGCAGAGCTAAACTGTGTTGAGTTCAGCTCCACTGTTAAGCCGAGTTCAGCTCCCATGTTGAGTTGAGTTCAGCAGAGCTGTTTGAGTTTGAGTTGAATTTCGCTCTGATCTTCAGTTGAGTGCAGTTCCGCTGTTGAGTTGAGTTCAGTTTCAACTTTGAGCTGAGTTTAGCTCCTAACAACATAATACAACATATTATCTGCTTAGTTCTTGAGTTGAGCTGCGACGGGCTGCTTTGATTAAACTCATGTTTGAGTGAGCGTTAAATGATCCATATTGAGGCACCGGAAGCAGACGAAAGTTTTGAGTAAGATTTACCATTCGGCACTCAACTACACAGCCAAAAAAGCATACGCTGTGGAAGAATATTAACGCTACAAATCAAAAGCAAATTAATCATAAGTTAACTTAAAAATTAAAAAAAATTTGACGAAATGTATTCAAATTGAATTTATTTAACAATTTACAAATTAATATTTAATTTGTAGATTAATTTTGTTAAACTTAAAATTGATATACAACTGCACAAAATTATAAAACTAGACTTTCCAGAAATGTCAATACAAAATATTCAAATTATATAATATAATAATTTGAAAATGTTACAAAGTAAAAACAATTAATTCTGCTATTCAAATTTTAAATGAATATTCAATTGATACAAAAATTCCCATTAATTAATTGTAAATTTTAAGATTATTAAATTGTGTACATTAAACAAAATCAAGAATTTGAAACATAAAATCACTCATTACAGCTTGAAATAATTATTGAGTTAAAAAATTAAATACAAATTTTGTTCTTAAAAATTAAAATTGGACAAAATAAACAATATCAATGATTTTCATTTAGTTGAAAAACTAAACAAAGTATAAACCAAAAATAATATAATTTCAAATTAAAAGAACTTTCATTCCTTGGAAGATCTAGAAACATTTTGTTTTTTTTTTTGCAACTTGCAGTTTAAAATATAATTCAGTTTTCATTGGTTTGTTTGTTTTTTTTTTTTTTGCTTAAGTGTTAAGTTCATTATCGTATAGTATTTGATTTGCAAAATTATCTTTATTGCAATTTACTTTCATAACTGCGAGTATAAATATTCTTAAACTATGAAAAAAAAAAATGGTTTTCCACGTGCTCAAAAAAAAGGTTTCATGCTCAAAAAAAGGGTATGCGTTTCATGCTCAAAAAAAGGTTCTTAGCCTATGAAAAAAAAGTGACTTAAAGATATGCAAAAAAAAACTTCTCTTAAAAATATGAAAAAAAAAATGGCTTAGGCGTATTGACAAAAAATTGTACTTAATTTCTATTATACAGAAATCATAATTTTCGACATTTATATTCTTGTCGTTTTTTTGTTGTTTTTTTTTTTTTGGTGAAGCAAAGCTACGGTCATAGAATAAAGTATGCATTAAGTGTTAACAATTTGTTGTTAGCTGTTTGTTGACTCTTGTTCCTGCTACAATTCGTTGCATATATAGAAATGTTACCGTTTCAGAGACTATTGCTTTGAGTTTCATACATAGATTGGTTAAGGTACAAGTCCTGACAGAGATGCATAAACATAATCATTTTATATGCGATACTTCATATTACATTTGAAATGTACATTTAACTTAATATACGAAAAAAAATAAAAAAAAATTGTTGGGTGATGTAAAATAAATAATTTCAGTTTGTGATTTGAAGGATTGATTAGCCACTGTTTCGGTCAGTGTAAAACTGTCTGTAAGAAAACAAAATGTTGAACGGATGAAAGAAGAGCCTGCAAGTCGAATGGATGTTTGCCGACTTGAAACATGCTCTGTACCTGTATCTGAGCAAGCAGATCGTATATAGTATATGTATATATGTAATCAAGCAGCAGTCGCAGGTACAGCACATTGCTTACAAAACTTTTTCTCTACCTAGGCGCACAAACACAACAAAATCAAATACGTTACAACCACAACATAAGCTATACAAAGATGGCTACAACGAGATGACGTTGACGATGACGAGATGAGGATCAGTATCCGAATCAGGAGACACGCAATGCTTACGCTGGCATTTCCAACTCTTCATCGAACAATAGATCCGTGCTATCCTCGGCGTTCGCATTCACTACGTTTACAATATCACGGATAAATGAGCCGTTCTTCAATTTCTTTGCCGGCTGCTCGCTGATTTTTACTCCTACAGTTGCTGCTGACGGCGTTGGATCCTGTTGTTCCAACTTGAGTGGAACAGCCTCCGGTGCTGGTGGCATAAAGTATATGAATTCAGTTGTGGACTTTTTGCCATCCTTACTCGGAAACGGTATGCGCGGAAAGCCAAGCTGAGCCGGATCGAGCGGCGCATTGCCATTGAAGATGTTGAAGCCTGCCCAATAAAAATAAAGAAGACATTAAATTGTGTGCTGGATAACAGATAGCGAAGATCTAGCATGAGCATGCCGTGAATTGCATACCCTTACAGAACGGAATCTAGTTGAACCCCTTATGCTCAGTAAAAATAATACTATATATAATAATAAAAGATGATTAGACGCATATTAATAGAGTTATTATAGATTAGATTATAACAAAAGGGCGAAGCTAAACATCCTTCCAGTCAAGCCAAACTATGATTGCATTCCTCTAGATTAAACTCGAATTAAATTCTTTCTAATCCAAACTTACGCTAAAAATTCAAGATGAGACGATTTTATATATGATCACTAATGCTACAAGATGCCCCTGCTGGGATTACTGATACTAATGCTTACCCTGATAATCTCCCGTCTCATTCATCATATAGACGAGCGGATGTTCCGATTGTTGCGCTGCCGGCACCAGAGTGAAATTCGATGGCGTTGCTCCAGCTCCAGTTGCAGTAGCAGTTGCAGTTACATTTGTTGCTCCAGTTGCTGCGCCTGCTTCAGCTGCATGGGTTGACTTTTGCTGCTCCTGCTTCACCTCCTCTTTGACCGTATCCGTTGCAACAAGTAGTTTGACATCCTCTTCGCTGCTGCTGCTCATGCGTGGTGCATGCAAATGTGGATTCTTGCAGCCATGGCATTTGCAGCCGGACAATTTGCAGGACCTGCCCGCCATGTAGCAAGGACAGCGACTGTTGCGACACGTGCAACGACCAGGCACCGAAGTGGTGCCACACCGACAATTGCCCGAAGTGGCACCGGTTGCCGATTTGGGTTTGGCTGTGATTGCTTCTTTGTTCATGAGGGGTGTGCAACTGGCTGGAGTTGGACCAGCTGTAGCAGCAGCTGAGGAAGCTGCTGTGGCAACTTCGGGCACTGAATCCTGCGGCTTCAGCTGTACGAATGAGCCAGGTGTTGCTTTTTGGTTGCGTATATGCCGCCGGCTGACCCGGCGCAATGGCTGTTCCTCCACTAGCTCCTCATTCTGCTCCAGCTGCTGTTCCAACTGTTGATGATTGTGCTGCTGCTGCTGCTTTTTGCGTCTGCTCACACGTTGAATATTGTCTGGCTGCGGCTCCAGCTCTGCCTGCTCCTGCTGCAATTCTGACTGCTGCTGTTGCTCCTGCTGCAGCTCCCGCTCTGCCTGCTCCTGCTCCTTCTCCAGCTCCTTCTCCAGCTCCTGCTCCTTCTCCAGCTCCTGCTCCTTCTCCAGCTCCTGCTCCTTCTCCAGCTCCTGCTCCTTCTCCACCTCCTGCTCCTTCTCCAGTTCCTGCTCTAACTCTGCCTGCTCCAATTGTGTCTGCTGCTCCAACTGTGTCTGCTGCGCGAACTGTGTCTGCTGCTCCAACTGTGTCTGCTTCTCTAGCTCTAGCGGCTCCTGCTCCAGCTCTACCTGCTGCTGCTGTTGCTGCACATCATTAAGCATCAGTTGCATTTCCACAGGCTGCTGCACCTCATCCAGCAAGAGTTCCGCATATCGTCGCTTGTAGCTCGTCGGGGCTTCTGTTTGTGTGGACATCTGCACCACTTGACCAATAACAGGCAGCTGCTGCAACTGTACTTCATTGCTGCTGGGCAACACATAGGTGTAGCTGGCTGGCATCGTCAGTGCCTCCGACAAGTCCACCTGATCCGTCCAGCGCTTATTAAAGTAACCCGCTGGCAAAAGCATTTGTGAATAGGATTGGGATTGAGTTGCGATGCCCGGCAAATTGTGATTGTGTTGATGCAACATGTTGGCTGCTGTTGGCGATAACAGTGGCAACGGTGAGGCAAACTGCACCTCATCGCCGGTCGCCGCCGCCTCCAGCTCAATGTCGGAGAGCGAAAGTGGGGCAACCATTGGGGTATGCTGCTCGAAGGGCAGCTCGGGCGTTGTTGCCGCCGTATACGGTGGCGTTTCTGAGGGCAGCGAGGGCGTTTGCTGCTTGTTGCTGCTGCTGCTGAGGAAAGGCAATTCGTGTTGAGATAAAAACGTGTCGCACATATCATAATTGTACTTGATGCCCTCCTGGATGATCCAATGCGTTGTCATCGGTTGCAGTTTGATGCGCGGCAAGTGGCCACCAACAACTCCTCCACCGCCATGCTCCGGATATGGCAACAGTTGGGCATACAACGACGACTGATACAAATGGATGCAGAGTGTCTTGTAGCAGAGCAATAGCAGGGCCATCGATTTGTTCTCCTCATGCGATTTGTAGTCGCAACCATCGCCGCATTGATCGCAGCGGGGAAAGAGTCGTTTGCGTCCACGCAAACACAGGCGACACACATTGTGGCCACAGCGACGTTCAATGGGCTCAAATGGATCCTTGAGCAGCTCACAGCAGACCACACAGCTGAGCAACTGGCGCAGTTCAACGATATCGATGCTGATTTGTTGCAGGCGCCGCTTGGAAAGATTTGCGGCGGATTTGAAGACGAGACTGAGCAGCTTTGTGTAGAGTTTCTGTGCCTCCATTGTGCCCCCTGTGTGACTGTACTAGTGTGTGTGTGTGTTGTGTAGGTGTGTATGTGTTGTGTGTGTGTTTGTTGTGGGTGTGTTGTTTGGTTTCGGTTTTGTTTACAGCTCCTCGCCTTTGCCAAAAGGCCACCGCCGGCCTTCCTTGCCGCGATTTTCTCTGCCAAATTGTCCAGCAATTGTTCTAGTTAAGGCTTAAATGCCATTACATGTTATTCAACTTTATTTTCTATTTTAATTTATTTTTATTTTTGTTGCCTGGCGTTCCTTTTTTGCCTCTGTTGTTGTTCTTCTTGCACTGCTTCACTTAGCGGCTAAATACTTAAGAAATACAAATTCACGTGCCAAAAAAAAATACAAAAAAAAAAAAAAAAAGTTTGTAGTATGTTAAATGTTATTCAAGTCATTGTAAATTATCACTGTTATGTTTGTTATATGTGCAATTGATGAACAAATTTACCAGAGCAAATAGAAACGCCGTGCTTGCGTTTTATGTTCTTTACTGCAGTGTGACCGTTTTGTTTGCGCAGCATTGTGAATGGCCGAGAGGTGCTGCCAAGTTGCTGTAAAGTTTTTACGGTAGCCCTGCCAATTACGGCTACAGTAGTTCATTTGCGTAGTTTTCACGCTTTAAATTTGTGAGATAATTAAAGTTCAGATTTCATTTTATTTCACAAATACGAGCGATATGTGAATTATTCACTTTAAATATAATGTTTTAGTTATTAGTATTTGCTTAAACTCTATTATTAGGCGTAACATTTTTTGTATATGTTGATCGAGTACTGTTCAAGTTTATGGTAATGCATAGATTTGATTTAATTAAATAGATTTGTTAATAATGAGCAATGACTGACAATTCAAAATGTTTTGCCTGCGCTGCACACAGCCTAATAGAACGTGATCAGCATAATAATGAACAAACTATGCAGCCCTGGGCAAACCAAAATATGTATGTAAACAAATGTAACTCACGACATTCCTTCTTGTAATCATAAATACTTACCAACATATGAGAAAAGAAATTAAATCAAATCTCAAAATTGCACTCTAAAGCACTTAATATGCAAGTCACACAATCAATAAACAATCGTCAATAAATCGACAGACAAAATATGAACAAGCAATTGTAATTTGTTGTCCCTGGAAACCTCAAACAAACGAGACTACAGGGCTGCATAGCCAGATAGGGACTAACTGAAGATCCACTAAATTTCCTAACAGCTCTGTGAATTCCCAATACTTAGCTAATGCTTTCCTTTACATAACTAGCTGTTTATCCGGAAACTGCAATCAAAACAGAAGGTCTTGAAATACTACAAAATTCGAGAGGAATCTAATCATTTGTTTTTGATTTATATAATATTAATTTAATTTTCCCATTTATTTAGCAAAGTACATTACGCATCCAGTTGAAATATCATTTCGCAATGTAAGAGGAAAAGCAAGAAGAGAATCTGAATGTAAAAAATTCGAAAAGTCCCAAATTTCTAGAGGAAATTTGTGTCGAAATAAAACTAAATTCCTTAAAACTGGAAAATGAGCTATTGAAATTAAGGAATGAGTGCTGATAAAAAGCAACCAGGGATTAAATTCGTTCCAAACCATTCTTAGTTTAAATGAATTGAGAACTGAGACTAATCTATTTGTTCTGTGATATTTACAGAAAGTACTCAACTGTTGATGCAATATTTTATAAACTATTTTTTATGCCATAATTATTTTATAACGTGCTATAAACTATTTAGCAAAATCGAATGCCTTGTTTAATTATATTTTTTATATTTTTTATTGTTCACATACTAATTGAGTTAAATATTTACACATACTCATATTCGGCAGACAAATAACTATGGACTAAGTTAAAGACACAGAGTTAACATAGAATATAGATATATGTTTAGCACACATATACGCTGTATAAAATATAGTGCCAGCATTTCACTTATCAATTACACGAAATACTGGCACTATACTTTATACAGTGTATATGTGTGGGCGGGGCGTGTGTTGTGTGTGTTTCTTAGAACTATAACAAAATATCGACAAATGCCACGATTCCTTTTGGGTTTTCTTTTTTTTTTGTTTGTATTTTTCGATTTTTATTGATTGATTGATGGATTGATTTAATAGCGTCGCTCCTCCTCGTTGACCTTGGCGAGGGGCTGATAGCTGGGATTGGAGAATGCATCACTGCCGCCGCCTGTCGGTTTATTGACCAGATTCTTGCGTGGCGGCTTCACATTGACATAGTTGTCGCCAGTGTTGCTGCCACTGCCACCGCTGCTGCTACTGCTGCTTCCATTTAGCTGCGTCTCGATGTGATGACGGGGAGACGCTGTGGGCATGGCATATGCCTTGGGAAAGCGACGCGACTGTTCCGGACTGCGTTCGCCATCCGAATTGGCTGTGGCATGCAGCATGGGTATCTCTTCGGGCGCCTGATCCGCTGCATCCACATGGGGCAGGCCATTTTTGCGACGCAACGGTTTATTGCCACTGCTGCTGTCCATGTTGTTGGCCAGTGTTGGCGAGTGCTGCTGCTGATGCTGGGAATGGGGTTGGGGGGCAGACATATCTGGGAAGGTGAAAGAGGTTTCGCTTGTTTGTATGGCTGGCATTTCATCAAAGTCGCTGTTTTGATTTGGACGCGTGGGTGAAAAGATGGCGATGTTTTTCTCACTACTCATTTGTAGATAATCATCAGGCGATTCTTCGATACCTGTGAATTGGGTTAGTGTGTGTGTATGTGTATGGGTGTGTATGAGTGTGTGTGCGTGTGTTAGTTATCACCGTTAAGCTTGATGTGCATTTGATTCTCTACTCACGTATATCGGGCACAATGTGTCCATTGACATAACGAGGCGCCGGCGGTGCCAACTCTGTTGGGGAACCCATCAGCGACAAGTAGTCGGTGGCTCGATTCTTCATGTACTCCGTGTTCGAACGCATATACGGATCATTCAGATCGAGATAGTGCTGTGGATAGTCAGAGAGTGCCATTAGCTGATCTGTTTAACTGCTTACTTTCCCAATTACTGACTTTTTTCTAGGGTTCCCAAATCCTTCTAACTTTTAAATACTCACATTTTTATTATAAAATCGATTTATTACTTTTTTCTTTGTAATCTTATATTTTAATTTGATTTTATTTCATTCAGCTTTAATAAATAATTTCTATTTTTCAAAACATTTTTTTACTGTTTTTGCCCTCAAATAATTTATAATACAGTACAAATAATTGTTTAATTTATGGATTTACTTACCGTGGCCACATCCTCTCCCAACATTGTGCCAAATCTTTTTTCCAGCTCATCGAACAACGGTCTGCTCTCAGGACTAATCACACATAGAAATAATATTGATTAAAACAATTTAATATACGAGTTGAAAAATTGATTGATAGCTTACCTCTTTCGCCAGCACTCGAGCATTATCTCATAGAGTTCCTGATTGGCATACGGTGGTTTCTCCATACGGTATCCATCGTTCAGTTTGTTGAATAGCTCCTGATTGGGATCGATGCCCGGATAGGGAACCTTCGACAGCGAAAAGAACTCCCACATCACAATGCCAAAGGACCACACATCGCTGTACGTGCTAAAGACATGATCACTCAGAGATTCCAGCGCCAGCCACTTGATAGGCAGTTTTCCGCTCTCTATTTGGGTAAATGGCATAGTAGATATTGGAATGGGATTAGCATACACATTCAGAAAAAATATTTGTTGCATCACCTACCCGATTTCTTGTAGTTATCGCCTCGATACATGGAGCGTGCCAGACCGAAGTCACAAATCTTAACCACATTACCCTCGCAGAGGAGAATATTGCGAGCAGCGAGATCGCCGTGCAGCACCTTCTTCGACGAGAGATAGCCCATGCCTCGTGCCACTTGGAAGCACCAGCTGACCAGATCGCTGGTGGTCACCGTCATCGCCTCCGTGGAGTCTGTCTTATAGTTGGAACGCCATGCTGGCTGCACTGAGTTATTCGACATCAAATGATCATCTAAAAATGAATGGGTGATTTTTAGAAGGCACTGGAAGGTCTTCTCTCATGCTTACCCTCCGGTACGGTTGTCATAACGGTTGCGCACGTGTCCAATTGGGGATCGTAGCTACAGGTACCGGATACGGTACGGCCAGCTCTGGTGCCCGCCCGTGGATCGTTATCGGAGTTTCTGCGATGATTGTGCGTATAGTTGTTGTTTACGGAGTTCATGTGATTTATATATGGATGGTTCGGGAAACCGACGTTAGCGTATTTCAAGCCACCACCATCACTGTTGTTAATTGTGTATTTTTTTTTTTTTTATCACAACACAGACACATTGAGTGAGTGAGTGAGAGAGAGAGAGAGGGAGCGAGAGCGAGAGCGGTGCAGAGAGTAGTAGGAGTAGAAGACCATAACCATAACCATTACCAGTAATCACATGCACAAGCACAAGCACAAACCACAAGCCATATTCACAGTTATCATTTTAGGGAGTTTTGTTTTTTTGTTGTTGTTGTTGTGATTAGATTTGGGAGGATCGTTTGTAAAATTCAATTATTGTTAGTTAGTTGTTGTTGTTGGGATACAAAGAACGTACATAGTTAGTTACAATTAGGTTAACGTTTATGCGGGATTCACACAGAGCGACATCAATCAATCATCAATCATCTGCTTTGATGAGGCTCCTAAAAATCAGCAACATTTCTGTTCCCTAAATCATTTTGTTGCACTCGGAAATACTGTCAATATTTTTCGAATTTTCATTGAAATTACAATTTAAAAATAGCCAACAATCAAAACAACGGATAGATAACATAATAATAATAATATTATTTTCAATAATAACAACAAATAGCCCAATGGTCAAATTATTTTTCCAAATGTTCTCTCTGCATTTCTTTTTGACCCCTCCCTCCTTCTGTAAATATCAACTATAATATGAAATACGTCCTCAAAATGTAATTTAAATTAAACTATTTGATTATACACTAACTGCTGTGATTGATGTTGATGTCTATGCTGATTATGCCTATGTGTGAATAGTTTCTTACAACTCTGGAAAAATTCCCATTCAACTACCAAAATGTCGCTCTGTGTGATAAGCCTGATGGGGTTAATTGTTAGTTTGACCTGACTTTGCACTTTGACACTTACCGGTGGAGATCAAAGTTGTCGGAGATACGTTGTGTCATTATCATTGAGTCGATGCGATCATTTGTGGTATTTATCTGATTGATGAAACACTTGCGATTGCGCAACAGAAAGTTTTGTATATTGCCAAAGAGACAATATTCCACAATGACCATCAGTTCACCTGAAAGAACGTCGAAAATATTTGAAAACTTAAAGGTACTTAAATTAAATACATTTTTTATGAGATACAACTCGTTTGAGTTCTTGTAGCTCTTAGTTAACAATCGATAATTATCGATTAATATAAATTGGTGAAATTATTCTGAAATAAGAGACTCTAGGTCAAGAACACACAAAAATCCAAGTCTGTCGTTGTGAGAGGATTTAGTTCTTTAATGAACGAGCATAAGAGTAAAAAAATATTGTCTTTAAAAGATATAAAATATGGAATTGAAGCTGTACAAAAAACCATTACACTGTATTTCAAAATGAAAAATCTGAAATGTGTTCAATAAGTTATACTGAAATGTGTTTTAATAAATAAAGATGTACTGCAATGTATCTTTTTTATATTAATGGACTAATGCATCCAACAATTTTTCTATGACTCATAAGCCAAAACCCGAAGTAATTCATTCATTAGACAACTGCTCAGCCCGAAAATTCTTGATGGGTTTTAGATTTATGCCAACAAGCGAATGGTATTCAAACCAATTCCGATCGTTCTTTTTGCTCTTGGAATACCAACGTTATTAGCATAAGGCAATTGACAATTTTCCAATATGCTTTTTCACAATTTTCAAATTAAAGAGTTTCTCAGGTGCCTTCAACTTACGTTTGTCTATATTCTTGGTGACGGCGCCCAGCAGATTAACAACATTCAGATGTTGTCCCAGGTGCACCATGATCTTCAGCTCGGAGACGAGTGCTCGAACCACTTCAGCGTCCGCGGAACGCTTAACCATTTTAACGGCGACAATGGAGACGGGTTCATCATTCCGTATGCCCTCCGCCTCGCCTTTGAGGACGACACCAAAGGCGCCAGCGCCCAGCTGCTTGCCCAGCTTCAGTTTCTCGCGTGGAAACTCAAAGCCACGATCATAGGGTAACAATTCAGCCTGTTCATCGAGTGTCATGGCCGGATTAATTTGCTCCACATCGCCATCCATAAAGTTGGCCAAGCCGGCTGCCTTCAGGGCCAGATTATGTTTACGCTCCTGGCGATAGCGTACGGCAAGGAAGGCGCACAACGCAATCAGAACGACAAAGAAGATGCAACCCAACCAAATCCAGAACTGACTCACGCCCGGTATGTCTACAAATAGTGAAAATAAAAATAATCTTAAAAAGTGAACGATTTTTGTGATCTGCGAAAATAATAGTTAGATTGAGGATCATTGCTATCATTTTAAATGCGTCAAACTTATTCAAAATTTGAGTAAGTAATTCAAATCAATCAATCAATTCAACTCACTGGTAATAATCACTGTGACGGCGTTGTCAATGCTGCCCAATCGATTTGCGGCCACACATCGATAGACACCATCATCGCTTGGATAGAGATGATTGATGCGCAGCATTGTTCCATCCTCGATGATGTGTGTACGATTCGATTCTTTGATCAGGTTGTCGTCCTTGAACCAGCTGACAGTTGCCAGCGGTACGGCTTCCGTTTTACACTCGAGATTCAGTGAATCACCCAAATTACGTTTGAGTTTGGTCTTTGTATCCAGATTAATCCATTGCGGTGCCTTTGGATCATGAATATAGACATCGATCTCGCGACTGTCATACTTCTCCGGATTATTGATGTAATGGGCTCGACACTCGTAGGTGCCACGATCCTTGTCAGCAATGGATCGGAAGCTGAGTGTCTTTGTATACGTATAATCTGTGCTGTTGCTCCCCATTTGGATATCTGCAAATGTAAGGGAAAATTCCTTATTACTGTCATTCAATCAATCAGTCAATCAATCACTCGCATACCGTTAATCAGTACACCATTGTGATACCACTCCAGATTGGCATCGAAATGGTAAGCGAGCGCGGCACAAGTGAAATCCACTTCATCTCCTTTGGCTATCTTCCGTTGTGGACTCAAACCGGATATCGTAATATTCTCCGCAATGTTGCCCAGGAGCACATGTGCTCGGGTCGATGCATTCGAAGTACCGTTAAACGTGTTTAGCGCCATGCAAGCGATAAAGCCGGGCTCGGTGGGCATGAAGATTACCTCGTGAATGGTCTCTATGTTTAATGCGCCTGGACGAGTGTTCGTTCTATACTGTAGTTTTGGAGAGGGATTTTGAAATTGTTGTATTTTTAGTAAAGAATTATTGAAAGCAGTACACTCTCCACTCAGAAAAAAAATCGACATGAATTATTTTAAAAATTGCCCTGAAAACTAGAAATGCAAAATATTTTCTAAGGTGGAAAGTCACTCAGCCGGTGAAATCGTAAGTTTTTCAAATTTTTGTATATTTGAAATCTTTTTTTCTGAGTGTAGTCGGTGCTCATTGCTATATATTGAACAAATAATCTCAAGACACACTTTCAACTTAAACGAAACATACAAATTTCCGTTTGAGTTGAAAATTTGTGTCTTATATTTAACCTATGCATAACTGAGTACCTTATATTGTTCCTGAACTGCTTTGGACTTTGAACGGCAAATAAATGTTGCGAAGAGCGAATCACAAAATTAAAAGAATATTATTATTGGAGAATATACCGTTTGACAAAAGAAGTTTGCAAGTGAAGTATATAAACAGTTGTTCATTTGCAAAAGATTGGTTAGTTAAAAGCAGTGTCGAAAAAAAAGATTATTACAATAATAATTGAAGATTATTCACAAGTGAAATTTAATATATATACAAATAGTATTTAGTATGCAAGGTTGGATTTGCAATGAGAAACAATTAAATTTGTTAGTTTTGTTAGCTATAATTTAATTATTATTATAATTATTGTGAAATACTCACGCTGAAAGGTTGCCAGGCTCCACATGTGGGCCAATGTGGCTTTAAGCTGCACGGCTTAAATGAGAAGGTGACAACTGCCGGTGGAAATGATTTGACGCTACAATCAAGATGGGCTTCTTGGCCAGTAACTACATAGACATCGTTCATGCTGAGAACGGGACCCGAGCTGACGGTCACATTGAAAGAGAGTTCCTTGCTTTCGAAACCATTGTTGCATTTGATGACATAGGTGCCACTATCGTCCACCTTGGCGCTCAGTATTTGCAGCGTTGTGCCAATCTCATCGTCAATTATCTTGAAGTTCGTTTCGGTTTCCCAGACCTCAATACCACTTGGCTTGTACCATTTGTATTTGGCGGTCGGATGGCTGCCGATGTTCACTCTCAATTGTATGGTGCGAGCGACATCTCCCTTTACGGTTGTACTGTTCGTCGGTTCCGATACATTTAGATAACTGGAGTTGCGCTCTATAAAACAAATATAGTTGAACTTGTTGAATTGATTCTATAACTGATCGCATAGTTTATTGAGAGTGGTGCATGTCCATGCTGTGTACTTTTTTTTGTAGCTAATTTCTCTAGAAACAACCAATGGGTAATTATGTACTGCAACTGCTTTGGGAAATTTCGTTTGTATACCATTGCAGATCATATTATAAAGTTGTTGTGATTTGTAAATTTGTAACGTATTAAAAGAAGGTATTTGACTCTAAAAGCATTATATATTCTTAATCAGTCAAGTCGAGTTGGGGGCAAATATGCATAAATGCATATAATGAATTGTATGGTTTGTGTACATGCTTAACTCTTTTGGGACATTAATTTATAAATGCCCATCGCAACTAACTTGGGAAATTTACCTCAGCACATTTGTAGAGTTCTATGAGAAGTAGCAAAATTTGATCAGAAATAAGTAGTAAGACTTTCCCTAATTATGTTGCTGGTGCTTGATAGTTACACAAGCGATGGACTGAAAGTTAAGTCTTATATTTCCTTTTGTTAGAATTATTACATTATATTTTATTTAATGATTACCTTTCGATGTTGGAGTTAAAGATTGTATAACTTACCAACGATGTGCATCCGATAGGAGGCGAACTCTTTGTTCTCATTTTGATCGCTCACGATGCACTTGTATGTACCCTTGTCCGAGAAACTGGCATTTCGCACCTTCAACGTGCTGCGACCCAACTGATAAGTGGAATTCTGGACCGAACTGTCGATTGTGGCGTTATTAATAATGGTGCGGCTCTGCATAAATTGGATTAATTGATGTCAGTTGTTGTTGTACGATTTCAATTCAGCCATCAGCCATCATCAGACCTACCTCTTCCACTTTGTCGGGCATGACCCACTGCATATCGTATCTGACTCCATGGGGTGCGGAGAGTTCGCAGACTAGTTCAAAGGATTCGTTCTCGTATGCATAATGATTAGACTCTGATTTTAAGATGGGCTTATTGAGGCGAGCGCTCGCTTCTGTTGTTGTGTTTGTGATTTTTTTTTTGTGTGTTTGTGTGTAGAGAGTAGATCGTTATTAGACACAAATTATCTTTAAGTTCAATTTAAATTTTGGGGCAAGCTTATTTTTACAGCCACATGCAAAGCAGTTGATTTTTAGTCGGGGTTGTTTTAGAGGAGTTAGTCAAAGACGTGGACACACAGGTTTTAATTAGTTGAGTGTTGAGTATATTTAAATGTATATTGTATATATGTGTGTATATTAAGCGATATAAGGCGATTATAATAAAATTAAGTTAGTCTTTAGCATGCGAAACAAACCGTCCACTGAAAGCGGGCAAAAACTCAGTCCAAAATGAAAAGAACACAAAAAATGCAAAAAAAAAGAAGAATATAAATAGGCAACAAACAAGACAGAAAGAAGACAGACAACAACAAAGGGGGTAGTGAGGGACAACAACCGCAACACTTACGCCCATTTGGTGACCTTGAGGGCGAGGGTGCCATCGGGGCCAATTTGGTTTCGCTACGCTTTCGACGAGACGATGAGTTTTGGTTTTGAGAGTCAGGTATGTAGATGTTATCGATATCGTTATCGCTATTGCTATCGTAATAGATATCGTTGTCGTCATCGATATCGGATGCAGCATGCCCAACACCAGGGATTAATGCAACGGTATCATTTACACTGTTAGTAACATTATTGATTTCGTTGACCTTGCCATCGATAACCATAACTTTAAAATCATCGTGCGTTTGATTAGTTAACACCACAGCCTTCACCAAAGTTTCGTCCAATCCAAATGCTACGTCCGCGGGGGATGTGAAAGGGTTTGTTGTTAGCATATAGTTATAGTTATAGACGTAGAGAATAAATGGTCAACAGAAAAAGTTTTGCTAAACGTTAGCACTCAGAACCTCACATTTATAAGCATTTCTTTTTTCTTTTCTTAAATCATCTAATTTGAGGCAACTGTACTTGAGATGTGTGTACAGATGAAGGTGTGTGTGTATATGTGTGTGGTTTAAGGTGTTTAATTTTGATTTGTCGAGCAGTACTTAGAAACCCTTATATCCATAGGTGCAAATCCAAAAGCCGCTTCAAGTCTTTTTTTTTTTTTTTTAGTAAATGGGTGTGTGTGTTTCTTGTTGATTTTTCAAAAATAAGTTCAAAAGCAATAATTACGACACGTATGGACGGAAATCACAAATCACAAACTTTGGGGTGCATAAACTCACTATCAATGTGACCGTTACCAATAAAGCGCACATCAATGATGCTGGACTCCTCTTCATAATCCGGTAGGGGTATTTTCGGGGCACAGTAATATTCACCGCCATCGGTTAGGCTTCGTATTTCGAAAACGAAACCCCGTTTCGGATCATAGCGACCCTGTGTCTCACTGTAAAAGGTCTATGGACAACAACAACAATAATAATCAGGATATCAAATATCAAATCATTCAGATATTTTTTTTTTTGCATGATTCAGGGTGCGCATAGATAGTTACATATGTAGATAGCTTGCAGATAGATCGATTGTGTGGACTAAGACTTGCTTTCCTCTGAACTTTTAGAAATTTTTCTACTACTGGACTCTCTTCTTTTACTACATCATTATAGGCTAGAGAGTAATTATAAATATATATATATACATATAAAGATGTGAATATGCAATATGTACATAGGAACTCAAATATATTATGGAAGTCGACTATCTAGTTAAACTACGTATGTATGTAGAAGTGCATTAACATACGCATATAGACCTCAAGTATTTTGATGTCACCATCCGTATTATTCGATTTGCACTTCATTCTGGCTGGCGCGTTGTCAATAATGAACAATGCAAATCCCTTCTTAGGATTGTAGCTTGAACTATTGTAGAATGGTCCGCTTTGATTTAGTTCATTTGAGTATATCTTATCTTGCTGGTGTCAATCAATCAATCAATCAAACCAAGTCAAAAGCAATTGCAGAAAGTAATTGAAAAGCGTTTTGTTGTGAATAATGATAAGACGATAAATTGGAAGAGAAATAAATAAAGTTCAAATACTAACGTCGCCGTTGAATGTCAGCATCACCTCCGTTTCAGGCATGGCCGGTTTGCAGGGTATAATCACTTCTGTGAATTGTTTAGCAAAGATGATGGGGTCCAAGTGCACCAGCAGCTGTTCCTTGTCATTCACAAACACATAGATCGTGCTCGCCTGACCATTATTCACCAGCTCGACCAATGTATCCTCGGTCCATTTATTTGTCGTCGGTGTCTGCGAGGCACTGATGCAATAATACGCGCCCACATTATTCACATTCACATTGACCATTTCGAGGGCAATACCAAATGGACGCTGTGCATCCTCTGTGTTCTCGAAGGGAACGCTAGTCATTAAGCCCTCGTTTCCATGCCACCATACAATTTCCTCGTTCCCCTCACAGCGCAGCGTATAGCTTATGCCCGCCTCCAGTTTGAGTGAGTCCTTGCAGGGCGTTATGAGGGGCGTGGACAATTCAGAGCCGCCACAATTGAAATTGTATATATCATTATCTTCGAACTCGCGCTTCTGGCGTGGCACTAAGTGGCAAAAGAAATAAAAAACAGAGAAAAAACACATTTTCGTCAATATTTATGATATAATCAAGCATTTTCTTCTACCTCTCTTTCCCTCACTCTCTATTTTTCTCTATCATACATACAAATAATAAGATAAATAGATAAATAGAAATGTGCAGAATGTGTATACGCATATGGAACTTTCTCTTTAATTATATTTTCAATACTAATATATTTCCGGGAAAGCTCTGAGCGTGCTTAACTGTCGTAAGTTTATCTGTTATTTATTTATATTAATTTTATGTGCCAGTCTTTATCTCTCTAGCTCTCTCCTTTTCTAAACTTCATAATTTTTGGTCAGATTGTGCTTAGTCTGGTTTTACCCAATTCTTGCAAATAATAATGGAGCATTTTATTATATCCCTTATTTTATTTCTTCTTATCTGTATTTTGAATTCTGGAATTTAATTTCTCTGCTTATCGATTTGCGACAGCTATAAAAAAAACACAACCGTTGAGATATTGACTTGCAATTTATATATAACATACCCAGACATATTTATATAAGAAATTGTAAACATTTCATTAAGTTTGGATAAGAGCATGCTACTATCAGCAAGTCTCTTGTGTATTTAAAAGCTGTGCTTAGAGTATCTCCAAGTCGAGCACACTCGACTACAGCATTCTCACTTCTTAGCTCAACTATTTTAGCTATTTAAAGTGTTGCCAATCCATTTACAATTGATAAAGTTACGTCATTGATATTGATATGCCTGCATATCGATTGCTTCAAAGGCTCAGGCTCAGACCGCGGCTCAGTTGTAGTCTGAGGCGAACAGAGGACGGGCGCTACAATGGGCTACAGTTACGTATGCGGCTCCATTGTGTCGTTTGTTTTTTGTTGTTCTTTTTAATGATTGAGTTTGTTTATTTCTACTGGCGGCGATAAGCGTCGAGCGCTGGCTGATAGTCTTAGAGTATAATGTTCTTGGATCTGGTTGTAGCTTAGTAGTTTTCTAGCACATACAAGAAATATGCAATAGATATATTTACACACAATTGTATTGCAGACATTTATATATACGTATGTGTGAACTTAATTATTCAAAATGTACATTCCAATGTGTGACATTTTAATGTTCGTTGGAAGAGTCGGCGCCAGTGCCGAAAAAATATAAAAAGAAATTATTATTATTATTATTGTTGTTGTTGCTTATCAACGACCTCCGTTCGAAGTTCACAATTGTGTCTAGCGATTCGGGAGATTGAGAGGAGATTGAAAGAGCCGCGAGAGCTGAAAGATGGGACGATCGAGCGTGGCTCATAAATTATTAAAAAAGACAGGAGCTGAAGGCCTGCCTGGCGACCAGTCTAAGTGGATCGCATAAATACACATTCAACAAAGAATGTGTACACAGTGAGAAAAAAGCAATCTTGCATTCCAAAAGCAAAAATTGCGTTTCATTCAATCTATGCCCTGAAAATGTGTGAAGAGGGCATAATGCAGGCAGAAGGAAGCATCTCAGAGATTCCATAAGGAATATTTATCGCCACATATCGATTTCGGAAACAAAAGCAACAATTTTATCAAGATCGGATAAGAAACTCTCGAAAAGATATTCACACATTGATCTGGGCTCAGGGTATATCTTTGCGAGCTCACTCGACTACAGCATACTGAAATTTGTAATTTGGTCTCGTTGTTTTTTTTTCAGTGTACTCATCCGTTATATATTATATATTATATATGGACACATGATATATGTATTCTCACATTTTAATTGTGAGTGAATTGGTCTGAGCTAAGCGTTTCATGGTCATAATTGAAATCATCTTTTGCTATGCATACCCTGTGCCCAATTGTGCGATTGAGTATGTTCAATTTCAAATTTCAAATTCAAGTCAAAGTTTAAAATACCACTTGGATATAGTAATTGTAAAGCATATCTCATTAATGCGCAGCGCATTTTAATCGTTTCGCCTTTTGCTGATTCTTTACTGCATAATTGTTCGCTTTTATCAATTCTCAGAAATTTCTTAAACCATTTAAAACAATTAATTGAAAAAAAATATATATTTATGTTATATGTATCAGTAATTCTAAAAATCTTATCAATTCCCTTGCAGGCTTAAGGCTTAATCAAATGCAATACTTACTTGCAACCAAGCAATCCAAATATGAGATCCCGATGAGGCACAGTAACAAATTCACGAATTTCCGCATTTTTATGTATATATGATAACTGTTTGGATTTATATGCACTATGTATTTATTTATATCTTTATGGTTTTTAGGAGAGTTGGCCAAGTAATGCCATCGTTTCAGAATCACTTAAATCGCCGTTGTTCTTCAAAATGCACTGCAACAAAATAGTTGTTTAGATTATTATCTGCTATTATCACATTTATTAATTTTTATAATTGATATCAGTATATTTTCGGCATTATATATAGAATTTTATTTGATTATTTATATGTGTTCTGAGCTTGTTCTATCCGCCTCAAGCGCAACACTTAATCTGTGGCAAGCAACTGAATTCTCAAGCTCGATCCGAGCGCTTTGCAAGCGTTGACTGTTCAGGATAGAATTGTTGTTGAAGTTGTTGTTTGTTGATAAACAGAAATACATTTATTATTAATGAACGCATACATGAAGGGCTTAACATATTTATGTGGATGTGGATGCGGACGGACGGAGTCGCTAATCTGTGAGATGCAGCATTTTTATCGTTTTGTAAGCATAAACAAAAACAACAACAAAAAAATATATCTTTTCATTTGTTTTTTGTGCGTTACGCATACGCACAGTGTTACAAAATTTGAGGAAAGTAATCACTTACATCCGCTGTAAATGATATCCGCTCGAAGTTGCAAGTCGAACAATCTCTCGCTTGCGTGTGCCACACACGGCCAAATGTCAAATGCCAAATGCCAAATGCCAGATGACAAAATGTGAACACACACAACTCTGCGTGTGGTATGTGGCAGCAACAGGTTGCAAGGCTCTTACAGTTAACTACAGCTATAACTCTGTGTTCTCCGTGCTCGCATTAGGGTCTGTTAGTGTTGTCAGTGTCAAATGCTGTTTAACGTCAAATCTAGCTAAAAATGTACTAATATGAAATATATAGGCGAAAAATATTTCATTTCTGCTGATTATTTTGGAGATAACTTTTTTTTAAAAATATTTTAGTTAGTTTAAAATTGTCTTAGACAAAAATAATTATAAGAAAAATTATATTTGAAGATAACTTTGACGTTGGAACTTAGGAATTAAACCGGTTCAATTTGCCTGCTAAATTGGTGCTAACTAAGCCTACAGTTATACACACTTATGGATAAATATTGAAGCAGCTGCTATTAAGCAAATATTATGCATAAATAAGTTGCAGCAACTCCTGGCTTTATTTGTTGCTGCCCAACACAGGCTGGCAACACTGGCAATGGCTTTATATGTGTGTAGCCTTAGCCCGGGCAGAGCGACACACGCGGAGGCACTAAATGACAACGAAACATGCACAATTAAACAAGTTGGCTAACACAAATTGGCCAACAGCAATTGCCTGTTGTTATGGGGCCAGTTCCTCGGGCACACAGCCATTACACATTAAATTGTTCATAATCTGCACCCGTCACCTTTCCCCCTCCTTTCTAAGCCGCCATCCCATTTGATGCCGTTGACAACAAGTGGCCCATGTGGACAGCTATAAACAGGAATTTGTAGTTTGCTGTGTGTGAGTGTCCAGTTTTTAGGGCGCACCCAGGAAAACAACAGCAACTACAGCAACAACAGCAGTGCAAAATCAGCTGACATTTATGTTAGCCTGGCCAATGAGATTGCCAACTTATTGTTGTTGTTCTTGTTCTTGGTTAATGGCTAATTACCAGTTGAGCCCACACACACAAACATAAGCATTCATCTTTGTCAGCGGCGGCAGGATATGAGCCATGACTCATCTATCTATGGTCCTTTATTTTTGTGTGTGTGATAAGCAGCCAGCTATCAATTAATTAAGTACCACCTGAGTACAGTGTGTGTTTTGTTTTGGCCAAGTGCCACGTATAAAACGTGTACTTGGCAAATATTGATAGTCAACTCGAAGCTATTCGTTTTTGCCCCAAGCCCAACCCATCGAATTAAACATGATGTGGCACTTTACTTAATGGCGAGCAAAGCAGCTAATCGCCAAGAAGATGCTCTTCTGCTTAGCTGATAGCAGTATTAGAATTTAAGCTGTAACCACAGAGTCAAAAAATTAATATTAAACATCATTGCATCCCAACCGAGTCACATTTAAATTTGCACACAGATAAGAATTGATCGTTTTTAACCAATTTCAAAAAATAACGATCCTCTCCTTAACATAAGCATAACAGCATAAGCAAGTGATTGCCTGTGCAGCCAGCAGACAAACAGGCATTTATCTGCGGTGTTATTATCTTTAAATTAATATCACTGTTGTTTATGTATATGCACTTATCATTTAATATGGAATGAATATGTGTTTTGTTTACACCCAGTCAGTGCTGTTAATAACAGAGTTTCACATTTAAATTATTTGCCAGATCAGTTGACAGAGCATTAAAATGCTAATATGCGTTTACATAGCGCTATTAACATCACTAGCATAACAGAGCACAAATTTAACATACAATTCTATTATTAACAGCAGAGTTGTAGTACATTAAATATTGGTATTGATCTATATTAATCAGTTATTTGTACACTAGCTCTGTTTGCCAATTAGCTTTAGTGGCTTATCAACGGTACTGAGCATAATGCCCTTTGCATTGCGTTGGCGCGTAGGGTATGAAAACTTGATCGGATCAGTTTCATATGAATTGGATGGTAAATGCGTCTGGCAACATGTTGCGCACTGTTGCGCAGCTAGCAACATGAATGCAGAATGTTGCCTGGAGTGGGGCTGCCTCTTTGTTGTTGTCTTTCGCCTGTTGTCTGTTGCTTCCTTGGCATTGCAGTGTTGTCGTTGTGTTGCCATGGAGACACGCCCACTTTTGCAAAATACCAAGGGCGCACACTCATACTTTTGACCACTTTTTGCTGCTGCAATTGTTGCTGCTGTCGTGACGACTATTTTTAGCCCGCCTCTGGGACTACCATCCCCTTCGCTCCCCCTTCGCAGAATAAGCGACTAATTACCAAGGCTGCAATTGTTCTTGCTTTTTCAAGCGCAATTAGTGAGCAATCGCAATCAGATTTTATTTGGCCGCAGTGGGTATTGTTTAAGGCGCAACAGTTGCTGTTCTTCATATCCATCTACACGAATGAATGTAGCTTCATTCTTACTCAATCCAGCGTGATGAATCAATTTTATTTAATTTTTTTTATTTTGGCGAACTTCAAATTTGTTCAACGAACGTAGCAAATAGTCATACTTAACACACACACATGTTTGTTTACCAAATGACGTCATGTCGCTGTTCACGCTCGAGTGGCTGCCCTCGGCTCACTTCAAACAAGCCATAGTCTTAGTTACATATATATAAATATATATGTGTTTATGTATGTATATATATGTTGAGCATGTTGTGTGCATAATGATGACGTATGCACTGAAAATCCTCACACATAAAATCTGTTTACATAAATGACATTATTTGCGTATTAATTGAAATGCGGCCCAGTGAAGCGGCAATATATCGGATTTGTTTTCAAAACCGGTTCCATTTGAGTTGGGGGACAGCTCCCCAACATTCCCTTTTATTTGTTTAACAATTTTAGTATGTTCTTTTTATTTGTAGACATGTCTACTATTGATCATCATGGAAATGTATAGATATAAATGATATTTGAAACTCTTTATATAATACCTATTTGATTACAATTGATTATCGTATTTCCTACTCACATAACTTTCATAATGGAAATATGATCATATATATATATATATATATGTATCTATTATTTCACAATTGCTGATCGTATTTCCTACTCACTTAACTTGTATACCGAAAATATATGCATATATAAATCTGTATATACGTAAGCCCAAAACGTGCCTATGTCAATAACTAGAGCAGTAAGTTGAGTGAATCTCAAGCCAAGTGGAAAATAAGTGTTTGTTCGTTCGACCACTGCAAATTCAAATTTTCCATCAAAATATAATGTATGCATAATCGATTATTCATCAATTATGATTAATACGTTATCTAATTGTTTAGAAACCACTTTCTATATTTATAGTTGATCCATACAAATCAGAATACAAAGTTTAACAACATTTCTAAACTATATTTACATTCAAGGATGGGGAATTGAATATAAATATATATATAATATATTCAGAGTTAGAAGAACATTTTTCGTTCTGCATTCGATTGCAATGTTTATTATTTTTATTAATTTTCATGTACATAACTCAATATATTTGCCTGTGCACCAGATTTTCCATTTCCACTTTCGTAAATCGTAAATTTATGAGTATTTGTTCTGAAGCTAAATTGAAGCTTTTAACAGTGTAATTAATCACACATCGATTTGTTGAAAAACAAACACAAATATTTTTACACATTGCGATCGTTTAGCGTGAAAAGTTTCCACAGAATAATGAAAAAATTGTGTCTGCCACAAATTTCTCGCCTCTGTCAACAGGCAAAGAATTTGTTGCTACATTGTTTTCGGGCTTGTTTATGGCTTCCGAGTTTTGACACTTTGAGGCTGGCCGAGCAGTTGGCTTTTTTATGGCCAATAAATGGCAAAACTGTTGCGTTCGTTGCATGTGCAACATATATGTCTGCTTGTCTGGCTGTCTGTGTGTGTTTCTCTTGTTGCACGCTAGTAGCTTGTGCCTGTCCAACATACACCTGCCTCGGTTGCCACAAAATGTGGCATTCTCAGCACATCGCCATTTTCTTTTCGCATCTGGGCTAAATTGATTTTTATAGCTGCAATTTCGAATAGCTGGCCAAAGTGTGTTTTTTATTGTTGAAATCCTGCTGCTGAATCCTTACTCGCTTTGTCTGTCTTTCTTTGCTCGAACACACTTTGACCTTTGTAGCTGTATGGAAAAGTCAAGTGGTTTTTCATCGCAACAGCTTAATTGGAAAAACTGCTTAGGCAACACGCAGAAAACAAAAAACAAGAAGAAAAACAAAACAACGACAACAATAAATCGTTGGCTTTGAGCCAACAAAAAAAAAATGCATGCAATCGAAAAAAAAAGATGAGGAAATAATTTCTACAGGGGTAGTGGTGGAGGAAGGGGAGGGGGGGGGGAGGTGGAGAGTTGGTTCGCGATGCATCTGCTCATTAAAATGCAAGCTGAGCAAACGCAAGCAAATTGAAAATTTCGCAATTTGGGCCAACAAACGATTTGTGGTCTCAGCCAATTTGTGGCCA